CATCCTTCAACGTACTTTCGGATGAAGGCTCCCATGCCTGGCCACCATGCTTCGTGTTTGACCAATTCCTTGGTTTTAAAACGTCCGGGGTGACCTGCGGTTGGGTGGTCATGGTAGTGAGCCAATATAGCTTTGCGATGATCGGGAGCAATATACGCTCGGTTTTTATAGGACAATATCCCTGAATCCACTTTCCAATCGCTTAGAGCGGATTTCATGGGGGGAAGACAGACACCATTGAGGGCGTCTACAGCAGTGGCGAATAGCGGGTCGCTGAGCACATCTGAGCTGGCAAGGGTAGCGCGAAGGTTGTCATCAATGAGGTGGACAAACATGGAATCGGGAAGTAGGATGGAGTTATCGTTATCGGAGGATCCGGTATCATGATCTGATCTCCGAGAGAGGGCGTCAGGTGCAGCTAATTTAGAACCAGGGACGTGGTGTAGTTCCAGATCAAAGTTAGTGAGAAGCATCTGCCATCGTGCCTGTCGACGAGACAAGTGTTCAGCTTTCTTGAAATAGAGCAAGTTCATGTGGTCGGTGAAGACTATAATCGGGGAGGGGTGTCCTTCTAAGATAATGCCGCCATTCGGTTAGCACACGAATTATGGCAAGGAGTTCTCGGTCAAAAATTGGATAGTTTCGTTCGGCTGGATTGAATGATTGCGATAGATAGGCACAGGGATGGTAAACACCATTTTCGTCAGTCTGTAATAGAACCCCTCCTGTTGCTACTAAGGAAGCGTCTGTAGCAATAGCGAATTGTTTTAAGGGATCTGGGTTGCGGAGCACGGGATGCGTGGTAAAACAGGTCTTCAATTGGTCGAACGTTTCCTGATGTTGAGCGTTCCAAGAGAAAATGGTATCCTTTTTTGTCAGGTCGATAAGGGGACGGGCGATGTCCGAATAATGAGCGACAAATGAGCGGTAGAAATTGCAAAATCCTAAAAATGACCGGACTTCTTTAACGGAAGTAGGGACGGGCCATTCCTTGATGCCGTTGGTTTTTGCTTTGTCCATTTCTACGGATCCTGGTTTAATGATCATGCCAAGAAATTCGACTTCTTGAGAATCGAACGGTGCACTTTTCTGGTTTCAGGAATAGCTTTTCCGCTCTGATTTTGCTAAGATTCGTCTTGTTCGCTCGTGATGCTCTTCAAGCGTTTTTGAAAAGATGAGGATGTCGTCCATGTATATTACCAACCATCCTTCGTTGATTTCTTGACGGAATTCATTATCCATGAATGCTTGAAAGGTGGCGGGTGAGTTGCACAGCCCGAAGAACATTACGCTTGGTTCAAACAATCCGTACTCCGTGGTAAATGCGGCTTTCCATCGATCATCCGGATGGATACGGATATTGTTATATCCTGATCTAATATCCATTTTCGTGAAGAAGTTTGCCCCGTGTAGTCGTTCGATGAGAGTTGCCGGAAGTGGAAGGGGATAAGAGTTCTTTATGTTTGATCATTAATGCCTCGATAATCTTGACAGGGGCGAAGCTCTCCACTTTTCTTTCCTACAAAAAAGAATCCACTAGCTTGTGGGGATTTTGACGGGGTGATGAAACCTTTTTCCACGTTTTCGTCAATAAATTTCTTCACCGCAAGCCTTTCTTTTGGTGAGAGAGGGTACACTTTAGACGTTCTTGGAAGAAATCCAGGTTTTGTTTCTATGCGATGGTCTATTCCTGGTCGTTCCGGGGGAAGTTGTTTCAGTCCGTCTTTGGCAAATACATCCGCGTAATCATGTAGATAAGCGGGCACGAGTTCTTCAAAAGGTTTCTTCTGTTTTTCTTTTTCTTCCGTTGCAAATTCTTGCGCCTTGTTGCTGACTTTGAGAGGGGTGATGATCGGGATTTGTTCCGAAAAGGATGTTCCATCCTTTGTGAGAGGGGTATCGAGCGAGATTTCTTGTATAATTCGAACGAATTCTCCATCAGTACCGTATTCAACCAAGAATTCTCCGTCATCCAGTTTATAGGTGGAGACGTCTTGTACTGGTGGAGCGCACCAAACGTCTTCCTGAGTATCAAAAGGATCATCATCCTCCATTGGTAGCAATAGCGGTACTTCCTCAGGGATTTCCTCGATGGAAGCAGAGAACTTGGATGGTTGTTTCTTTAGCTTGGAGTTCGTCCATTTTCTTTGTTCTGGAGGGGTGCTAAGTTTTCGAATTCTTTCCGAGATTTCGATAGACTTCGGGGTACAAGGAAGTGAGAGAGTTCGTTCCGCCCAGTTGATAGAAGGGTTCATCTTTTGGAGCCACGAAATTCCCAGGAGAATTTGGTCTCGTGCTCCTAAATTGGTAATGTTGAATTTTCCTATCATGGTTCTTTTAGTCAATTTTGACGATGAGGGTGCAGTACCGGTCTACAGGGTCCACTGCTGAAATAGCTTCCATCTGCGGTTCGGATATTGAATGGTTTTTTTAGTTTTCAGGTTCTTATCCCGAGCTTTTTCACAAAGCTTTCGGAGATATAGGTTCCAGAAGCGCCGGAATCGATTACCGCGTTTGTTTCGACATTTTCCTGTTTTCGAGATATGAGAGTAATGGGAATGCGGAATTCTTTCTTATCATTGACAGCTCGTATCAAGCGTACAGGTTCTATTGGAGATTCCATCGTCGATATGTTTCTCCGTTTCAAAAATCCTCTTGAATGCGCCTAGTTTCTTCTTCCTCTTCTTCTACCTTGCGGACAAAGGGAGGCCCCTTTTTCTTCTGCGGGCATTCCCGAGCACGGTGTCCGATCTGGTGGCATGTGAAGCATTTTCCAACACGCATGTGTTCTTGGCGACTTTCATCAGTGAGTCGATCAATCACCATAGCATCGCGATCCCTTGTGGGTACAAATCTTTGATCCCCAAATCTTTTCTTCTTCTGTTGGACAGGGAAGCAGGGACCTAATGGACTGTAATTGCGTGTGGCAGTTATCGAATGTCGACTACTGCTGGCGATGTAATCGTCGAAATTCTTTGGGACGTTTCCTGCATTAAACATTTTGATAAGGATTCCTATATTGAGTCCTTGCTGGAAGTGAAAGATTTTGGCGGTTTCTTCTTTGACTTTTGCCTGAGCGATCAGCCTCTGATAGTCGGCGATATAAGTCTGGAGATCTCCGGTTTGTTTGAGAGCTCCTAGCTTAGTCATTGCTGTTCCGGAAGGATCGATTGCGGAGAATGCTTTATTGAAAGCTTCTAAGAAGTCCTTCATGGTGCCATATCCTTTCTTCTGTCCGGAAGTGTCAATGAATTGAGCATCTTCCAGAAATTCTTCTTTCCATAGTCTAGCGTTTCCTTCGTTCATAAACGATGTGATGAAGATGATGCGATGTTTGTCTTCCTTGTAGAGTTTGTCATTGATATCCATGTAAGTGTTACAGGATAGGAGGAATGATCTAGACAGGTCCCTATCTCCATTGAATATGGGAGGGTGGTTTATCTTGTATTCGAATTCTTTGCCGCTAGTGTTTGATGTTGACATATTGAGCGGGGGTACTGGAGTACCAAGGTTCAAGGCCTGTAGTCTTGGGGTGAGTGATGTCAGGTCTGCTGTCTGTGCTGGCTGTCTTGCTCAGCAGTTCTTCGGTTCGTTTTCTTTGTTCTGTTGGTATCGGACACACACAGATGTGTGGTGTCTTTCGACTTGAATCTTTTGTTACGAACTAGGATAGTTCTAACAACGACAACTCGACAGAGTTTACGATCATTGAGATTCTCAGTCTCTCAGACAAGAGAGAGTTCTGTGGACTTAGTCAAAGGAGTGCTTTGGCTAAGAATCGGGTTTCAAGACGACTTAAGATTGGAGGTCTTAAGCGAAGGAAGTTCCAGGTAAAACCTAGTAAGATTCAAGTAAAGAATATAGGCGTAATACATGTGCTTAAATAGATCCATATGTGCGCACAGACCAAGTCATCGTGAGATAGTAAGTACAAGTTCAAGAAAGGAAGGCATATCGGAAGAAGTGTAAAAAGTATAAGACAGCGGCTATAAGTGGTTGTAACACGACCTCGGCCTCCCACCTCAACTGAAACTCTGGACATGGGTGGTTCTTATGGTTACGGGACTCTTTCCATATGCTGACTCGTTTTTCAACCTGTGTTTAATCCGTCATTCGATGAGTCAATGACGACGTCTCTGATGGCCAAAAGAAAAACTTACGTTTACAGTCCAGCTTTTCTCAAAGGCATTTTTATCGATAGGCAAGATGGCCACCAAGTTTTTGAGGAGGTTGAGGACTACTTTAGGCTTGAATACTGACATGTGTAGTACTGGTGGAGGTGGAGCCACAGACGTGTTTTAGGGGGTTCTGAGTCCTCTTTGACCTTTGACAACTACCACGCTATAGCATCTTGACGTGATCCCTGCTATACATATATTTTCTGCATGCGAGCTACTGCCGTTGAACGAATATTGTTTGAACTTCTGATTGGTGGGTTGAAATTCCGAATTCACCACATCATTATTGGAGTGCACACTGATCACGTAAATTCAGGGAAATACTAATTACTAGTTACACAGTAGTTCAATACTCAATGGCCCCGCACATCCATATTCCCTCCTGCAAGTCTACTGCAGGGAGAGCTAACACACATACTAGCACACATACAAATGCAGAGAAAGCACTTGATGTGTTCACCGGCAGCTACGACACTGTCAGAGTTTGGCCAGACATCCAGATTCATCCCGCAGACATTGCGCGCTTTGTGCAAGTTGGATTCGACGACCAGATCAACTCCTTTGCGACCCGCTCGGGCTTTCAGCCCACCGTTATTCAAGACATCTACAAAAATGTGAGTAGCTACAAAGACACGCAGAAGGTGGTGAGGGCCATGCACATTGCTGCCATGGAGTCAGCTAAAGTCGAGATCCAACAACTGAGGAATCAGAGGCTGTGAGAAGATTCAGACTCGGAGGACTTGTATGAGAGGCCAGAGAGGGCCAAGGCCGAGATGGAACCCAAAGAGGAAGAAGATTCAGACTCGGAGGACTTGTACGAGAGGCCAGAGAAGGCCAAGGCCAAGACAGAACCCAAAGAGGAAGAAAACGATTGAATTGGCGAGTAGCGAGTAAGCGGTGTTTGTAAAGCTATCATGTAACTATTCAATGTCAGTATGTACTGCAAATACAAAAGATAAACCGATTTCAGAGTTCTCACCTTGGAGATATGGCCTTTAGAATAATAGGACCGGGCCGATGGCTGCTCTCCGTCGAAACATTGAAACTGACTCCCTGAGTTAACCGAGGACGATCATTCTCATAGGACGCAGGACGCCAGACGCCAGACTCCCTGGGATCGTTTTCCGGCTTCGGAAGTCGGACCCCCTGCGAACCCTTGGAATCTTTTCGGCTCGCCTGCGGCGAGCCCCCCCCTTGCCATGACCAATTTTTCGACTTAGGGTACAGGTCTATCGAAAAAAATCCTCTGTCCAATGATCGTTACCGGCCCGCTCGCGGTCCGCTCAGTTTGCTTGTTTCGGTCCACAATTTCTCGCGCTTCTTATTGTTTGCCCCCTTTCGTTGAGGGGCTTCTTCTTCTCTGAACGCTGCGTCTTCGTCGTCCGCTGTGCACTCTATGCATGACTGTGTTCCTCCTGCTTCTCTTGTCATCACAGATTGCCATACCACAATGATGGTGTATCTGTTGTCTCCTCATTCCTGCTCCAGAGGTTGTTTGAGCATCATGGAGTATCCAGAGCACGGTTCACTGCTGCTCAGCAGTCTCTTGACGGTGTCTGCTCCTACTGTCCGTCATTTGACTGATAATTTTCCTATGATGACTCGTGCTCATTTCGATTATTTGGCCTGGTCTCATTCTGTTAAGGCGACTGATATGCGCAATTACTATGTCCGTGACCTGCTCCGTGTTCATATGTGTAATGAACACTGTCGTGATTTACTCTTTGTTTTCAAGCACTTGTTGCACGCGTGACGCCGTTTCGCTGCAGAATATCTTCCTGAACCCTTTTTGCAATTGAGTCCACAGATGTGCGCTCTTGCGAAGGCTTTGTCCCATGCGATGCTTTCCGATATGGCGTGCGTTGCTACTCGCAATCAAGACTCTGCAGTGCATCGACGAGACTTTCAATCTGATGTTGCTGTGGAGGATGATCTCCAGTTACCCACGATTTGTACGATGGCTGGCAAGGCTCACATCATTGCCGAAGTGTGCAGTCTGTGCGTACAACATTCGTGCTGCTGACCTTGTTTCAGTCACAGCAACCAGATTTCCTCTTACCCTTCTGCAGAAACCAGCTCCGACTGAACAGGACTTACTGAGACGTTTCGACGCCACAGTCAAAGATGTCTTGTCTCATGGTTTAACCTCCGTCCATGATGCGGGGCTCAAACCTGTTTCGCTCGAGTTTTTCACAAGGTTTTCTAACCATCCTGGCATAAAAATACATTTGACGCTATTCATGCAGACAGGCGGCGGCAGGAAATCTTCCCGTAAGTGCTCAAGGATCCCATCATCATGTAATTTACAACAGCCTATAGTTTCGAATTTATGGGATGAGATACTTCAATGAAAACGATCCTTACTGGGGAAATCTCTCAGAACCTATTATCAATGCGGGCGATGGCAGGCTAAATGCTCGCAGTGTCAAGATCTTTGCTGACGGTATGACGGCGTGGCGACAGTATTAATCTGTCAAACTGACTAGCTATTCAGGTGCTTTACGCTCTGGTGGAGCAGCGGTGAGAATCTCTTTGGCCGTGTTTGTGTTTTTCTTGATGTCTCTCAGCTCCACGAGCCGTATCATGATAAACCCCACACGAAGGGATATGTGTGTGGACCCCAAAGTCTTGACTGATGTTGTACCCAAATGTTTAAGAGATGGATGGCAGGTTGTAAGTGCCGGCGATCGCAAAAATAAAGCAATACATCTCATTTGTTTTTGTCTGGCAGAATATCCATGCAATTGGGGACTATACCAACGGTGTGGTTCTGGACACATTCGAGGCTGCCTTGAAGGACGTCGATATAACTGCACTCAGACCTCGCCTAGAACATGCCCAAATTCTGACACAAACTGACCTGGAACGTGTCCGAAAGCTTGGAGGTGAGCATTTTAGTTTCATTAATGTCAATGGAAGTAGAATTGTCGCTATTTAGTTATTTCAAGCATTCAACCCACACATGCGGACAGGTTTAAGACAAGTGGTAGATGGAGGTGTGCTAGGGTGCCACCAAAAATCGACTTGGAGTTCTTCACAGAGGGACTCCCTCGCTTGCCCCCAATTAAATACCGTTTTTGTTTTGCTTGAAGATACGTGAAATAACGAGTCCAGGCATGCCCGAAGGGCTATTGTATATTAAATGTGAATAACAGTCACAGATTACCCTCGGGCCGGAAATGGCAGTCTCAAGCCCCCTCACCGAGTTGATTTCAAATTTGAGCCGTATAATGTTCCCGCGACAGAAATCACAAAACTTGGGTTGTTTCCAAGTAGTACAGGAGGGCTCGGTGATGTCTGGAAGTGTTCATGGTCTCGACGATCTCAGGATTCTGAGGTAATTGTGCACTCGATCGAAGATTCACAATATTAAATACCTTTCAGGTTGCGGTCAAATTAGCCAGGGTTCCTCAAGCAAACGACACGGAACTGGTGAATAGGACAAGCAAGGTAGGAGCAAAAACGAACTAAAAGTCATCGTGTTCATCCATTTCAACTCACAGAGGATTCATCGCGAGGCTCATGTTTGGATTACCCTAGAGCATGAAAATATTCTTACTTTCAATGGTGTTGTTGATGGCTTTGGGCCACTCCCTGCCCTAGTTTCTCTATGGATGGGAAATGGATCGCTCGATGATTATCTGAAAAGGGGATGTGTTCTTTCCAAGGCTGACAAACCGAGAATGGGACGCACCGTATCTCGCAACATCGGACGAGTTCTGATATGTCTTTAGTTGAGCAGATGGCGGCCGGCCTCAAGTATTGTGCATCTAAATTTTTTTCTGTATCTGGATCAGACATGCTCACCGACTTGTCAGTACACGACAAAGAAGTGGTCCATAGCGATTTAATATGTGTACGTGTTAAAAGTCGTAGCTACGATGTCTCGTTATGATAACTCGATTTACAGACCAATGTTTTGATGAGTGCCGATGGGAGGTTCCATCTTGCAGACTCCGGTCTCTCAATGATCCTTTCGGAAGCACAAAACTCCACCTTCAGTTCGTGCCATCCAGGAAATGTGCGGTGGATGGCGCCTGAGATGCTTGCTATACCTGAGCAAGGGGAGGTGGCGAAACCAACCAAAGCCGCTGATGTTTACTTATATGGTTGCATCATGCTTCAGGTGTGTTGTTCCCCATTCGATTCCATGTAAGTTACTGTGCTGATAATGTGCAGCTATTTTGTGGACGTGCACCTTACTTCTGGCTAACGCAAGCGAACCACGTTATTGCGGCAAGAATGGCAGGAACAGAACTTTTCGTCAATTCACTGACATCGAAAACGTACACAAGGAGTATTCGTTGAAATGCATATCTGTCATATCCGGAGATCGACCAGTGGCTTCTGCGATTGTAAAGTTCTTAGGGGCAGAGTAACAACAATATGATGAACTAGCCTAGATGTGTACTCGGAACGACATTTGTGCTTCCCAATTTATCACTGCCTTATTTGCATCCACTATGAGGAATAGCATTGCATGTAGTCTGCTAGCGTATTAGTATTGCTCCTATATCGATACAGATACAACTAGTGTATCATACGACACCGAGAAGTGAGAGCGGATACGGAGCAATATGATATATGATAGGAGACACTCGGAGTTAACATAAGAACAAGAAAGAGGCTCGCTTCACAACCTTATGCAGACGAAGTTTCATTTGACAGTGCTTCTTGAAGATAGTTTATTACCTCTTCTACTGACGGCCGAAGCTCACTCTCCGTTGACCAGCACCGCCGCATAAAATCCAGGTGATTAGGCTCGATCTCGACGGAGGAGTCAATGGGCTCTGTGCGTTTGAACTTGGCAGAAATAACGTGTATGCCAGACTTCAGCCACCAGTAAGGCTGTTTCGTATGTAGGACCTGCACGCCGGCGATGTTAGTGTCACTAGCCAGCCAACGCGAGACCACGAACCTGAAGCATGATACCGCCGAGAGCGTATATGTCAGTAGATTTCGTTGCGCATTGTATGGGTTGGTCTTCTGGGGGGTCAAGAAGCTCTGGAGCGGCCCAACGTACTGCACCGGTGTGGTAGGAAAAGGCGGGGTTGGATTGTACCATGATATTGGAGATACCAAAATCTGCAAGACGAGGGGATCCATCGGCAGCAACCAGAACATTACACTATAATTACCATGAGATGATTCTGGTTGTACGGTGTGGTATGTGCAAACTTACGCTGGAGAGGTTGCCGTGTATCACATCGTTATCGTGGACTGCAGAAAACAACGTTGTACTTGTCACATCCATAGTCAATCCATCACTCACGATATTGGAGTCCCTCTGCAATTTGTTTAAGCTATTGGAAACGTAGTAAGTTCCCGTACTCGGCTTCATGGATAAGACTCACCAGCCGAAGCCTATCTATCATCGAGAGGGTCTCATGTGCATGCTTAAGGTAAGATTCCAAAGTTCCGTTCGGCATCCAAGGGGAAACAAATGCGCGAAATGGGCCGAACTGCTCTACGGTGCCATGCAAAGGCAATACATATTGATGCTTCAACTTGGCCCATATACGAATCTCGCGGTCAAAGTTCTGCATCTCAAAAGTTTAGATATGCGGCCGTCAGACTGGACCCCAATGTACCTTGTTGATTTTGCAAATTTCAGAATCACTCAGACTTGGGAATCGTGGGGATTTGACCGCCACCTGAAATCACAATCAGGAGACATGCAGAAAAAGCAAGTTTATTGATATACCTCATCCGAGCTTTCGCCGCTGTTCCATGTACACTTGTAAACATCTCCAAGACCACCAGAGGCGGTTGGGTAACTGGTTTGCCTGTTGATATCACCTGGTTTGATACAGGGAACACTACTACTGTTCCATGTTTATAAAGTCCTGCTGAGGAAAAGAAAAGGCATACGAGTCTTCCGTAGAGAGGCGCCCACTTGAAACATGATCGTCGGAAGTTCTATTGGGTGTGTCGACACTCGGGGTCTGGCTTGCGGGACTGTCATCAGCGGAATGCTGAATAGAAGATGCCTGGCCACTTGGCGCACGGCTAACCTGTTAGAGTGAGATGGATGGATGGCTTCACGGACAATGTCAACCAACATACAAGATAATGAAATAACTGTTGCAAACGTTCGAACATGCTGACGGGAAATCAGAGTGGGAAATGGATGAACTGCAGTTTTATATGCAGAAAACACTGGTGCGGCAATGTCGCAAGGTTATCCTACCGATAATTACGGCGGAAGGAGGCTGCGTAGGGTCGAACTGAGGCCACCAAGAGGTACCCGCTCGGGAAAATATGTACATGAGGCTACCTTACACTATTAAGACCCTAACAGACCCCCCCCTCCCGTGTGAACCTCCCACGCCCTAGGGGTATACTAAATTTAGTCATGTTCGCAGTACTAACAGAGCGTCATGGATTGGCATGTAACTTTTAGATTTGAAAAATCATTGTCTTCTTCTGAGACTTGGTGCCACCACTGCACGTATCACCGCAGAACCGACTTTCCTCAGGAGTATCAAGCAAAACAACGCTTTCAAACGAAAACAGAATCAGCCACAGTGATATAAGTACGTTGAAACATCAATTGCCAATTTGCAGCTATCGACGCTGCATTGGAAAATTCTGGCCCTCGACGCCAGCAAAATTCATCAATAGATTGCATCATCGTGCACAACACATGTTCATAGTAACGTGTATCTGGGTTTGGGTCTCGATCAACCAATCAGTTCGATTATCGTCTGTCATCACTTTCTGCGATCTAAGACAATCTATATTGGATGCAGTAATATTCATTTGATGCACAGCGTTTTGACACCCCCCAAGACACGACTGGTGTTGGTCAAAGCAACGCTGTGGATGAATATGAACGCCGCCCACAAACACTCATGTTAGTAGGCGTCAATCGTTCTGATCTGCGACGGACAATGAGACATCTTGAAGCTTGTTGTCAGGCATATGGAGAGCACCGGCAGCACTGAAAAGAGCAGTAATTGCATGAGGCTCTCGGCGGCTTTGTAGACAATCCTCGTGGCAAAAAGATAAGAGCTTCGAGAAATACGTCATGATAGTTCTAACTTTGCCTGCTACACCGCCTTGTTAACACAAGTCAGTCGTTCAGTGACGGTCAATTTTGATTTTTTAAGGCTTCAGCAAAATCAGGGAAATTGACGACTTGTAGATCAGCCTTAGTCTTGACTGAGAAAAGCAGCAATTGATGACGTGCTGTACTGACCCTGCACCAACATTTTTCGAACCTAATATTAATAAGGCATGGAGGGCATCTTTAACGCTCGCACAGGATCTGGGAGAAACGTGCCCACGTATGCCAAGTTTTAAGATGAAGGCACGCTGTAACGGCTCTGTCGTGAGTCAACAACCAACCAGATTGGCAACGTTGAGATCACGCTTTGATCGTGAGGTTTTCATGCAATCACAGCCCTATTACAACCTGTACAATTGTCTTGATACGAGTCACCTGCACAGTGCACAGCTGGAAATATGTAAAAAATCCGAAGGCTTCGCACGCAGACCTGAATTGAACGTTTGCAGCATGGAAACCGATGGTGAAGCGCTGATTTGTGCACATCTTCATGATTGCCGCTCCAAGGGAAGCGTCGGCATTATTGTCGGACACTGGTTGAGGCTAATAGTCTCTAATAATACCACGCAACGAATAGAGAAAGTGATGGACTGTGGTAGCAAGAGGTGGCTGAAGAGACGTTTGCCTGCCTTCCCGGGCCTCCCCGTAGTACAGCCTGCACCTATTCTTCCCTCGGACAACCAGGCAACTGGCAAGAACGACGCGCAACTCCCAAATCTCAATACAGAGAGACAGATAAGGGGCTCAGCGCCAGCTAGCTGGCCCCGTTTTGTCGCTAAGTCTAGAAAGCTCGCCTCAAATTCTGAATTTTGAGCGACAACATTATGTAATGCCGCTAGTATACATAGGCTTATTGTAAGCTAGAATGCGTCGCAAGCACGCTCAGTGTTACTATTAGGAATAACTACTTGATTATATTATGTAATACCTAGAATGTGAAGCACGCTAGGGAGATACAGTAAGAGGCGGCGAGAACGACGAGAGACCAAAAGACATACCTCAGTGTCAGGGATAACAACTGAGGTATGATACGGCGAAACGGTGCGTATATATATGAGTCCACGTGACAAGAGGGAAAAAGGAAAGTACTATGAGACGGTGACGACGATGGCGACTTAACACAGCTCTCTGTTTGTAGCGCAGTGCCAGGATCTGAACCTAGGAAGTTCAGAACATCAACGGCGGAGGGCCGACGTCCTATATCACCCCAGCATCTCTCGATGAAATCCCAGAAAGAATCTGCGTCGTGTGGACTCGATGGTCTTGTAGGCTTCCTACCCTTGAGTATCAGGGCAATGACTTGATAATCGTGTTGCACATCTGCATAGGGTGGTAGACCTGTCATAACCTACAGGATCTTAGTCGCAAACCAATACAACTACTATAGAACGCCTCGAACCTGAAGCATGATACATCCGAAAGAATAAATATCGCTGGCTGGCTGTAGAGTCGATGACTCTTCGTTCTCGGGCACCCCGAAGAGCTCTGGTGCAGCCCACCGCATGTTGCTTCTAATGTATGAAATACCTGAGAGATCAGAGTACATTGGGAGAATTCCATGGTCTGCTACATGGGCATTGTGGTCCGAATCTATCAGAATGTTGTTCTGGCGTTTCAGATCAGAACTAGAAGGCAGGTATCAGACGACTAGTACATACGGCGGTAAGGTCACCGTGAATAACGCCCTTCGAGTGGACTGTAATGCCGTTACTTATTGTTTTCACAAACTATTGAAGATTCCACATACGGTAGCTGATGGCTGCAGCGACTTGCCTCAACTAACGTTCCAATGAATACCATGATGTACCAGCACTTCTGAGAAGTGACTCACGATTAGGAACTTTTGTTCGATGGTCATTTCTGTGAAATGGTGTTCAAGATGTGTAGTGAGCGAGCCGTTGTGTATCCAGGGAGAAACCATCGCTGGAAGTAGCCCAAATTCGTGACTGAAACCGAGCAGAGGTAAAAGATTTTCGTGATGCAGTTGCTTGCGTGCACGAAAATCGCCCAAGAGTCTCTATGAAGACATGAAGTTTGAGCAAGCGCATCACATGCAAAGGGGAAACCGATAACGTACTTGAGTAACTCTGGCCCTGGATTCGTCACCTGCGACATCGATCCTTATGGATTTGACTGCTACCTGTCATGAATTCAGATTGTTGGACAGCGATACGTGTAGTATGCTTGCCTCCAGGCCTGGACGGTTGGATGCGATGTAGGTGCATTTCCACACATCCCCGAAACTACCGTGCGCTATTGGATGAGGCAACTCCTTAGATACGAATCCCGTGAGGTCGGATAGGCTGCATTAAAAGTCGCATGAGAAAGTGCGTTGTCACAGGTTACTATGATCATGGACTTACTGGTTGTCGGGGTCTATCTCACTACTACCGGTGGTAGCAATCATGACAGACGAGCGGCTTCTCTCCGACAACGACTTCCTCCCGACATTCTCTAACCAAGACCTGCAGTGGGATAGGAAAGATAGAATCATTTAGGTTATTAGACTCATGCGTTGTGCTCTTTTAACGAGGCAGGCCTGCACCAGTACTGCCAGATATTAACACGCAGAAACAATAAGTCAATACCTCGCTTTTGCCGATATGAACGATTGATTAGGTGCATCGCCCATTCCAAATCAGCGGACCGAGTCCAGGGTTTAGTGAATCAAAAGTATCATTAGCTTGGCAAGAGGTACCCGCTCGTATGAGACCCCCCGTATGCATTCCCACGCCCTAGGGTCTAAATTTGGTAATTGCGGTACGTATCACCTAGCCTAGCTTCGTACGCTTATAGATTAAAAATAATAATTTTGCCCCCTTCTGAGAGCTTGTGCCACTGCAAAACCAACTTGCCTCGGGAGCATGAAGAAAACCAACACATTCAAAATGAAACTATCGAAAACAGGTGATAGAAGCACGTTGAAACGAGACAAGTACTCATCGAATGCGATTGAACATCATTCGGATGTCAAAATATGTGGCGGCAATCGAACTGTAACCTCCATTTCTCCGGATTCCAGCCCTAGGCCTCAACTCCAGTAAAATTCATCAGTGGATGGCATCATCGTGCACAACACATGTTCATGGTAAGTAACGTGTATCTAGCATGCAGTCGGAAAGGAGTTAATCACTGAATCCATGAGTCCGTCTACAAATCTAGAGTTCACACAGCAACAAATATTGACAGCAACAACGTTAGTTATATGGATACACTCTAATATGGAAAGGTCAGAAAAGGTTTAGGAATGTTAAGGATTAAGTCTGCTAAGGGGTAGGAACATGCCAGAGTATGCCATGAACCACGAAGATTAGGACACTGTTGAGCGCTGAGCGCTGAGGCCAGGCCTGAGGCCTGAGGTTTAGGATGTGTTTTAAGACTCGGAACGCGGTGTTGGCGCTGCGCGCGCGCTAGGTACAAGTCCCGTTTAGGACAGGTTTGGCGACGCTTAACTTAGCGTGTGTTTTTGGGTTTAATTTTATTTATACTAAGCTAACGGGCCGCGTGATATCTAGCGAAGATCACGCACGCAATGCTATACATTCGCAAACGGTAGGTCGTGCGCTGGCCGCCCATGAAAAGCAACGCTTACAGCGTCGCTCCCAAGTATCGGAATTCCATCGCCCAATCGCACGTATGCGATCAGGAGACACACCTGCTCCAGCAAGGGATGTGGCACCCCCCGCACACATAGAATGACCAGACACTGTTGGTCCGACAAATATACGCAGTTTTCGAACAAACCACGAACGAGTAGGAGGCTCGCCGTTAGAGCGCAGCCACAGAAACGGATGAATGGAAATCGAGAGTCGCGTGAAGCCAAGAACCGCGTAAGGATAGGGAGAGGGTCTGAACCAACCAACAAACGCTGGATTAACACCCGATTCCTCAAGTCGAAAAGCATGTTTTCGCGCCTGTAGTGCGGCAGACGCTGGAAGCACTTGGTAAGGGTGATGTCCAATAGCCTCCACCACGCTTCGTATCCGGTAGCAACAGCAAAAGCGACCTCACGGCGATGGTTCTCGATCGCACAGGTCTCCAAGACGTACGAGGTCTCAGCGCTCAGCGTTCAATTTGTCAGCCTGCGCACCATTGGTGATTCGGCCTTGGGCGTGGAGGGAACGTCGAGCGAGTGTCATGTTTGGCTCCCTTACGACTTGCAAACGACAACGACATTTTAGAGTTGAGGATCCCATAATGGCAGCACCACAGCTAGTAAGGGACGATATGTGACTCGCGTCAACATTGTTTGTTATTCAGACTTCCTAAGCCCGTGGGGCAGGGGAAAAACTTCCACAATCAATGATCATGGCTCCGTGCTCGGATCATTGGCTACCAGACCCTTGATGCGAGATCCATCATGATCGATCTGATCCTGCGCGCAAAGTGTTAGCTTGCTCATTCCGACCGACCTGATCCATCATGACCATCAAGCATCCATAGCGCAGAGTGAACTGGAAAAAAAATTATCAGTAGTGTATCTCTTGTATGAATTGATATACTCGATAGGTCCCCGCTTCTGTACCAGATGATCTCGAAGGCTGATGGAGTTGGGCTGGTCCGAGCGTTAGCTCGGGGTGGGACGCAAGCAGGTGGAGCCGCTGGGAGGGCGGGAAACCTGCTCACTGATCATGCCAATTACTCTCTGATAGTCTCTGAGATGTAATACAAGCTTGATATTACTAACACGGGACAGGACTTGTCTAATCGAAGAATAGGTAGAAAGAAAAATTACGAGGGAGTGGCAGATGGGACTAAAGAAGGCTTGGTATAGGGGCGAGTGAGGATGTGGATGTGCGAATGGTACGACGAACTCGACGTAGTTGAGGGGAGAAAAGAGACAAGTACCGCAAGCGAACAACGCTACCGTTCAGCTGGACGTCTGGTGCCCGGTTATTCCGGCAGGCTACATCACCCGGCACCTGTATTAAGCCCGTGCCTCTATAACCGTAACAATGTCTGTGGCAGACGGACGAGATGTTGCATGTGGTGACCAACATTTCTGGATGAAATCCCAGTCATCATCGATGATAACAGGTACAATCGGCCTTCGAGGTGTAGTCCCTGCTAATATTTGACCAAATATAGCAGCAGTATTGGCGATGTAGTGGTATGGGATCTTTCCCTCCAATACCTGGAGTTGTGGATGAGCACATCGGGCAATATTATATTTATGTCATCGAGTATTGGAGAGTGTGAATGTCAACACGCACATACCTGAAGCATGATCCCTCCAAAAGAGTACACATCGCCTGCCTGAGAGAGCATGGATGGCGCATTGCTGGCATCCGCCCTCAAGTATTCAGGTGCTATCCAGTGCGGGGTACCTCCAGGAGCGGTAGGTAATAAGGCCTGGCTCATTCTCGCTGGAATGAGAGCAGATAAACCAAAATCGGTGAGGCGTGCTTTTCCATCGTCGTCAATAAGGACGTTGAACTAAAAGGTTTGAGTTAGGCGGTCACAAACTTGGCAACAGCGCACGCACGCCACTCAAGTCTCCATGGATAATCAACTGCGAATGGACTACCAGATCTGCGTCAATTATGCTTCACGAGAATTGCAAACATTGGACTCACGATATTCAAGGCCGCGAGCTACATCCCTAAGCTGAATCGTTTTTAGTATTGTTATTATTATCAGACAACGACTTCAGCGCACCAGTGCAAACTGTTGGCCACGAGAAAGTTCTTCGTGTCGATTCCGCAGATATTCGGTCAGGGTGCCATTCTTTAGCCACGGCGAAACCAGGGCGGGAAGAAGCCCAAATTGACGTGCAACTCCCCAAAGAGGTACAATGTTTTCATGATTAAGTGTCGACGATATCTTGATCTCCCGAAAAAATCGCTGGCGAGCAACGGTTAGTGGAATGAGGATACAAGAAATTTCCACCAACATTAATCAATCTGGGCATTTCGACCCCTCCCATCGGCCTAAACACCTTAACTGCGACCTAAACACTGTTGTAAAAGTGACAGGAACTGCTTGTTTGACACTCACATCAACGCATCCATGAGGATCCTGGTAATGGGAAACAGCTTGCTGTACGAGCACGGTCGTCGAATCCAAGACAAGCTGGCATTTGTGGACATCCGCATATCCTCCAGAGTTTGTGGGGTATTTATTGATCCGACGGATAGAATTTGTTAAATCAGCCGCACTATGGTCGGTAAGTACAGAAACAGGCGTGCACGGGAGATGACCCACCCGATGCTTTGGACTAAGATAAAGCAAAAGACGTCTTCAATCGTCGGACGAGCCTCGCTTTCAACTGACAGGCATTGTTGCCCAAAGGCCAAATACGTTTCATTGACCTCCGATTTATCAATAACTTCAACCTTCCAGTAGAGCACTTTTTGAAACATACCTGTTCCATGTCGAAGGGCTGTGCACCTTTGACTCTTTCTGGAAGAACTTCACTGGCATCGTGAATCCACCAATAAGGTACCTTTCCTAACAACACCTAGAGATTATCCAGTGATTTAATGGTTTAAAGTAGCGTGAGAACACACCTGGATCATGAGACAGCCAAATGAATAAATGTCTCCAGCCTTACTCAATTTTGAGGCTCCTGCATCTACAATAGAAGTGACGAATTCGGGCGCAATGTACCTCGTATTTGCTAAGCCGGACACAGACACTTTTCCTCGCGCAAAAATATCGGAGAGACGACCAAAGTGAGCAAGGTAGACCCTGCCAGAGCCATCAAGGAACACATTATCCTGGGAGTATCGTAAGCGCATGATAACTGGCATCCACACAATTTACACTTGTCAAAGTACCATGAGCGATTCCATCATCGTGCACTTGAAACCAGCTGTGAGTCCATGACTGACATTCAAGAATGCCACTAACAGTGTTTAAGCGCAGAAACCACTTGGTTTAGCTGTCATCGAGCTCAAACACAATAATGCTGCTCGAGTAATGGGCTTACGATGTCTGTTTTCCTGTTTTCTGACATACAGGAGAACTCCCGTCGTAGATAGTCCGTCAGCGAGCCATTGGCCATCCATGGAGACATAAAGGCGGGAAGAGGTCCGAAGTAAGGGATTGTGCCATACAAAGGCAGGATGTTATGGTGTGACGACTTAGCCCAGGCAGCAGCCTCTTGAAGAATCATCTATGATATAAGAGGCATGGTAAATCCCGTTGTAACACGCCAAAATGGATACTAACCTTAATTATTCGTTCGACCTCATCTTGATTGCCTGTATAAGGAACCCTGACTGATTTGACCGCAACCTGAAACGAATGAATTATAGCTTTGTACAAACAAGAATACACTAACTTCAGTTTCCTCCGAGTTCTTGAGCCAACTACATTTCCAGATATCGCCCAGACCCCCTGCCACGGTGCCGCGATGCTCATATGTTGTGATCACCTGATTAGGCAGTTCTGGAAGATTGTAGAACAAAGGCCAGTCATGAACATGCGGAAACACTCCATCAATGAACGCTAGAGTCTCCTCCATCAATGGGCGAGATTCAGGATTGATCGACCAACACCGCCGCATGTAAGTAAGGTGATGTGGTTGAATTTGCAAGGTGTCGTTAATGGGCTCTTGGTAATTGAACTTGCATGGAATAACTTGCAAGGTAGTTTTGATCCACCAGTAGGGCAGTTTCCCGTATAATACCTGCATCATCGTATCAGCGACACAGACAAGCGAAATAAGAGATTTACCTGAAGCATGAGACACCCGAAAGAATATATGTCGCTGAATTTGGTGGCGCATTGTACGGTGCCACCTTCGGAGTAGATAATAAGCTCTGGAGCAGCCCAACGAAGTGCGCCAGTATGGTAGGAGTATACCGGTTTAGACTCTCTCATAATATTCGAGACACTGAAGTCTGCAAGGCGCGGGGATCCATCGGCAGTGACCAGGATATTATCCTACAATCATAATCAGAGAGACAGAGATACACAGAATAGTAAACTTACACTAGTTAGGTCACCATGAATCACGTCGTTGTCATGAACTAGTCCACAGTACAACAATCAGTTACGTTGGTCGCTTCCATAGATAATTCATTCCTGCTCACGATACTTGACACCTTCCGCAACTTGCTTGAGCTGTTAAGAAAGCGATAAATTATTATTACAGGCTTTGCAAACAAGCTCACCAGGGAAAGGTTATCCATTGCCGTGAGATCAGCATGATTTAGGTAGGAGTTCAAAGTCCCGTTTGGCATCCAGGGGGTGACGAAAGCGCGGAATGGACCGAAACCTATCACAGTGCCATACAGGCGTATTACATACTGGTGCTCTAATATGGCCCAGATACTGAGTTCCCGATCAAGATTCTGCGTTCGAAGGACATGAAGTTCATATACTGGGCAGTTTTAGAAGCTACTTAAACATACACGGTTGATCTTGGCGGCTTCAGCTTCACCTAAACTTGAGAACCGTAGAGATTTGACTGCAACCTGAAAATGATAGATTGAATACATTCACAGAGACGATTGATGTATGAAGCACCTCTTCTTGACTTGCGCCACTGTTCAAGGTACATCTGTAGACATCTCCAAGACTACCTGAAGCGACCGGATAATTGGTTCCCCTGATGACAATGCTTGGGTCAATTTCGAAAGAACCGTCGACTGGTGACTGAAGAAACATCTTCTGAACCTCGCTTGCGGAAGGTGGGTCAACTGAAGGTCCGGCAGCAAACGGTTGGCCACGGCGCCGTAGGATCTGTTATCAATGGTGAGTTGATTCAACAAACATATATATATATTTAGACTCGATGTACAGGCTCAAGAAACTTCCAGTTTACAAGAGTCGGCATGCTGATACGAAAAACGCAGGACTGGTTGCAACGTCGATTAATTGTAGCTGGTTTGGTATGTGAACGTGAACAGTGGTGAATGTCCACCAAGCCCAGCGAAAGGTACCTTAACAGATCACCTGTGATTATTTTGAACTGTGAACAAAGATAGGACTCGGGCATGCGATAGCCTATCACTGATTACATAACGGTTAAGTGATCTTGGCCCACGGGCCACCTGCCGAAAGAGTGCAGTGGACACCGGGAACTTTATACTAATTTTTGAGTTTGTCACGCCCAAACTGGCACTAATGCAAATGATGGGTCTGACGCTGACAATTAGAATCATGATGTCTGGAAGCGTCGACAACCTCAGGTTGGAACGTCTAAGGTAATTGTGCACTCGATCGAAAATTTACAATATCAATTACCTTTTAGGTTGCGGTCAAATCTTCAAATCAGCTAGGGCAAAGGATACAAAACTGGTGAATAGGACAAGCAAGGTAGGAGCGAGAACGAACTGAAAGTCATCGTGTTCATCCATTTCAACTCACAGGATTCGTCGCGAGGCTTATGTTTGAATTACCCTAGAGCATGACAATATTTTTACTTTGAATAGTGTTGTTGATGGCTTTGGGCCACTCCCTGCCCTAATTTCTCCATGGATGGAAAATGGATCGCTCGATGATTATCTGAAGAGAGGACGTGTTCCTTCCAAGGCCGACAAACTGAGAATGGTATGTACCGTATCTCGCAATATCGGACGAGTTCTGACATGTCGTTAGTTGAGACAGATAGCTGCCGGCCTCAAATATTGTGCATCTAATTCTTTTTCTGTATCTGATCAGACATGCTCGCCAACTGGTTAATACACGGCAAAGAAGTGGTCCATGGCGATTTAACATGTGTACGTGTTAAAAGTCGTAGCTACGATGTCTCATTATGATAACTCGATTTACAGACCAATGTTCTAATGAGTGCCGATGGGAAGCTCCATCTTGCAGACTTCGGTCTCTCAACGATCCCTTCGGAAGCACGAAACTCCACCTTCAGTTCGTGTCATCCAGGAAATGTGCGGTGGATGGCGCCTGAGATGCTTGCTATACCCGAGCAAGGGGAGGTGGCGATACCAACCAAAGCCGCCGATGTTTATTCATATGGTTGCATCATGCTTCAGGTGTGCTGTTCCCCATTCGATTCCATGGGAGTTACTGTGCTGATAATGTGCAGCTGTTTTGTGGACGTGCGCCTTACCTCTGGCTAACGCAAGCGAACCACGTTATTACGGCAAGAATGGCAGGAACAGAGCCCTTCCGTCAATTCACTGATATCGAAGACGTACACAAGGAGTATTCGTTGAAATGCGTATCTGTCGAACCCGGAGATCGACTGGCAGTGGCTTCTGAGATTGTAGAATTCTTACGAGCAGAGTGACAACAATATGAATGAACTAGCCTAGGATACCGTGTACTCGGAATGACATCTGTGTGCTTCCCAATTTATCACTGCCTTGCATACACTATGAGGAGTGGTATTGCATGTAGTCTGCTAGCGCATTAGTATTGTTACATAAATACAAATACAGCTAGTGTATCATACACGTACGACACCGAGAAGTGAGAGCGGACACCGAGCAATATGATATATGATAGGAGACACCCGAGTTAACATAAGGACAAGAAAGAGGATCACTTCAAAACAGAGACCTTATGCAGACGAAGTCTCATTTGACAGTGCTTCTTGAAGATAATTTATCACCTCTTCTACTGATGGACGAAGCTCGCTCTTCGTTGACCAGCACCGCCGCATGAAATCCAGGTGATTAGGCTCGATCTCGACGGAGGAGTCAATGGGCTCTGTGCATTTGAACTTGGCAGACATAACGTGTATGGCAGACTTCAGCCACCAGTAAGGCTGCTTCCCATATAGGACCTGCACGCAGGCGATATTAGTCTCACTAACCAACCAATGCGAGACCTCGAACCTGAAGCATGATACTGCCGAGAGCGTATATGTCAGTAGATTTCGTGGCGCATTGTATGGGTTGGTCGTCTGGGGAGTCAAGAAGTTCTGGAGCGGCCCAACGTACTGCACCGGTGTGGTAGGAAAAGGCAGGGTTGGATTGTCCCATGATATTGGAGATACCAAAATCTGCAAGACGAGGGGATCCATCGGTAGCAACGAGAACATTACCCTACAATTACCATAAGATGATTCTGGTTGTACGGTGTGGTATGTGTAAAATGTGTGAACTTACGTTGGTGAGGTCGCCGTGTATCACGTCATTGTCGTGGACTGCAGAAAACAAAGTTATATTTGTGACATCCATAGTTAATTCAACACTCACGGTATTGGAGTCCCTCTGCAATTTGTTTAAGCTATTGAAAACGTAGTAAGTTCCCGTACTCGGTGTCATGAAAAAACTCACCAGCCGAAGCCTATCTATCATCGAGAGGGTCTCATGTGCATGCTTAAGGTAAGATTCCAAAGTCCCGTTCGGCATCCAGGGGGAAACAAATGCGCGAAATGGGCCAAACCGCTCTACGGTGCCATGCAAGGGCAATACATATTCATGTTTCAACTTGGCCCATATACGGTTCTCGTGGTCAAAGTTCTGTGTCTGAAAGGTTAGATATGCAGCCGTCAGACTGGACTCCAATGTACCTTGTTGATCTTGACAATCTCAGAATCTCTCAGACTTGAGAATCGTGGGGATTTGACTGCTACCTGTCATGGGTTCAGATTGTTGGACAGCCATACGTGTAGCATGCTTGCCTCCACTGGGCCTTGACGGTTGGATACGATGTAGGTGCATTTCCACACATCCCCGAAACTACCATGCGCTACTGGATGGGGCGACTCCTTGGATACGAATCCTGTCAGGTCGGGTATGCTGGATTAGAAATTACACGAGGAAGTGCGTTGTCAGAACTTGTCACAGGGCACGATGATCATGCACTTGCTAGTTGTCGGGGTCGATGATCTCACTACCACCGATGGTAGCTATCATAACACACGGGCGGCTTCTCCACCACAACAATTTCCTCCCAATGTTCTCTAACCAAGACTTGCAGTGGGATAGGAAAGGTAGAATCATTTAGGTTGGTAGATTCATGCATATGTGTTGTGTTCTTTTAACGAGGCAGGCCTGCACTACATAGTACTGCCAAATAGTGATAGTGTCAGTTCATGGGATTTTCCATTCTAAATCAATTGGAATTAGGCCCACCAGGGTGAGTCTAGTGAATCAAAGCCACGCTAGACGCCCGGCCGGATCCGTTCTCTTCCATTGAATCCGCAATATACCAACCAATAAGCAGCTGACTTTACCCGATGGACCGAATGATATTACTTACGCTTCATTCCGCTGGAACAGGATCTTGCGGTCCTTACAGCAGCACTACCCGCAACAATAGTGACTTCCTGGCAGCTTGAATCACCTTTTCTGGGCGTTCCACTACCGTGGTGTACACTGGTAGTAAATGAATCAACTTTAATTCTGGTGTGTAACGTTGTAGCCCGAGCAGAACGCTTCAATTCCCGTTGAAATGCGCGTTAATGCAGAAAGTCTGGAAATTGGCCGGTCTATACTTATCACAGACTCCGCATGCAGGACTGCGTGCAGGTCCGTGTTAAGCATAGCCATATTGATATAGCTCGGTGTCTCATCTTGAGACATGATACACGTTGCTGAAACAAAGTAGCCTGCATGACTATGGCCTGGCAGGCAGTTGCTATCTTTAGATAATCAGGTACACGTTGCAATAGTCCTATATACACCGCTAAGCGCCGCTTTGGCCCGAACCGAGGTAGTGCGAAAGTTATATAACACACATAGCAACATGCTAGGTACTAGTTCGATTGGAGCCTTGCCACATAAGTAATAAATTTAACCTGCACAGGGTACATATGCGGTATCTATGAAAGGTTTTATCCCAATCCTGGATGATGACTTGGTTACAGCTGGAAATTCGTCCAAATCAGGGCTAGTATACACCCTTTGCGGTGCATATATCAGATGCATCGAGGTCAGTCATATAGAACAGTCGAAAATTAGACCCTGTGATAGACCTGTGACCCAGCTAGTGCTAATATCTGAGTGGCCTGTCTCACATCTGTGTGCATATTATACGCTACAACCGCTGCATCCACGAAAGCACCGACAAACGGACGATCTAAATCACAATCTTGGGCGTTAATGGTACCATTGGCACAGTAGGTAGTATACATATGATGCAGACTAAAATCTAATTAACAAATACATATCGGCGCACAAACAAAAGTGTCATAGGTTAGTCAACAGCAAGAAGAGGCAAGGGGTGAAAGAGCGCAGTATGTCTGTTGAATTCGGCCCATATGTCATTGAGTAGGGCCACGAGAGAATGTTCGCCCTCAAGTTTCATGGCATCAATATCATTCGACCATCCCAACCACTCCTGAATAAATGTCCCCTCCACAGGAATGCGAGGGTCCCACATTGGCCATTTGCCTCTGGGAAATAAAGGGTATGCTGCGACGAATGTGAGCCAGAAAGCATTGCATCCCCATGTCCATAATTGAGACCTAGTGTCTACATCGTTCACCAACCATTCTTCGATCTCCTTCGATAGTGTGGCCCATTCCATCGGATTAATATAGTTGAAGGTTCGTCGGAGTGGGAGGAATGGAATAATGTCATCCGCTTGGGAGGAAAGATCGTTGTTGGCTTGACTGGGAGTTGACTGCACGAGGTAAGATCTACAAATATTCAGTGCAGAATTTAGAACTCACATCATCCATTAATGGTGAATTCGAACGAGTAGAGCAAAGATCTACTGATATGGCCTCCATAACTGGGGAGGTAAACGGTCCATATTCTTCGGCAACAGAGACCAAAATGTGGACAGGCTATCATGCATAATAAAGAGCAAGCATGTTTATAGCGATAACAAGTACTCACGATATTTTTCTGTCGAACTGTCTGCTTTGGGAGCCGGCCCGAAAAACACACCGTAAGGAGGATGCGCTGCAACGGTGCACCGTCAGAACTATCTGACCGACTTTCTGGATTGATAACAGTCGAAAAATGGGTGACTGTGTTGCTCATTGTGCAGAGTTGATGAAGATCAAGTTGTGATTGGAGACATCACGCCATGGGACTTCGGACTTGTTGATTTCAAAGACAAAAGCTCACGTGATCATCAGCGACTTTCGACGCTGATCAAGTCGCCAAGTCCAGACTTCAGTTCGGCATGACACTAAATAATGCAGACTTGGTTGATGGTATTGGTGCGTCTTTCGTCTCGTAGTATGAATGTTTTAATGAATTGATACTGCAGTCCTTCGATATTCCGATAACACCCGAAAGCGCATCCAATGCACGGTCTGCCCTCTCAAGCATGGCAAGTATCGTTTGATGGAGTTTCGACATATATCCAAACACATCATACAAGGAGTCCATGTCCGTCACGCTCAAATAAAATGTTCCAAGCAGCGCCGAAAAGTCGTTCAGGCCGCTGCCCATACTAATTATGTTGATGCCAATGACCCCTTCGATATGAATACCGACTCTCCGATGGACACGAATTTCTATGATGCGCCATCATCTATGGTGCCTGTGTCAGTGGAAGATAATGGGCCCTCCGAATCTGAACCTGGATTATCTGAGCTTTTGCACGAAATTGGTGACCGGACATTCGGATTCGATGAGGGACCTTTGGACTTGTTCGCAGAACTCAAGGCAATTATTACTTCGGGTGAAGTACCGTTCTCAATGCCACTTGCCCCAATCAACAACGAGCAAGAACTTTCTGATGACAGCGCTGATTTCGGGATAGAGCTTCCTGGTGAGTGACATTATGATTAGTTTGGCAAGCCTACATTACACTACTAGATGATATCTACGAAAGAACGAACATCAAGGACACTGTCCCACTGGATAGTCCAACATATCCTTGGCCGTCAAAAGCAGTTTGTCTCTCTTTGTGTTAGCAATATCATTGTACTTAAATCTACATTAAGCATTTCGTGACCTCACTCCTTTTCAGCTCTCCGCGTCTCCCGTTTTCTGATGCCCAGAAGAGGGCCGTTCTCAGTTGGGCGCAAGAGCTCGGCACTCGAGATGTCCCTTCACTTGGCGCCATCAAAAAATCCCATATGTATCTGGATAACATTGTTGGCGGTTTAACGGAGAAGGTGACAGCTCGCTCTGGGAGTGTATTCTATATTAATGATGTTGCGAAATCAATTGCGAAGGTAGGTTCGGTGTGTTTGTACGCAACAGTAACTATGATGCCATGATTTAGGACTATGCAAATCCCCTCACTCGTTTTGCGATGGAAGATTATCCGGAAGATGGCAGGGAGGGGATGTCGCAAGTGTTCAATGGCAAGAAGATGTTGCTTGACCTGCCCTCACCACCCGCGGCTCGTGTGGACGGAATGATCTATTTCACAGGTGAACTATTACAGGATGATTCTGGAGGGTATTTTATACCAGAGCGCTTTTTTCATGCCTTGCTACCTGTAGATTTGAGTGACGATGTCTCTGACCGTCAGATGGCAAGGCCTTATATGCGCTTGGTCGGGTGGTTGAACGAACGGAGGTACGTCTCCTTGTTGTGAAGGTATCTGGATATACAAAGTCCTCACTATATTAGGCTGGATTCATCATTAACGAGCAACGCGAGATCATCTCAACGTCCATGTTTGTGCGATCGTTTGAAGAGATTGCTGCAACTCCAGGCGAGCTCGACTGTGGCCTTACACGTGTGTTGATTTACATTCATCGCACCAGTGACTCACTACTCACAAAACAACAGCTTCGTCAGGAAAATATGCATCACTATCTCCGAATCCACTGCGTGCTAAGTCTAATGGCCGGATGGTTCATACGGTTCCTCTCATCATTTTTATGGACAATGTTTCTGGCAATGTCTCCAAACAATGGAACAAGCACCACGCAATCTATATGTCAAATGCCAACCTACCGTGCGAGATGCTCGAAAAAGAATTTTTCGTACGATTTGTCACATCGTCACCGCATGCTGCTCCCATGGAGCTTATGAGGGCCATGAAAGAGTCTATATGGTATGTTGTTTCCTTTATCTGCTGAAGTCGAAGTTCTGACTCAATCTGCAGTAACGCTGCCGAATCAGGTATAATTGCCTGGGATTGCAAGTATAACAAAGAGGTTTTGTTGATTCCGTACGCACTCTTCCTCGCTGGAGACAACCCCATGCAAGCAGAAGAATGTAGCCACGCCGGCTTAAACTGCAATTACTATTGCAGGACTTGCGATACTGGTGGGACGAAAGAATATAAGGCGTCTGGTGACGGGTACAGCAGTCTTTTCACGGTAGGAATATATTTGAACTACATTCTAATAGCTAATATTGTGCTTACAGTCAGGCAACCTACGAACACCTGAAAATACAATGGCAGAAGTCTGAAAACAGTTTGAGATCGCGTTGAAGTCAGGAGCGTCGGAGAAGATCAAGAATTCGGTATCATTGACTGGTATTCGTGATTCCACTTCTAGTTCGATCCTCAATGTGTTAGTAGAGCTCGGAAAGAAACTTCGAAAGTGTGCCGCTGGTACCCAAGCAATGCCAGAAGCTGAAGTTACAGCTGTCCTGGAGAAAGAGTTCGTAGAACTTTTGCAAGGTCACAAGCTCGATGACGCTATTAACCCATTGTTGGGAATGGAAGGTTAGTTTAGTACTCTAGTGATTTTGAACTCTCGTTCACGCTCTTAGCAGGCCTCGATATACACATGGACACTCCAACGGAAATTCTGCACACAATACTGCTCGGTATCGTCAAGTATTTTTGGGGGCAAACCGTGTTTTTGCTCGACAAGGCAAAGCTCATGGGCATCTTTCAGGTCCGTCTTGAGTCTGTTGATAAGGACGGACTCAACGCTCCATGCTTGAATGCAGACTACGTCTGTCATTACAAAGGCAGTCTCATAGGGAAACATTTCAAAAGCTTGGCGCAAGTGATGCCGTTTTTGATTTATGATCTCGTCCCTTCAATTGTTCTCAATGCATGGACTGTGATAGGAGAGCTCATCGTACTCGTCTGGCACACGAAGATTGTGGATATGAAAGCTTATCTTGTAGGTTTATGCAGAAATATGCGATAACTTTAGTTCATTCTTTTCTAGGCAAAGCTGTCTCGAACAATTCAAGATTTTCTTAATGTTACAGCACAGTGCACGCCTAGCATCATTATAAGCAAGCCCAAATTTTATTTCTTAGTTCATCTCCCGGCGTATATTCGACGTTTCGGACCAGCAGTGATATTTTCGACCGAACGATACGAGTCCTTCAACCATGTATTTCGTTTGTCGTGTGTATACAGTAATCGCCAAGCACCAAGCCGCGACTCCTGCCGAACATTCACTCATCAAGATATCGTCAAGCACATTGTCACGGGTGGGTATTGGTACGATAACAAAGCCTCAAAATGGGTCTGGGGAGGAGCGCAAGTTCTAGGGTATCTCGATGAACACCCAGAGCAAGCACGATTGCTCGGATTATCAGTCTTCAATCGTAATACTCCAGTACCTGGTAGTCCTAGCTTATGATTTCACTCTATCGCTACTGATTCTTTTCACACAGGTTCCGGGAAAGTTCAGACTTCTCTTGGTGCCAACGGAAAAACGGCAAGAAATGATATAGTAGCCTGGAAAGAAACTCATTGCTCGAAGATCCTGAAAACTGCCCAGCCTGACATCGCTTACTATCAAGGCAAATCAGTCGTAGCGAGGGAAGGGGATATCGCATATCTGAATAGTCATGTTATTTTCCACTGAACGACTGATGGTCAGGTGAGTGAATTCCTCACTGTATGGTTCTTGATTAATTGTTAGACATGCATCGGACGTGTTCGCGAGATCCTTGTATCATCCGAGAATCCGAACACCGTTGTTCATGTTGGACTCCAGCTCTTTTCATTCGCAAACCCTTTACATGCTTCTGTCCATCTACCCTGTCTGAACCTGATTGATGACGAGGTTGTCACACTGGCGGTGGTAAATTTGATATCCCATTGATCGTGTGCGCTATTTCTGACCCTTGCGAGGCTATAGGATATCATATGCGTCATTAATCTCCAGCACAACTGTGTTGATTCACAGTGTACAGACACCATCGAGGAACCTGTGCGCCAAGAATGGCTCGAAACTTCTCGTACAAAACCTATCATTCAGCACAAGTCAACACCACACTACTTCATCAATGCCTACTCTATTCATAACTACGATCATATCAATTCTGTAATTCCTGAGACGCTTCGTGAATCACCGCTGAGGGTTACGAATGTCGCAGAGGTTCGGGAAATGGCCTCACGACAAATGAAGCAGAAGAAGACTTTGAAGAAATCTGATGACGTACCTCAACTAGATGCTAATATGGAACATGATACCCAGATCCCTCTGGTGGCAGTTCCCTCCTTCGATCGGGCCCCTCCCAAGTCAAGGACTGCTGCAAAATCAAAGGCAAAGGCAACCACTTCCGGCACGCGAAGGAAGGCAGCAACATTGAAGACTGGTCAAGCAACTGCCGGACCCTCTAGCCAGCTTCTGCCTGCTCAGCAAGACTCAACGATTCATATCGGAGATCACCAAAATCAAGCCTACTTTGCGCCGCCACCAGGATTCCCTCCTCCCCAGTACTACTACCCTCCTCACCATTCACAACTTCCTCCACCACAGCTATATGGTTCGCTGCCACCAGCTCTGTATCTTTACTCCGGAGGTTCACAACAACGTCATGAGGTTTTAGAAAGGTCATATACCGGTGAGTTCTTCGCCGTTATTATAGCATAAAAAATCTAACTACACTCAGGCTATAACATGTACCCAAATCAACCCGAACCGCCGCATCTACAGCCACAGCCACATCAACAGCAGCAACAGCACCTGCAATTCCATCCGCACCCCCACCCCCACCCGCAACATTAGTTAGTGGTGGTGGCATACTGCAACTGCGACAGTGCCTGCTTCCGCTACCGCAACAAGCCTTAATCCACTTCTCACCCGCAGCACCAGGTGGAGGAAAAGCAATACTTGCTGCTCCCAGCGGTATCAAGGTTCTCTGGTATCTGTCGCGCCAACCTGTCCTGTAGATGGAGGGACTTTGCTTTGCAGCCTCAAGAAAGTATTATCATTTGTACTTATAATATGAATTTAGACCCCATCTCCCTCCTGTCTGATTTGTCTTGATGTGTGAGAATTGACGAATCTCGGTTGGGTGAATTGAATTGAATTAACATAAACTCAATTAAGTGTGTTTTAGACTTTTGAACCAACTCGCAGCACTGGTTGTCCTGCTCCCTCACTGTCTGCGACATCATGATCTCACAGCATCCTGTGCGTGCTCGCAGGAAACCACAAGCTAGGCAAACGACAGCAAATGGTCTACTCACACCTGGTGATGCCCTGCTTGGCCGAGGCAGGAGCATGTCAGCCAGCAGCAGAGGATCTCGACCGCCTTCAGCATGTGGTTCACAACCGCGTGGTAATATCAGTCGCGCACGCTCACCTCTAGCAGCCCATCCACCATTGGCCTCAACTGAGATAGCTCAGATTGCTGCCATAGCTCCCATCAGCATTCCATGTACGCCATCATCCGATGGCTCCCTCGACGAACCTATAACTATCGGTGTGCGTCGCCAAAGGGTGGATTCCGGTGTGAGTCTGGGTTGCCCTGTTACCCTTACGCCCCGCAGCACGAAACGGCTTAAAGTCTATGCAAATCAAATTGCGGAGGAAGTTGGTGTTCCAATCACCAGTCTTCACGAGTTTATCAATGTATGTATTTTTTTTAACTTGCTGTAAATGTACATGATTTAATGTTCCTTCAGTGTGGAGGCATATACCAGATGCTTGTCAGGATCGTAGCCCTTGTGCTCAAGAATGACGATGACGAAAAACTTAGATTGCTCGCCAATCTGAAAGAGTTACTGGGCTCTAAAGATTTCAAGGTATTATTTGCCGTGTCTGCACACATCACGAGTCTGACTTATCATTTAATGAGTCTGCACTTCAAAACCGTCTGACCGCATGCATGCTTTCGCCCAATATCACTGCATACGTGACAGATACACACCCGCAGATCTTGGTAGATTCTTTCCGATGCTACGAATGGAAATTGAAGCAAACTGACACCGTGACAGAAATTCATCAAGAAACACCAAGATGTATTCAAAGTTCCGGCATTGCTGTTCGAAGACGTGGAACTCACCGCACTTTTTGCTAAGGTCGTCAGCAAGTCTCTCTCTACAATCCGTGGCAATATGAAATCTAAGGTGCGTAGCGCTAATAACAATCGCAAATTTTTCTGAAATAATATTTTTTCAGTTGACTGCATCTATTGCTAAACGCACCAGTATCACAGACGTGGCCAGATCTTTCGCCCATGGTTGTATTGAAGTTGACGCAGCTCATTGGAACAGGCTCGCGTTTTTGGTATGTTTTTATCACAACGAATATTATATAGATAGTAACCTCTCGAGACTAGCGACACTGCTTGCGTGTCTACTTACTCGGCACTGGTAACTACAAAACCGTGCCTCTGCGTACTCTTTACTCCCCCCTGCTTGTACCTTCTCTTCCGAAAGAAGTCCGCCAAAAAATCGGACCACAGCTTGGCATCGACATCGATGAGATAGAGCACAACATGCTCGACGGTGACGCCGAAGAGGACGACAATGACACTGATGCCTTTCAAGATGATATCGCTCATGAAAATGCAGCCCCCAGGAATGTTGATGGCGACGATGGCCATGATGGGAATGAGAACGTTGATGCAGATGCGGACCACAATAAGGACGACGCAGACTTCGAGGCTGATGTGAACGACGCGGCGGACATTAATGTGGACGGATCGGTCGTTACAGAGAAAGACTTCTATATGGCGGGAAGGTTTTGGAATTTTGTAGACTCCTCGCTCACAGGCGCGCGCAAGGCTGCGAAGGAACAAGCAATGGAAGACAAGGGTCTAGCGTATGAGAAAGCATATAGCGAGTAAGTTTCTTGTTACTAGGTGTTGCGCCTTGTTGCTGATTATCACAAAGCATCCTTGTGCAGTACCTACAGCAGGATCTTTCTGATTTTCCTGGAAATACCAAAGTCCCAATGCTCCTCTCCACCAACCGCCCCCAGTGGCAATTGACCATTCAGAACCAACTCCTTTGGAGCCACGCGTAACGCTCGTTTATACTCTGCCTTGACACCATAGTAATCATGCCTGTACCTACTATCTACCAGTAATCTAATATTTTGTGTGGCTCGTTCCATTTATTGTGCACTCTTTCAGTGTGAGGATGGTGTGCGGGTGTCATCTAAGTATATTATATCTGAGAATTCAATCATATCAAGGTATTGAGCATATCTATATACAACATATGAAAGCTACCCTGTGTGACAGGTACGAACGAGATGTCTGTGCTAGATGTGGTATAAGATATATTCAGCACTTGTCATTTCCTATATAGACTAAAGCTCGGGTAACTAATATATTTTGAGTGTCTTGGTGATGTGTCTCAGTGGTCGTTAGTATATTTCTCAAGCCCGGCACATTCTCTCTTCACTAGGACTATAATATATTTATCTCCAATAAGTGGTGCGAAAGTTATGTGACTAAGGTCGTGGAAATATGCGCTACAGCTTACTATTTTTGGGACTGTATAATAGATTTTCGGCAGCAAGTAGTGTATGCTTGCTTGGCAAAATCCGGAGTTTTCCCTGATGGGGTTATGCCATATCCACTATTTCGTGATTTTTGCCTACAGCACTCAATTCAAAGTAATTGCCTACTTGACTGGGTAAGTTCTACATACTATACTATCATATCCCTGTTGACATTCAACATCGACTCTTCTGTATTCCTTTCTTTCGTTTGTCATCACGGACTCTATAGCACGCACCTTATCATTACTTTGTATCACGTTGTTTGTACCTCAGCGCTTCTTTCACCAACGCTGAGGTACAGTTCATGTTTACTTTGCACGCCGCCTTTCACTTACGATGTTTCATCTCTAGACTTGTTCCTTTAGGTACTATGAATGTTAGCGCTTCTTTCACCAACGCTGAGACTTGTTCCTTTAGCTTTCACGTTCCTACAGGTTATGAGCCCTGGCTTAACCCAAAGCCAGACACAGAAACTCTGAACACGCTCACGCGCTGCTTGCCGCTCTCATCTTACTCTTCTCCACGATGGTATCGTCATGGGAAAACATGATCACATTCCCGAGCTGCTTGGAACGGAAAATTATGTTGGTTGGGCCACCAAAATGCAATACGCACTCGCCTGCGAAGATCTTTGGTGTCACATCAACACGAAGGCCGAACCAGGGGATCTTCTTGGGCTACCTTCAATTATGCCTGCACCTGTTGATCCTGTCAACCCCACGACCGCCGAGACGACAGCAATGCGTGAATGGTTGCTCCAGGATATGAAGGCTAAGGAGCTCGTTACTCGGCGGCTCAGTTCCCCGGTATCATCGCTCATTCCCCGCTCGCACACTGTTACAGCACGTAAAGCATGGCAAATCCTACAGGAACACTTCAATTGTACCAACATGAGCGCCCAGTACCTTCTTCGTCAACAAGTACAGGCGCTCCATATGAAAGACTCTGCAGACGCCACGAATTACATCGCGCAACACGCTGTTTTCCGCGAACACTTACTTGATGCGGGTGCTCCCTGGGGAGAAACCGACGCAATCTATCATATGCTGATGGGCCTTCCTCATACGCCCATTTGGCAGCAGTTTAAGTCCTTACTCGAGCAACGCATGCACAATGAGTCCATGGCCAGCGCATCCGCCACTGCTACCAACCCCGTTGTACGCACTTTTACCTTTGAAAGTTGTGTGTCTCACATCACGTCTGAAGCTGCAAGACACGTTGTAACGCAGCACGCTCATTCTTCTCGTCCAGGTTCTGAGTATGCTAATGCTGCTACTACTTCCACTGCAAGCGGTACCAACACCATCACTGGACTGCGCATGCACAAGCACAACCCTCAGGGGGTGTTTTGCACCACGCCTGGTTGCAACAAAGGCGATCACGATCATGTGCACTGCTATGGGAAGGGCGGCGGGATGGAAGGACAGGCTCCCTGGATGAAAAATAAGGCGAGGAAAGATGCGGTCTCTGCAGCTGCCATCACAGTCCCTACACCAGCACCTGCACCTCCCAGTACCGTCACACCCGCCATTGCAGCTGCAGGCGTCGCCGGTCTAATGAGCCTCATGGAGAATATGTCTTTTGCGTCCATCGCTGAAGTCCCTGACGAAGTTTCTTGCGTCACTGGCCTCCCCTTCACCATGATTCTTGACTCCGGTACTACCCTCACGCTTGTCAAAGACCGTCGATTCTTCCACACCTACTCCTCAGAGAACACCGTGCCCGTGACCACCGCAAACCACGGGATACTCCAAACGACTGGGCGCGGGAGCTGTGTGGTCTGGTGGATGATTGGCGGATGTCGTCTCCGAGTCCGCTTATCGAACTGTCTTCATGCACCGGGGCACTCCTCAATCTCTTATCGGTTAGTTGCATGAACGCCAAGGGGTGGGACGTTAATTTCCGATCGAACATGACATGTGAGTTAGTGTTTAAGGGAACATCGCTGGGATCCATTCCCACCACAGGCAAACTGTATGCGCCTGATGTTGAGTTCATCCCATTTGACACCCTTACACCTACACCTGCTCCTGAACCGCTGATTTCTGCATTCGTGCACGTGCCTCTCACGCTGGACCTCTGGCATGCACGCATCGGTCATATTGGCAAGGAAGCGGTCATGCGACTGAGTTGTGTTGCCAAGGGCATCACGCTGGATACCTCTACTCCACTGTCTCACTGCGAATCCTGCATCTTTGCGAAGCATCCGCATCTACCCTTTCACTCATCTGAGACCGAACGCGCCTCCTCCTTCCTTGAGCTCATCCACGCAGATGTCTGTGGACCCATTCCAACCATCACACCTCACGGAAAACGTTACTTCGTGATTTTCCTTGACGATCATACTCACGCACTCGACCTCCAGCTACTCGCATCCAAGGATCAAGCACTGGAGGCATGGCGGACATTACGGGCACGTTGGGATAACTTGTCCAGGCTACGTGTGAAGGTGTTCCGGTCAGACAACGGGGGGGAATTTTTGAATGACGCTTTTACCAAGGATCTTGAGGAGACCGGAGTCCAACGTCAACGCTCTGCCCCATATGCTCATCAGCAGAATGGTAAAGCAGAGAGGGTGATGCGTATGATCGAAGGTCGTATGTATGCGATGTTGGACTTTGCGTGTCTACCTCCATCGCTGTGGGGTGAGGCAGCACTCACGGCGTGCTACCTGTTCAACCAGACGGAATCGTGGGCACTACCTCCAGGGAAAACGCCATATGAGATGTTGCATGGGACTCAACCTAATCTAGGTCACCTTTGCATTTTTGGTGCAAGATGTTTTGCACGCATTCCTCCTGAACTGCAGGATAAGCTTGGACTGCGCTCGAGGGAAACCGTTTTCATGGGGTACCCACCTGGGGTCAAGGCATGGCGATGCCGTGATGCAATCACCGGCGCTTTCTTCAATTCCTGGGACATCATCTTCAATGAAAGTCTTCTAAATCGACATTCCTCCGACAGCGACGATGATGAGGATATGCCTACCATTCCCGCACCACCAGCACCCTCTTCCGCTGTCGCCCCTGCACCACCTCCTGTCCCGCCTCATGTCAACATCATCCGTCGATCTGGTCGAGTACCTGTCCCCACGGAGAAAGGGCAATCTCTCAAGGAGCAAATCGCGAAAGACAAGGCACGACTCACGCGTCAACGCGACCTTCGTGCAGCTCGTGTCACCGGAGTGCCTCCTCCTCATCCCAGCATGGATCCTCCACCTGCGCCCATTGTCCCAGTTCCCACTCACATGCCTGACCCGCCACCTCTCCCTCCCATCGACCCAGACGCTATCCTCCCCAACAATGAAGAAGTTGGCTTTCCCCAGGTCATTGCATCCCTCATCATTGCTGAAGTTGCCTGTCTCTCGGTGCGTAGCGACACGCGTCGCAATCCCCACGCACCCGGGTATGACCTCAAGGTACCTCCCGCGACCTACGATGAGGCAATGCAGCGACCAGACCACGAGCACTGGCTGGCGGCTATGCATAAAGAAATGAACCTGATGTCAGAAATGGAAGTATATGAGCTCGTGCCACTACCTGATGATCGTCGGGCCATCGGATGCCGGTGGGTGTTGGAGTTCAAGGAGGACTTGAAGGGCGGACCTGTTTTCAAGGCGAGGTTAGTGGCACAGGGCTTTTCTCAAATCCCGGGAGTCGACTTTGGTCGCACTTTTGCTCCCGTGGCTAAATCCACCTCCATCTGGGTACTTTCAGCCTACGCTGCAGCCAACGACTGGGAACTTGACTGTTTTGACGCGAGGCGTGCCTTCTTATGGGGGAAACTCCAAGAGGACGTCTACATGCGTCAACCCCCGGGTTTTGAGCGCGATGGTCCTGATGGCCTCCGTCTGGTTGCTCACCTGCTCTCTTCCTTATATGGTCTCAAGCAAGCCGCTTTCGACTGGTACGAACTCCTTCGTGAAGTACTGTCACGTCTCGGTTTCTTGCATTGCGATGCTGACTACGCCGTTTTCATCTTTGATCGCGTCAACGGCGAGGGGGTGAGAGTAATCTGCATCATCGCATGGCATGTAGACGATGGACTTGCGGGTTCAAACAACCATATGTTCCTTGACCAGATGAAGGCGCAAATTGCAGAGCGGTTTGGCATCACTGACCTTGGACCCGTGACGAAGTATCTCGGCATTCAGTTCGTTCGGGATCGACAGACCCGTGAGCTATGGATGCATCAAGGAGACTATATTGCGTATCTGCTGGCAGAGCATGGCATGTCGGATTGCAACCCAGTGGCGCTGCCCATGGATCCCTCCTTCCCTTTCGGCCGTCCAACCGACGTGTTTCCCCATGTCGACGATCTTCAGACAGAATATCGCAAGCTCATTGGGGAGCTCCTTTACTTGGCCATGTATACCCGTCCCGATATTGCCCTCACCGTCATGCGATTGGCGCAACACAACATCCTCGCCAAACCCAAGCATCATGCAGCCGCCAAACACGTCCTTCGATATCTCGCCGGTACAAAGCTCCTCCGTGCGCACTACGGGGGTGCAGGTGTCAATCCAAGCCTGCACGGATTCTCTGACTCTGATTGGGCCTCCTGCCCTGAGGATCGCATATCGATCTCGGGGTATGTCTGGTTCTTCAACGGCGGGCCCATCTCCCACTCCGCGAAGAAGCAGACAATGCAGGTGCTATCGTCAACCGAAGCCGAGTATATGGCGCTCACCTCAGCCATTCAGGACGGGCTCTGGCTCCAGTCCTTCTTCGGATGCCTCAGCATCCCCCTCTCCTTGCCACTACAGCTGTTCGCGGACAATGCAGGCGCCATAGCTCTGTTGAAGGAGGCCGCGAACCACATCAGAACGAAACATATCGATCTCCGATATCATTTCATCCGTCGCCACATTGAGGACAAGACGTTCCTGCCTGTCTGGTTGTCGACTCACAAGAACACAGCCAACATATTCACCAAAGTCTTACCTCGTCCAGCTTTCACTCATCACCGGTCCGGTCTCGCGCTCGTGTCGTGTTAAATAGAATTTCTTCATTGTCTCATTGAGGGGGTGTGTTGACATTCAACATCGACTCTTCTGTATTCCTTTCTTTCATTTGTCATCACGGACTCTATAGCACGCACCTTATCATTACTTTGTATCACGTTGTTTGTACCTCAGCGCTTCTTTCACCAACGCTGAGGTACAGTTCATGTTTACTTTGCACGCCGCCTTTCACTTAGTGCTGCCGCGGTCCGGTCCAGAACCACGGTTCGAACCGGACTTTTGGTCCGGTTCTCTGTGGTTCGGTCCATGGTGCCCTCACCAGCCAGAACCGGACCGGAAAGCGGTTCTGGGTATTGGACCTTCACTAGTGGTCCGGTTCTGGTTCGACTTTCCCGAACCTTCCCAAACCGTTCCTTGACCTTCGAATTCCCTCGACTTCGACACCAACCATGACAACATCAGTGTCCATGTCGACATCAAAACACCATCTTCGAGATTTGCATTATTTGTTAATCAGGCTACTGTTAGCCTTTTTGAAGGTAAGTACTAATCAATTTATTCTCAAGACTCTGACATATGTTTACCTATATCACAGATATCTACTTGTTCTAGTCTATATGCTTCCTGGATAGTCATGATCCTCCACCGGTTCTCAACTCTAACAGATCTCCTTGGATATTGTCGCTCTGTGGTGTTAGGCTATGTGCCATGCATAAAACAGGGTGCCGACCAAAAAACTGTGAGTTATTTGCCTGACGATGTCTGAAGACTGCTGTGCTCTGAACGAAGGTCGCAAACGGGAGGGCTCGTCTTGAGGCAGTGATGAGTACTATTCAAACTTAAGTACCCTACCGGTCTCTAACTCCAGATGTATTCTTAGTTTGACAAATATTATCAAGCGCCTCCAGCCCCAGGACCACATCCCAAGGAGCCAGAGGCCATGTCATCAACAACGAAAGCTTCGATTCGTTATGGTGCTTCCTGGATGCGCGACGCTATCATGGAACGTCAAGCTACAGACCATCGCACGCGCGATCCTCATCAAGAGCTCTCTGCATACCTTACTTCACCATTGGAGGAGACTGATGATGTTGTGGCATGGTGAGGTGTAAGTCAGCCCTCAAATTCATTGTTCCCCGCTTACATTCTTGATTAGTTACATTCGCTGCAGTACCCAACACTAGCTCGTGTTGCATGTGATTACCTGCCCATTCAAGGCAGTTCTGTTCCCTCTGAACACACTTTCTCCAGCACAGGCATCACATCAACTCTGCGCCGCAACGCACTCGCATCATCCACTTTCTCCATGCTACAATTGATGAAGGCAGCCTATAAGAATGGACATGTGTCAGCAGCAGTAGAGGCAGAAGGGTATGCAGTTGGTATGCAGTTAGACTAGCTACCCAATGTCATGTAGATGTCTTGTGAATGTTTTTTCCGTTGCTTGAAAAATTTTCGGTTCGGTTTGCGTTCGGACCAGACAAGAACCGGACCGGACCATTGAGAACCGTTCTCAATGGTCTGGTTCTGGGTTCGACAATTTTAAAGAACCGAACCATGGTTCGGTTCTTGGTTCTCGTCAAGGACCCTCTGAACCGGACCGAACCGGACCACGGCAGCACTACTTTCACTTACGATGTTTCATCTCTAGACTTGTTCCTTTAGGTACTATGAATGTTAGCGCTTCTTTCACCAATGCTGAGACTTGTTCCTTTAGCTTTCACGTTCCTACAATCCCAAGTCAAATGAAACAAATACGTTGAGAAATGGTGGAGATCGTGTGTTCAGCGTGACAGCATGGTTCGGTGTCACCTGTTAAGCGAGCTTGGCCCTGCAGTAGTACTGGAGGATCTGGTGATGTTTGGAAGCGTTCTTTTTTTTTTTTTTTGAATCCAATTTATGTCCTTCAATTGCAGAGTTGTACTCTATGTAGGACACTACTTTCTAAACTAAGGGACCCCCGGTGTCCCTTTTTACATCCCCGAGTGCGCGAATGCCCTGACGTAGGGCGTACCCCCATCAGTCCGCCGTTCCCGCCGGCCGTTTTAGACGCGCCACTCTGATGGGGGGGGGGATGATTTATGAATGCTCTACGTGTTGATGTACTGTCTGTGGAAGCGTTCTTGGTCTCGACGATCTCAGGATTCTGAGGTAATTGTGCACTCGATCGAAAATTCACAATATTAACCACCTTTTAGGTTGCGGTCAAATTAGCCAGGGTTCCTCAAGCAAACGACACGGAACTGGTGAATAGGACAAGCAAGGTAGGAGAAAAAACGAACTGAAAGTCATCGTGTTCATCGATTTGAACTCAGAGGATTCGTCGCGAGGCTTATGTTTGGATTACCTTAGAGCATGAAAATATTCTTACTTTCAATGGTGTTGTTGATGGCTTTGGGCCACTCCCTGCCCTAGTTTCTCCATAGATGGAAAATGGATCGCTCGATGATTATCTGAAAAGGGGACGTGTTCCTTCCAAGGCCGACAAACTGAGAATGGTACGCACTGTATCTCGCAACATCGGACGAGTTCTGACATGTCTTTAGTTGAGACAGATGGCGGCCGGCCTCAAGTATTGTGCATCTATATTTTTTTCTGTATCTGATCAGAAACGCTCACTGACTTGTTAGTACATGACAAAGAAGTGGTCCGTGGCGATTTAAGATGTGTACATGTTAAAAGTCGTAGCTACGATGTCTCCTCGATTTACAGACCAATGTTCCCGATGGGAGGCTCAATCTTGCAGACTTCGGTCTCTCAATGATCCTTTCGGAAGCACAAAACTCCACCTTCAGTTCGTGCCATCCAGGAAATGTGCAGTGGATGGCGCCTGAGATGCTTGCTATGCCTGAGCAAGGGGAGGTGGCGATACCAACCAAGGCCGCCGATGTTTACTCATATGCTTGCATCATGCTTCAGGTGTGTTGTTCCCCATTCGATTCCATGTAAGTTACCGTGCTATAATGTGCAGCTGCTTTGTGGAGGTACGCCTTACCTCCGGCTAACGCAAGCGAACCACGTTGTTGCAGCAAGAATGGCAGGAACAGAGCCCTTCCGTCAATTCACTGATATCGAAGACGTACACAAGGAGTATTCGTTGAAATGCGTATCTGTCAGGTCCAGAGATCGACCAGTGGCTTCTGCGGTTGTAAAGCAGAGTAACAACAATACAATGAACTAGCCTAGGATGCTGTGTATTCGGAACGACATTTATATGTTTCCCGATTTATCACTGCCTTGTTTACATATACTATGAGGAATGGTATTGCATGCAGTCTGCTAGCGCATTAGTATTGCTCCTACATAAATACAAATACAGCTAGTGTATCATACGACACTGAGAAGTGAGAGCGGACACCGAGCAATATGATATATGATAGGAGACACTCTCAGTCAACATAAGAACAAGAAAGATGACCACTTCAAAACCGAGACCTTATGCAGACGAAGTTTCATTTGACAGTGCTTCTTGAAGATAGTTTATTACCTCTTCTACTGACGGCCGAAGCTCACTCTCCGTTGACCAGCACCGCCGCATAAAATCCAGGTGATTAGGCTCGATCTCGACGGAGGAGTCAATGGGCTCTGTGCGTTTGAACTTGGCAGAAATGACGTGTATAGCAGACTTCAGCCACCAGTAAGGCTGTTTCCCATGTAGGACCTGCACACAGGCGATGTTAGTGTCACTAGCCAGCCCACGCGAGACCACGAACCTGAAGCATGATACCGCCGAGAGCGTATATGTCAGTAGATTTCGTTGCGCATTGTATGGGTTGGTCTTCTGGGGGGTCAACAAGCTCTGGAGCGACCCAACGTACTGCACCGGTATGGTAGGAAAAGGCGGGGTTGGATTGTACCATGATATTGGAGATACCAAAATCTGCAAGACGAGGGGATCCATCGGCAGCAACCAGAACATTACCCTACAATTACCATAAGATGATTCAATCTGGTTGTACGGTGTGGTATGGGTAAAATGTGTGAACTTACGTTGGTGAGGTCGCCGTGTATGACGTTATGGTCGTGGACTGCAGAAAACAAAGTTATATTTGTGACATCCATAGTTAATTCAATACTCACGGTATTGGAGTCCCTCTGCAATTTGTTTAAGCTATTGAAAACGTAGTAAGTTCCCGTACTCGGCTTCATGGATAAGACTCACCAGCCGAAGCCTATCTATCATCGAGAGGGTCTCATGTGCATGCTCAAGGTAAGATTCCAAAGTTCCGTTCGGCATCCAGGGGGAAACAAATGCGCGAAATGGGCCGAACTGCTCTACGGTGCCATGCAAGGGCAATACATATTGATGCTTCAACTTGGCCCATATACGGGTCTCGCGGTCGAAGTTCTGCGTCTCAAAAGTTCAGATATGCGGCCGTCAGACTGGACCCCAATGTACCTTGTTGATTATGAAAATGTCAGAATCACTCAGACTTGGGAATCGTGGGTATTTGACTGCCACCTGAAATCATAATCAGGAGACAGGCAGAAAAAGTAAGTCTATTGAAATACCTCATCCGAGCTTTCGCCCCGGTTCCATGTACACTTGTAAACATCTCCAAGACCACCCGAGGCGGTTGGGTAACTGGTTTGCCTGTTTATATCACCTAGTTTGATACAGGGAACACTACTACTGTTCCATGTTTATAAAGTCCTGCTGAGGAAAAGAAAAGACATACGAGGCTTCCGTAGGGAGGTGCCCACTTGAAACATGATCGTCGGAAGTTCTATTGGGAGTGTCAACACTCGGGGTCTGGCTTGCGGGACTGTCCTCAGCGTAATGCTGAATACAAGGTGCCTGGCCACTTGGCGCACGGCTAACCTGTTGAAGTGAGATGGATGAATGACTCCACGGACAATGTCAACAAACATACAAGATCATGAAATAGCTGTTGCAAACGTTCGAGCATGCTGACGGGAAATCAGTGGGAAACAGTGCTGTTCCCCAAAACCGATGAACTACAGTCTTTTATGCAGAAAACACTAGTCCGGCCATGTCGCAAGGATATCCTACCGATAATTACGGTGGAAGGAGGCTGCGTAGGGTCGAACTGAGGACACCACGACTGATACTGGTCGAAGCAACGCTGTGGATGAATTCGATCAATGATGAACACCCTTCCACTACATCGGACGCTCGTATCAGCAGGCGTCAACTCGCTTCTGATCTATGGCGGACAATGAAACGTGTTGTCAGGGATGTGAAGAGCACTGGCAGCACTGGAAAGAGTAGTAATTGCGCAAGGGAACACTTACTCTCGGGGGCTTTGTTAGCAATAGATAATCATCGTGGCAAAGAGATAGCGCTTCGAGAAAGATGTCATGATAGTTCTAACTTCCCCGGATACAAAACGTTGTTAACACGAGTCAGTCGTTCAGTGAGGGTCATATTGTATTCTTGAAGGCTTCAGCCAAATTGAAGAAATTGACGGCTTGTGCGATCAGCCTTCTCTCAGTCAGTCTTGACTGAGAAAAGCAACTGATGACTGACTGCGATGAATTGACTCGTCCCATTCTGCCTGCACCAATAATTTTTGAATCGCTTGTTCATATAGTAATAAGGCGTGCAAGGCGTCTTTAACGCTTGCACAGGACCTGAAAGAAACATGCCCACGGGTGACAAGTTCTAAGGTGAAGAGTCGCAACAACCTGTGCTGTTGTTCAACCGATCACCAAGGAAATTGGCAACTGGGCCATGTTGAAACCGCGCTTTAGTCGCGAGGTTTTTATGCAATATGACTCATGGCCCAAGATACGGAACAAATCGGGGATGTAAGGTGGCGTGTGGTGGCGTGTGGAGGTAAGGTTCCGTAGTTTTGCTTCTTGTGTAATTCGATCATCCAGCGTTGATGCTCAGGTGTTTGCAAGCGAACCTATGAGGAAGTCAGTCCTCCACCTTAATCGATTAATCAATCATGAAGGCTTTTCTTCGTTCAAATCACCAATATTCGCAGCTAGATGTCTTGGGCTTGCATAACAAGACCTGCATCTCCTGACTATCGTGTAGACGCCGATTTTCAGCTCATGAGTGACACAAGTCGCCTGCACAGCTCGAAAACCCTAAGGCTTCGTACGCAGACCTAGATCGAACGTTTTCAGCATGTTATTCAATACTAATTTGTACATACCTTCACGATTGCCGCTGCAAGAGAAGTTTCGAAATCATTGTCCGGCACTGGTTTCTAATAGTACCACGCAACTTGAATGAATGGATAAAGTGTCAATAGGCTAGGGCACAAGATCCACTGTGGTGGCAAGAGGTGGCTGAAAAGACGTTTGCCTGCCTTCCTCCCCGTGACACAGAGTAACACCTATTCTTCCCTCGGGAAACCAGTCAAATAAAATCAGCATTGGCAGAGAAACCTCCCATGCTTGTCAACGCACACACGTACAGATTGGAGCTAGGGACCTTTATGCCTTAAGGCGGCGTCAACGTCCCTGCAGCCGCACGGACCATTGTACAGCATCGATTAAAACATAGAATAGCCACACACCTCGAAGCACGACACAGTATGTAGTGTCCACCGTAGGGCCCTGCCCCAGGACAATAAGCAAGGGAAAAACCCTAGGCACCAGGATCACCCGCAATGCGACGCTGGCATGAACGATGCACGACTCCTGATCGATGATCGTTCAACGTTCAACTCTATCTCTCCACATCTCGCACCACAATATTCCCCTGTGCCTTTGCCCGACACCATGCTGACGGAGTGCGCGTTTATCTATTCAACACATGTCAGACTACATACATGATACACCGGCACACTTACAAGAAGTTAGCGCTATATGTCTGGCGTGTAATCTTCGAGCGCAAACGACAATAAATAAGATTTTTTTTTTTAAAAAAAAAAAAAGACATGCTCACTGAGTGACGCTTGCGCGCATGATCGATGAGGTAAGTAGCGTGCGTCGTTTACAAATACGTCTGCCCGGCGGCGACTTCCCGAAAAGGGTCAGTAAAACACCCTCCGGCTAAAACCGATTATGTATGTACCAAATAATAAACCGTCAATGATATATATGTAGTACATTTCTATCTATTATCTGGAGCGATTTCCAATTGGTGTCAATGCCATGTGCGCGCTCCACTTTGGGTTGATTCATATCACCTTGATCGATCGTTCTCATTCGACCCTCGTCGCGGGCGGAGTTCGAATTCCAACATTCCTAATTCTAATCATTACCACGGCGTCTACTAGCTGCACCTTCCACGGCATTACATTAATGTGGGCATTCAAAATGCCTCTCCGTACTCACTCGATAAGAATCGCTTCTGGAAAATGTCGGTTTTGGTTTTGTTCCTCTCGCTACAGACAGTGAAGACACTAGCAGTGTGATGGATCTTCCCGCGTCCGTCTTCACTTTCGGACGTAGCTGCCACTTGCGCTCCGAGAACAAAGGCTCCTTGAAATTCATTTCGATCTCCCCATTCTCCTTTCGCACCTCCTGCGTGCTCTTTTCATGGCGTCGCTGGCATTCAAAATGCTACCGACCTTACGTGGTTTGTGCCGATTCCTGTGGAATCAGAAGACACTGTTGGCGATTTGACCGTCTCCGTCTACCAGAACAGAATCGTACTTCATTTCCGATTCTCAGAGCAGATACTCCCAGAATTCAACCAGTCAAAAAAGGTTTAGTACGGAACGCGTGTGTCTGCATCACGAGTCTTCATCGCAGGTTAGTAGAAGTGTAAATTCCCAAGACATGACAAAGACACTACAGTACTACCTGCCTCGCATTACCTTCACCCTCAATCCAGCGGGTTCAAGCTGGATGGTCAACCGAAAGCAGTTTCCATGTGCGAGGTCATAGAGGCTTTTTCGAGAACCGGGGAGAAGAGACAACGGCTAACGTAGTATACTATTATAAATCAATATTAATCAATGCGCAACCGTCCGAAGGGGACAGGAGCGCTTATAAATAAAATCGATTAGCGATCGATCAGCTCTCTGAATGATCTGATCCTAGGAAGTTCAGAACATCGACGGCAGAAGGGCGATGTCCTATATCACCCCAGCATCTCTCAATGAAATCCCAGAAAGAACCTGCGTCGTGCGGACTTGATGGTTTTGTAGGCTTCTTACCCTTCAGTATCAGGACAATGACTTGATGATCGCTTCGCACATCTGCATAGGGTGGTCTGCCTGTCATAACCTATGGAATCTTTAGTCGCAAATTAACGCAGCCACTAGGGAACGTCTCGAACCTGAAGCATGATGCATCCCAAGGAATAAATATCGCTGGCTGATTGTGGAGTCAATGACTCTTCGTTCTCGGACACCTCGAATAGCTCTGGCGCAGCCCACCGCACGTTGCTTCTGATGTATGAAGTCCCCGAGAGCTCAGAACACATTGTGAGAATTCCATGGTCTGCTACGTGGGCATTGTGGTCTGAATCTATCAGAATGTTGTTCTGGCGTTTCAGATCAGAGCTAGAAGGCAGGTATCAGACAACTAGTACATACGGCGGTAAGGTCGCCGTGGACAACCCCCTTCGAGTGGACTGTAATGCCGTTACTTATTGTTTTCACAAACTATTGAGAATTCCACATACGGTAGCTGATGGCTGCAGCGACTTGCCGCAACTAAGGTTCCAATGAATATCATGATGTACCAGCACTTCTGAGATACCACTCACAATCCGAAGCTTTTGTTCCATGGTCATTTCCGTGAAATGGTGTTCAATATATGTGGTGAGCGAGCCGTTGTGTATCCAGGGGGAAACCATCGCTGGAAGTAGTCCAAATTCATGACTGAAACCGAGCAGAGGCAAAAGATTTTCGTGATGCAGTTGCTTCCGTGCACGAAAATCACCCAAGAGTCTCTGAAGATGTGAGGTTTGAGCAAGCGCATCACATGTACAGGGAAAACCGATAACGTACTTGAGTCACTCTGACCCTGAATTCGTCACCTGCGACATCGATCCTTATAGATTTGACTGCTACCTGTTGACATGGATTCAGATTGCTGGACAGTCATACGTGTAGCATACTTGCCTCCAGGCCTGGACGGTTGGGTGCGATATAGGTGCATTTCCACACATCCCCGAAACTACCGTGCGCTATTGGATGAGGCGCCGAGTCCTTGGATACGAATCCCGTAAGGTCGGGCAGACTGCATTAAAAGTCGCATGAGGAAGTGCGTTGCCACAAGGTATTATGAACTTACTCGTTGTCGGGGTCCATCCCACTAGTGGTGGCTATCATAACAGACGAGCTGCTTCTCCACCACAACAGCTTCCTCCTGACATTCTCTAACCAAGACCTGCAGTAGGACAAGAAAGGTAGAATCATTTAGGTTAGTAGGCTCATGGATTGGCTCTTTGAATGAGGCAGGATGAGCGCAGAAACAATAAGATAATATAGTATATTAGAACCTCCTTTTGCAAATATGAATAGTACTTTTCAGATTATTTGGTCAACAGTCTGTCGTGCTAGACGTCCTCACGGTTTCTTCCATTGAATCCGCAATATAGAACCAATGACCGGCTGGCCTTACGTACCGATGGGCTTCCTTCTAGCAGCAATACCCGCACCAATAGTCACTTCCTTTCCGCTTGAATCACCTTCCTTCTCTGGGCGTTCCGCCTCGTCGTGCAGAGCAAATGAATCGACTTCAAGTAGCCCAAACAGAACGTTCTCGTTTGAATGGGCGTTAATGATCGTAAAACTTCATTCTCCGCCAGTGACTACAACATCATATGAACGAGTCAAGTCCTGCGGTGTTTTGCCTTGAAACATTCACATTGCTAGAACAGAATAGCCTGCATGATACTATATCATTTCATTTATTCGCAGGAGACAGATAGAACGGCCGTACTGCCACAGTTTAGGCACATGAACAACACAACCAGGTAGGGGTTGGCAATATTGCAAGCCTTGGAGTGTGCGGATCGAATCATGGATCTCCCAAGTTGGTTCTTCTAAAATCGATGAACCTCCATTTAATGTGCACGGAACCCCAAGAAGTCGATGGCCATACTTGTCTGATACAAAAACGTGATGGAAGGCCATCACTGTAAACGGCAAGCACTAGCGAACGGTCAGACAACGGATAACGTGGCATGGAATTTAACGAAATTAGATCCACAACGTTGTATATGAGTAACCAAACATTCGACAATATCGTGCGATGTCCAATCACCATTGATTATAAGCGAAGACCGTAAAGCTCTCCGGGGTTAACACATAGCATCTCTATAGTGATCCATCAAATCTCGGACATCAGCAATAGGAGGTCGCTGTGATGACTCAGCCCAGCATTGCTCGATAAAGCTCCAGTGACAATCTTCAATAGCAGGGATGTCTGGACGCTTAGGCTTGACACCTTTGAGGATGGCCACAACCACCTGGTGGTCACTGCGAATGTTATAGTACGGCTGCTTGCCCGATAAAACCTGACACAAATGAGAACAAGAGCGCTGTAAATACACGTTGTCGACAGACCTGGTATGCGATGCATCCAAATGAGTAAATGTCACTTTCTAGTTTTGGCGAGCTAGATGCATCCTCGGTGTCCGGAACTTCGAAGAGCTCAGGCGCAGACCATCGTACATTACTCCTGATGTAAGAGGTCCCGTTCAGGTCGGAACATGTAGTCAAGAGCCCATAGTCTGCTACAATAGCTCTTCCTTCGCTATTGATGAGCACATTGCTCTAAGAGGAAACGGAGACGTGAGTAGTGTCACAAATCTGCATACCACAGTTGCTTACACCTGTGAGATCCGCATGAACTACCCCCTCAGAGTGGACTAGGCACCATATACTGTCAGCTTATCTTAATGCAATGCAAAAATGACATGGCATACGATATTGAAGACCAGCAGCTACATCAGCAAGCTGTTACGGCGCTCGTGAGTTGTGGTGCAGCTAATGATCATTGAGGAAGACTTACCAAACCGAACTTGTGAGCCCCAGAGAGAGTCTCATAGTTTTTACCAAGATACGTGCTCAAGGATCCGTTGGTCATCCATGGAAATACGATAGCTGGTACTGGACCAAATCCGTAGGTAATCCCGTACAAGGAAAGAATGTTATCATGACGCAGTAGTTTCCACTTGCGGAAGTCATCCATTAACCTCTACAAATATCTTTATATCATTAAAGCGACATCATGATCATGTCGGCCCACCTCGTTGACAATTTTCTTGAAACTGTCATCCTGAATTTCGATCCTGACACATTTAACCGCCACCTTAAAACTCATCATCAGATATCAGAATTTACTACGAAACTCATACCAACCTCCACATTGCCATCATTGTCTGAGAACATGCATTTCCATACGTCACCGAAACTGCCCTGGGCAGTAGCATAAGCCAATTCCTTCACGACCTTCGCAGTGAGATCGACTGGGCGTCTGAAATTTTTGGTACATGAGTCAGCTTCATTCAAGGTAAAATCAGTCTACTCACTCATTATCATTGGAGCCTACATCCAGGTGTGTCACGCCCGACGTTTCTGTTTCCGGTTGGACCTTCCGCCATTTCTTGGGCAGCACACTCAGGCTGAAAATCCATGCGGAAAAAGTATTCATCTGTCGGCCTGGTAACGTAATGAGGTTGAAACTTTATAGGCCCGGGGGAGCTGAGGTAACCACGAGAACGAGAATAAATACTAGACTTTGCGAAACCTCTGCCCTTATATCGACTTCGAGAGAGGTGGCTGGCTGTAGATTGTATACTAGAACGAGCGCTAGATCCATGGGAGTACATGCCACGATCACAGGAATATGCCGTTGGTGTCAAACGTAAAAACGGACAGCGGTTATGTTGTGTAGATTCAGTCTTGAATCGCTGAGCGCTGAAGTTCTTCAGCCTCAGCTGTGTCCCGCACAGTATCAGAATGCACATAATGTGCCAGAGAAGAGACTCTGGAATTCCATGCTCCTGACCAAACTTTGCAATACAACATTGATATTGTGCTCCGATCATCCCGGGGGTCGCCCAGTAACGTTAATTATATCCGAGGCAGGGCGGCGGCGGCCATCGGATCAGTAATTATACAGCCAAGAGTGCAATGGAACTCTCGTTCCTCGGGAGCCCAGAAAATCGAAGAGGCAAGTTCCTGATAATACAGGAAGCAAATACACGTACTTGAAGCATAATTTCTGAACAAGTCGATATCACATATCGCCTTGACTCGGAGAATCATTACCACTGCAGAAAAAGTCCTTCCTCGATAGTCACACTTTCTTTGATTACTAGCTAGTTGTAAAAGATGTAGTCGCCTAAGACTTCATGTTACACATCATGAGCAGGTTGCCAAAAAAATGGGTATTACTCTTATTCGGCCGAATGCCACTCACGTAGATTCGTTATATCTCGCTAAGCCATTGCAAGATTTGAGTTCACTGTATCGTGACTCATGAGTGACCAACAGTTAAGATGGAGTAAGAAGAATGGCGTACAGCACCAACATTCAAAGCTGCATGCAGAGCTACTAACTAATTATATAATTACCTTGTGATGCCGAAAGAGCTTCAAGCTCGGGTCCCAACTTAGAATCGTCTGCTCGTAGCGATATGCTGGTCTCAAGACGTAATAACACCGGAAGGCAGCCTTGAGATGGGATGGATCGTGTCGGACCCAAGATCGAAACTTGAAAAGTTGAAGACTCACGTAAACTCATCCTGAACTATTCATCACCATATCGTAGTGCGTATCCAGATATCGCGCTGCCGCCTGGTATATTTGTGGGGTCTCTGAATCTTGACTCACGGCTACCGTGATTGGATTCACGGCGTATGTCGCTAGTTCATAGCCATTATCCTATGTAGCTATGAGGCGACGATCATGATACAGAGTACGCATGGGGTGATCGATTGACCAGTCTCACCTTTGAGACTGTCACAAGGCGGTTGGTGACGGATTCAGATTATAGCCATGATTCAATCGATATTGAATGGATCTAGTACTTGATAAACGTCAGAACATATGCGCTGTGGTAGACCGTGCGCGTAATCAGCGGAAAAATTTATAATGTTCACAAAATCAATCATGGCGCGGTAGTAAGTAAACCGTAATTACAAGTTGTAAGGCTTTAGACCATGGCCAATGGTCCTGGCAAACAAATATTGAAGCAGTGGATTAGAAGTACTATTATGCGACTCATCTGGAATACTAATTTTGCTTGGACCGATGCAAGTCACGCTGCCAGAATGTTCAAGAAATTATGTACTGACTTTCTGGAATGAAAGATGAAATGATAAGACGCAGCCATAAGTGTCTCTCTACATAGCCGCCGGCCGTAGTATACTCGTTCCTCTAAGATATTTCTCACGCTTGCAGTGCATGTTGACCAACGACACCGTATAGCATAAAATATGCCACAGGAATGACCTTTCCATTGCTGACTATGGTTCTGAGGAGGCCCTTGGCTCACTAGGGGCAGAGCACGGTGTAGCAAATCTAATCGGTGTAGGTATGACAGTGGATGTCGAACGTCCTACCGCAAAGTGCTGTGATGCTGTTAAAATGGAGACCTTCCTGCGCAACCCGGCGCAACCCTATGTCAAATCTATGATGTGAACTACTATACTTCGGTGGATGTTTGAGTGGGTCACGGTGCATGTATTGCGTTCGATGGCGCTAATAGGGACTGCAGCTGTGAAAAGCAGTTGTTAGAACGTCATACACCCAGCGCGGTTCTCAGGAGTGGGAGAAAACAGGGTCCCAGGAGATAGAATAGAGTCTAACACCACAAAGTGTATCACGATTCTTACCTGATCCAGTACCACTGCCGAGGGCAAATTGCCAGATTCATCGCCTGTATGGTGTTCAGAATCCTGATGAGAAGCAGCTTGACTTGGCTAGATGGAAGTTCATTGAGAGGTACGACAGGTTGTATTGGTAACACGTACACCTGCGACTAAGTTCGTCATACTCGACCCAGATCCTCCCGCAGCACCAGTCCCTGTACCACTCTGAGTCAATCCCGTAAGCCCCTCCTCTCTCGGGACAATGTCTATGAGGAAGTCGAATTGGTCTGACTTCGCAAGCGCCTTGGCAATATCAGCACGCGACAGTGTTCGACGCTTATTTGAGTCAGCAATAATAAATGCACGAGCAGTTATTTCCGAAATAAAGACTTTGATGGGGAAGTTGCGTGAAATTTTATGTGACAAAGTGGGGAAGAGAATGTGAACATCAAGTTTTTGTGACGGAAAGGATAACACCGGACGCACTTTCACACGCTTTGCAAAATAAGATGGGTGCGTCTGCTGCGATCATCTGTGGACGTAGTAAGCGAAAACTCGGCATTGTTTATGACGGAGTGACATACCTTTACGTCTGGATCGCTCTTCATGACTTTCTTAATGCGAGCGAGAGGGAGTGGAGGATGCCTGTAATCTGGTGTCTCTTGCTCTGCTGCATCCACTTGCCGCTGCCAAAATGAACGAAGGAAATCATTGAGGGGCTCCCCGGACTGCACGTATGGGGTGGTGGGCGACATTAAAGAGTAGGTGGGAAGATCTGTCGATCGTATAGGGTATTAGTAACCTTAACCCTAGACTAAGGGCAACCATGATTTATTGGGCTGCTCAACAACTTGGCGCTCAACGTTTCCACGTATCCAACCAGCTTCATTTCTGAAAATTTCCACTTGTCACTTCGTCACATTGGACGCGCTGAATTCAATATGCAGGGTGATGTAGACAAGACTCTTTGTTGCGGAAAACTATACGTGCTGTGACTATGCGGCAGACTCAGTCAAGCTTGGTATGAGTTACAGCTTCAATATGTGCAAGGCTGTGTCTACATATACATAAGGCGGTGCCCTCTATTCACTCTCAATCCCATGGAAAGTGTTTTGGGAGTTCAAGTGGATAGGTCCGTTAATATCCATCTCATTTATTTGCATGTCATGAATAACCATCGTAGTTCGGTTGACTTGGAGAAGTCACACAGTATAGAAGGAACAGCTGTCTTCCATGATGATAGTATACCTAGGGGAGGCGAGAGAAGTTGCAAGTTCATATCGAAGTAGCAAGCTGCGGTGGAGCACTCTAGATGCAAGGTCTTGATGGAAGGTTAGGGTTTATTGCTTGCACGTTTCCAGACCCTTGATCCGTGGACAAATATGTTTTTGGCCATCATCACAGGCAACTACTTCACTATATCCCGCAAACTCCTATCACTGGCAGTCTGTCGATTGCTTTTGATGCATGTGGTGGATTGGCTCTACGTTAAATATGGTTCAATTGCAGCGTGGTGAGTCGCCTAGCGCTCATCTGTATCCATGAAGGAAAATCGTTTATGTACACCAACCTTTCTTACTGTGTCTTTCCCCATGTGCAGTAATAGAGCATGGCCTCTTCATCCTTCATCAGTATCATTTCGTGGTGTTGGTCCATTCTTTGTTTTCAATTCTCAATAGGGCTGGCCGGATCAGATCCATGCATTGGTGGTAAAGATCCGAACGCGGACCATGATGATGTTCCAAACGATGCTGTCAATGGACCATCTTGTGCTTGTTGTCAAAAACATGACCTTCTAGAGCACAAGTCTGTGAGTGATTTTTAAAGATCCTTCCGTTGTGATTCTTCTGGTGCATCTTCATACCGATCTATGGAAGAACTGATTTATACTCCAGCAGACTGCTGAAGCTTTGGCCTCGCCCGGAAGTCAAGACTCAACTGGTGATGTTTTACGCACTAGATTCTCGTCTGGTACAGCAAGTTTACTTTCTAGAATGCCAACTCAACTTTGCACCACAGATCCACACCATAAACCAGTGAAACGAACGCACAAGCTCCAACTTTTCTCCAAAATGCTTCAGACATTCCAATTTTGGGTGACGTCATTTGGGGTATCTCCCATTAGTTCTCCACAGTCAATTCCCCACTCGAATCTTAATGATCAAAGAAACCAGTGAGACTTCAGTCAAACACTACGGCATTGAGGCTGACTTCAATGATTCAGAATGGATAGCCTGCCTGATCTAACTGGCCAAATAAACCGCACAAGTCCTTATGCCACTTCTTTCGGAGGCCTGAGTGACATCTGGCGATGTACATGGAACAAAAGTGGTAGCATCGTCGCAGTGAGTGCATCCCGATTTTCATGTTCGAGTCTGATGAAGACACACAGGTAGCTGTGAAGTCAATCAGGAGTCAAGCACTAGATGAAGATGATGCGAAGAAAAAAAGTAGAGTGCGTAAGTGTACTCCGTACAATTTGATGTTGCTTATTGGTTGTTATAGAGGCTTCGCCGTGAGCTCAAAGTTTGGTTGAGACTTAGACACGACAATATCGTCCCACTGTACGGCACTGTATCAGGCTTTGGCCAATTCGTTGCTTTGGTTTGCCCCTGGTATGACAACGGATCGCTTTCAAGTTATCTGGAATCCCGTGGCGAAACTTTGTCCATCATCGATCGTTTCCAACTGGTGTGTCTTGTATGCAATGATTTGTCTGAAAGCATACTCATGCCTTCGCAGCTCAGTGATATTTCTGCGGGTCTTCAATACCGTAAGTGACTAGCTTAGTTTTGCAGTATAGTTAGTAATGGTTCTTTTGCCCAGTTCACTCGTGCTCTGTTGTTCACGGCGACCTTACTGGGGTGAGAAGAGGGTTTCCTGAATTTATTACTGATGATATTCACATTTGTAGTCCAATGTCCTCATCTCATCCGATGGGAGGGCTCATCTATCCGACTTTGGTCTCTCCGTTATAGTTGTGGAGTTCGCAGGCACGTCATATTTCACGTCTGCCTTGAATGGCACTGTGCGATGGATAGCACCCGAACTTCTTGCAATTCCTGAAGAAGAAGGCGCAATCACGATCCCGACGTCAAACAGCGACATATATTCGTTTGGGTGTATTTTTTTCCAGGTTTGCCCAAGATTACGTTCCTTGAACACTGAGCCTCACCCTTGCGCCAGGTATTGACGGGCAAAGCACCCTACTCCGAGTTCAAGCGAGACGCACAAGTTGTGGTCGCAATTTCTCTCGGAACAAAACCGTTGCGTCCCGAGTTTCCCACGATCATTGATCGCCATTGGAGTTTTATTCTGAATTGCTGGTCTATTGAGGACTGTAGACCATCTTCTCAGCAGGTAGATGAATACATCAAAGGCCAGCTTCACCTCTTACAGCATGACACATCATCTCCCGACTAATGCCTTGAGTCTGGCTTACCATCATGTCTGTCTGTACGGACCTTACTTCTTACTCTCGTGCAACAAAAACTATTTGAACCAAGTCCTGTATTCTCGGATGTTCCTCTATATAGTAAGCACTGTATAACAATCATGGCTGCAACTCTTCATTCGGTATCATTCAGAAGTGGGCTACTCACATCAGTGATCTGTCCCAGGCTATTATCTCATGCAACGAGGCCACGCTCTCCCTGGATGGCTTCTGAATATCGTTAGAGCACCCAAATCTGTCGTGAAGAAGCAGTGTTACAACACCTTGCATATATGTCATAGATCGCTCTGATGGCGATCATCCACCATCTAACACTCTGCTCACCGCACTGTCGTTCGTTTTACCCAAATTATCTCAGTGCTGATCACCTCATTGCTAGAGCGTCAACGATGACTTGATGTCCCTCTCGGGATGGTAATTACAGCGAGCGCTCCTTGCATCTGAATCTTATTCTTTGAGTTTCTCCGGCACCGGTATCTCAGGCTGAAACTTACAGGTCAACGTGCCAACCATAGTGATCTACCAGATCTAGGGCCTGTTTTCTTGTATAAAATGTGGTATGATGACTTGTGTTGTGCTATACTTATTCTCTTCCTGCCTTACTGCTGCTTCCTGATGTCGGAACAGACAGCCGAGTCACCAGTTAGCCCAACTCGTGGCTGGTTCACAAATTCATTTTTGGAAGCAGTCCTCCGTATTCTGCCCTCCTTGAAGCCACCTGTGAACGGCCGTTTATCTGAGTCCGATCCAGTTGTCCCAGTGGGTAATTCTACTTCCTTGATCAAGAGCAACTGTCGAACCATTTACTGCAGGATCAACCTTGGATCGACATGGTGCATCACATAGCGGCATTACAGCGAGTCACAAGCCATGAAGCTAGTGAACCAATGTTGGTGGCTTAGCGATTCTAGCATTTCACTCTAAATCATGGCAAATCAGAAACCTTCACCCAATAGATGGCCTTCCTGATCTCAGTGGACAGATCAGGGACAAGGGTGCCTTCCCTGACAGCATTGGCGGATTCAGCGATGTATGGAAATGCACATGGATTGGGAAGAATATGAATATAAAGGTTGGTCTGAATTGTGCCCGTCAACCCCGCACTGAGTGTCCTCTAGGTTGCCGTGAAAACAATCAGAGTTCAGCCTGATGTTAAAGATAGAGAGAAGAAGAGTAGGGTAAGCTGTCTACATCCTCTGCGATCCCACGATCTCATTCCCTTTTAGCGATTGTGCAAGGAGGCAAAGATATGGGCTACCCTGGAAGATGCACACATTTTGCCGCTCATCGGACTTACATGGGGGTTTGGTCCTCTTCCAGCCCTAGTTTGTCCATGGGTTGAGAACGGTTCACTGCAATCTTATCTGGAATTGAAGAATAGGGATCTCTCCTTGGAGTGGAGATTCCACATCGTAAGTACCTGTTCGATCCTCTGATTCAAATTTACCAAACAAGGCCGACTTACGCATTTGATACTCCAAGCTCCTAGGATTGGTATCAGCAGTCTCGTACTCTCGAACAAGTACCCGGCGTCTTTTTATTTACGGACTTCTAGTTCATTCGAAGGACGTCGTACATGGTGACATCACAGGAGTGGGTTCATGAACTATAATGATGATATTCATTCGGGATTTGACATTTTCATCTGCAGTCGAACATACTGATTAACGGACGAGGAGAGCCACTTTTATCAGACTTTGGCCTCTCCTCCCTGGACGTGGAGCTCACGGGAAATTCATACTTCACATCCTGCAAGCCAGGGAATGTACGATGGGCTGCGCCAGAATTGTTGATTCCCCTGCAAAACGGATCTCCGTGCCGTGCGTGTGTAAAGAGCGATATTTACTCTGTGGGCTGCGTGATGCTGCAGGCAAGTCAGTCAGCTACGTTGTGGTACAACATTACTGATATGATGTTGGTTCTACACAGGTACTTTCTGGCCGCGTGCCCTACGATATTTGGACCGATTTTATGGTCATCAACGAGAAGTTCAACGGCAAGGAACCTCTACGAATTCTCGAACCTCCCATTGATGACCGTCATTGGTAATTCATGAGACGCTGCTGGCGTAAGAAGCAAGAAAGATCTGTAACGGTCAAGGATATAGCCGACTTCGCTAGAAGGGAACTGGATGATTCACGGAAGTTTGGGAGGCTATAACTTGAAGTGGTTGCCTAGTACATACTGAGTATTCTTTACTGCATTTGACTCGTTCTATTGAGTACCATATATGTTTGTACTATTAGTTCCGCCGGCCGCCGCCGCCGCGATAACTTTGAAAAGGTATCTCAGAGAAGAGCCAGCGCAAATAGCAACTTGAACCAACCTTCGAAGTTGAAACGCTCCATGCTCCACCCCCCCAATATCGCAACATCTCATGACGCGTGTACGGATAGAGCCAAATTGAAGCTTGTAGCGGGAGAAACGCTTGCCATAATGCAGTGACGGTGAATTATGTGAAAATTCGAAACCATTTCACACTGCGGCTAGCGCCTTAGCGACTATAAGTTAACGTACATTTGCATTCCTCTCAAACTTTGCCCCCGAAGTGTTGGCACTTACTGTAACTGATGTCTGAGTCTGAACACGACAACCGTTTTTCAGCCCAGTCATGGGTTGGAGCCGTCATTGAATTCCTCCGGCAGTTACCTCTTCCGAGTCCGGGCTGGTGGCAAGATCAGGTAAGTTTTACTTTTTTTCTATGCTCAAGCTCGACCAGGGTCCAACACCTCCTCAGTCGTTCGTGTGGCTTTTTCCACAGTATGCTGACGCGCATTGCATTCGAATTAGGCGCATTCCGCCAACCGTCAGACAAGGCATCATTCATTTCTACTCACTTGAAGTCACTTCAACACTAACGTACACTGCTGTTCAGTGGTGTCCTTACGGGACAAATAGAAGGAAAGGGATCCTATCCTACAGCATACGGAGGGTATTGTGATGTATGGAAGTGTAGCTGGAGGAGGAAGGGTTCCGGGACCATTGGGGTATTTATATCTCATTGGCGTTTGAGAGTATATTAACTGGCAAATCACAGGTAGCAGTTAAATCTATTAGGATACACGGAAGTGATTTAGACAGGGAAAGGAAGAGCAAGGCGAGTCCTTCGGGGTTGGCCTTCCTGCTGGTGTACTAAATGTGAAATTCAGAGACTGAGCAGAGCAATTGAAGGATGGCTGGGATTGGATCACGATAATGTGATGCCAATTTTTGGCATGACACTTGGATTTGGCCCATTACCAGCCTTGGTGTGCCCATGGATGGAGAATGGCACTCTAACACATTACTTGGAGCAAAACTACCATCAAATCACCGCCTCAACCCGAAAGGCAATGGTAAGCGGCCATCACAATTATCACAATTGCTGTCCCATTTCATGAGGTGATATAGCTCTTGGAAGTCATTTCCGCAGTTCTTTATCGTACGCATTGAATTTTCCTCTATTACTCCCGTCAATTAAAGTTTTTATGACAGTGCATGACCATGGCATTATCCACGGAAGTCTTTCTGGGGTATGGATCATTCGATCCTATTAGGCGACACTAATTCATCGTTTTAGTCGAATGTCTTCATCAACGATCTCGGACGAGCATGTGTGGCTGACTTCGGGATGGCAGCTCTACTGTTGGAGTTTTCTAGCGAGTCATATTTCTCTTCTTCCATTGGGGGGGCGGTGAGATGGATTGGACCAGAGCTTTTCCAAGTTCTGGACGACTCAAGCGATTCTGTGGGCTTCCCTAGTACTCAAGGTGACGTATATTCCTTTGGATGTATCATGCTTCAAGTGCGTATTTTTGCGTGTCAGTGAATATGTCCTCAGCATCGCCCCTAGGTCCTTTCTGGCGAAATCCCTTATCATTACTTCCAGCGTGACACACAGGTCTTCTTTGCAATATCTACAGGTGTCAAGCCATTGCACCCAGACACCTCCTGTGTCAATGACGCTCAATGGAGCGTTATCCAGCAATGCTGGTTGGCTCCACGACAACGCCCCACTATGGAAAAACTCCACTATCTCGTTGATGAACTAGAGTTCTGATCATGAGGCTTACTTGTTACGACCTTACCAACTTTGTCCCCTAGGTGCTATAGTCCCAGCACTGCACGAACCGGAGATGACGAGCTATATTTTGCACTATTGATAGGTACCCACTACCAAGCTCGGTTTCTTGGAGTTTGCGTGTTATTTTGCCATAATCACTCGTAATGTTTCATATCCGTACTATGTCCCAATGTCCAGTACTGAGCGTGCGCAGGCTGACGTATCACATTCTTGTCGACACCGCCCAAGAGACACTGGTCCTCGGTATCAGCATCAGCACGTTTTTCAAGACATCACCCTCCCACAGACAGCGTCGAGGGCACGATGTATGCATGTTGAAGTATCTGATATATCGGAAATGACGTGACTCATATCCGACTTTGGGATATGACTTGGGTGGCGACTTGTGGCGACGCTATGGTACTTGAATGATTACCGGTGTGTCATAGTAGAACGCATGCGGGATTTGGGCCATCGGCATTAATCCTAAATCCTCAGCTGTCCACACACCTGACATAATTTATCTCGTGATGATCCGACTAGTTGTTTCACAAATGGTCAGTGTTTCTCTTGCGCGAGCCTAAGGGAGATAGGTCATGGCGAGAGTTTCAAACAGTGCACTAGAGTTAGTTATCTAAGTATGTATCTCTCCAAACTTGCGCCTACATGTCATCCTCGCGGCTTAGGAAACGAGACCCTGAAATAGAATTGAAGGCATATGTTGTTTCGTACATAAGACTGTGCCATTGAATGTGCAAAAATATCCTGATGACGTGACAATCTCAAATAGAGACGCTATGAGTAAGATAGGGTACTAAGAAACGGCCTATCTAAACGCTTGGTGCCTAGAGGGTCAGGCCTTCAGGCCTCAGGGTGAACCCAATGTGCTTGTTTTTGGACACGGTAGGCAGGACTCATTGTAAATAATGCGTGGCAAAAGTCGTACGGGACATCGCTTCGAGTGATACAATTGATTAGCGAATTTCCGAGTTTATTCGAATACTGCTACCAATTCAGCGAGGAGGTCGGAGAAACGTGGCTTCAGTGCTCGAGGGTCGAGCTACAGGATGCCCACCATGATGTCATCGGCGGACCATCTGAGTGAACATACACTGAACCTGGCAGACTGCATGCAATTGATGGATGATCAAATTGCAGCGGGAGTACGGCACGCCCAGAGAAAAAGTATTTACAGAAACGGCGTTAATGTTCTTCCTCTGCAACAAACGCCGCGGGCTGAAGATGTCACAATCACAAGAGTAAGTGTGCAAAACTGACAGGAAAAGACGCATTTCAAGTCAACGGCAGCGATTTGATAGGCCTGATAGAGAAGAACTGACTTCTTAAACATCAACAGAGTGAATAACCAGAGGATACGCACAATTTCTATGTACAGCTCGCGCTTATATCTCCATCTTGACGACGACTTCGTGCGGTGATTGCGTCTCTCCTATCGTTTTTTGATGGCGTATGCTATTTTTCACGCATTGCCATACCTCCGCCGCGGCTTCTCGTGCCACCTCTCTAGCCCTTACAAGTTCAGCCTGATCAAATGATGACCCAGGGCGAGCGCTGTAAGTCGACCAAACATCCTCGCAGGGTGGAGCACTTCCTTTTATCGGCCCTGACAGCTGCGAATCCAAACAAGAAAGCAAAACATCCACCTCCCTCAAGCACGACATCGTCGGCTACGTCAACCTCCACGGAAATAACGCTTCCCTTCTTCACTCTACCGACAGGAACTGCGCAAACCACACCCCGCATCGCGATTGAACCGGCATTTATGAGAGCAAGTGTGCATGCATTGATTTCGGCTGCGAGAAGGGCATAACCGGGGGTCGGATTCGTCAGGGCTTGAACGACGACCTGGATGAGAGTGCGAGGATGTTGTGCGAGAAGACAGGAACGTTCTACGATCTCTCGTATTGCCATTCCACGTGATTTCTCTGCAGTTCCTGGCACTGATGAGAGTGGACGGACGTGCACTTCGACGGTTGCGCGAGCGGGGTGCTCAGCTGCTAGACGGGCTGTGATGGGACCACTGACTGAAGCAAGAGCTGAACAAGAAGGGTGGAAGGAGAATCTAGCTGATCCGTCGACGCCATCGAGGCCTTCTTCGGAGGAGATGCTGATCGATCGCAGACTCGGAGCTGTGGATGACATGGTCGTATTTGATGGCCGTTTGGAAACTTTGGATGTTTTTGCAAAGGGAGGGAAACCTAAAAATGGGGTTAGGGTTCCTGATCAAGTTTCTCGGAGGATGTCGATGAGCAAGTTCTCACTTAACTCCTTTGCCTAGATATTTTCCAAGGCTGGATCGCAGCATGAAGAGAGTAATATAACACATTCTTGACATGGAAGTACTCTCCGCGTGCTTTTTTACGTTGTTCCGCGAAAGAACAATGGCAGTCATCTTGATCGCCGTAACACAAGGATGACTTTAATTAGAATTACTGGAGGCTCAGTTCGTATTCAAGGCCTGACGTTACTGACGGGATCTTGTGGGAGGCTCATTAATGCGAATACTGGCGCTGGGAACTGCAGACTGCATCTGAAACACTTTAATTCTTGTTGTGCTGTCATTTAATCAATATTTGGCGAGAGCTTGTTCCTGAGTCCTGACAAGAGTGCCTACTGGCATGGCACGTTGGGAAATCGATACTCTGGTGGTGAGTTTAGAGGCACACAAGTCGATCCCACGATAGTAGCATCTCGCCTGATCATTGATAACAAGTAGACTGAATTATGTACGACATGTATGAGTAAGTCCCAGTGAGATGAGTAAGTTGTACTTCTGCGAAGATGTCCTAAACCCTGTGACAGCATTTATGAAGTCTTGTCCACCCCGCTGGATCCTACAAAGACATCGATAAGCCTGTCCTCTGATATTACTCGTTGCCTCTGGAGCAGATAAGCCAGTAGAATATCTTCCCGTAAAGGCTCTGCGTCATATTCCAGTAAAAATGCAGGCTTTCCATTCGACACTGAGGCATGAAATGAACATGACGCTATTGGTCTGTCCAAGTCATATTGAGCGTAAACCTGCAGGACAGAGGCAGTGGTGAGGAAAGGCACTCTTGTAAAGAAGAAAACTCACCTTTTGACGATGGCCCGAGATCATCTTCCACACGTATGGCCCGTAATCGGTCCCCATGACAAAAGCAGTTCTACAGTAGCTAGCTCATGAATTCTCCAAAGGTCGTCCTGCAGGTAAAGCACGGCTTACGTTCCGTCTGCAAGCTTAGTTTTTCGGAGCCATTTTTGCACGCTGATCGGTGCGTTACCATTCCGTTCTGGGAATGAAATGGTATTTGGGAGAATTTCTCGCTGGTGGAAGATGGCAGCAATCCGACCAGGAGTACGACGGTCGCTGACTATCATCTGTTTCCCATCGTCGGTGATCGTGTACAGTGGGATACCAGGGTGTGCGTAAAATGTGGCATTCTTTGAATCAGTACTGGTTAGGAAGTAGGGTGTAGGGAGAGTGGGGTTGACGAGCGTCGTTGTAGAGTCCATGGTGGATCGATGTCTGAGACGAGTCTGGGAAATGTCAATGGCGTCAGCGTTAAATCTGACCGAACATGAGAAGCGACGAGTGTCACTGATGTTTATATCTCGATTGAGCAGGAGTACGTACCTTGTACCCAAGCCAGTTCGCTACATGTGGCACGGGAACTTTTCGCATGATGGTCTGGGCACGTATCAACCATCATCCGGTAAGAGCCCTGTCAGTCGGACTCAAACATCCATAACAATATCGAGTTTCAGAATCAGGACGAAAGCCCACATTACCATGTAGATGAAAGCAACCGTGTCACGAATTTCCTCTTGGGGACTTTGAGCGCTGGGTGACGATTTAGTAATTAATAGGAATGATCATTGAACATTCTATAAAGGGCTGTCTGGGGACTAGGTTTTGAAATTTGAAGGGTTATCCTGACGCTAATGGCCATCCTGATGTTCGCTATTTGGTGCATACAGAGGAGCCACAGTTCCTGTGCGTACGACGAGCATGTAGACGTAGTACAAGTCAAAATCAGCAATCAGTAACCATAGATAACTCCCACCCGATTTCTGAAGGCGGAAGACCGTAAGTTCACAGCTACTTATATATTTTAGACCAACTTTAGACTACCATTTAGACCATATGTCGACCGTTCGTGCCACATACACAGCCCGACATTTTGTTCTATTCGGGTCGAGATGTCGAGTTCACCATAGCTTGCCAGGTCGGATCAACCTTCGAGGATTGGCAACCTCCACAGAAGGAGTAAGTCGTTGCGAACCTGCTACGCCAAGCATTATCCTCACACACTTCTATTCAGACCCTTAAGAAAACAGGTCTGTACGAATTTCATATCGAGAATGATGCGAAGATGGTGCCATTCGCCGGATATCAAATGCCTCTTGCCTACGGGAACGTTGGCCAAGGTGCGGCCACAGTCGGCTTTGAGAAGCATTGCATTAATGTCTTGTTTCTAGGTGCCAGTCACGCCCACGTCCGTACCGATGCTGGTTTATTCGATGTTGGGCACATGGTACAATCCAAGTTGGTCGAGTTCTGCATCCATCATTACCAAACTGCAAACTGAAACAAAACAAGTTTCCGGGGACACACTGTTACAGCATTTCTAGAGTGGTTAACGCCCTCGTCGTTAACGTCCCTCGCTCCGTATACCTCTACCTTATCGGTTCTCCTGAATGAAAAAGGCGGCATTATCGATGACACCGTCATCACGAAGCACTCAGAAGATGCCTATTACGTGGTGACAAATGCTGGAAGACGGGACAGGGATCTTGCGTGGTTCAAAGAGAAGCTTGAAGAGTGGAATGCTAGTGATAGCGCAAAAAGTGGAAAGGTGGAGCACGAGATCTTGGAGGATTGGGGACTTGTTGCGTTGCAGGGTCAGTGTGACCCAACTCGTTTCTCTAAATTCTGACTGTGTTTCAGGTCCTGCCGCTGCGCAGTATCTGCAGCGCTTGACCTCTTTTGATTTACGTGAGCTAACATTTGGCAAGTCTGCTTTTGTGCCCATTGAAGGTTTCAACTTGCACGTTGCTCGGGGAGGCTATACCGGCGAAGACGGGTTTGAGGTGGACACACATTGACTATTTTTAAGGCTTGCTTTCTCACAAAATCTAGATCTCGATACCACCATCTCAAACGTTGGATGTCACCAAATTGCTTTGCAATGCCCCAGTGCAGCTGGCTGGTCTGGGTGCTCGGGACTCTCTACGTGTAGAAGCTGGCATGTGTTTATATGGTAATGACTTGGATGAGGATACCACACCTGTCGAGGCTGGTTTGTCTTGGGTAATCGGTGAGAATCCCTTCTCGTGAGAGAGATGTAATAAAACTGACTGCACGTTCAGGCAAGGAACGTAAAGAAACTGGAGGTTTTATTGGAGCGGAAGGGGTACGTAAACATTTGAAAGATGGCCCTCCAAGACGCCGAGTGGGATTCATAGTGGATGGTGCACCTGCGCGACGTGAGAGCAGTTGCTACCTTGATTCCTGAGTTTGATACTAACACTTCACAGAGGGCGCCCAAATATATTCATCGCCTCAAAAAGAATTGATTGGCGCGGTCACATCAGGCATTCCTTCCCCCACGCTTGGGAAAAATATTGCGATGGGTTATGTGAAGTCTGGCTTCCATAAGAAAGGTACCGAGGTTGATATCGATGTCCGAAACAGGATGAGGAAGGCCATCGTTACTCCGATGCCTTTCATGAAACCAAACTATTGGAGAGGATGAACGGGGTGGACCTGTGTACGCTTTCGCCTGCTCAACTTGGGCGATCGACGATAATTTTATTTACACTAAGTAAATGTATCAACTTCTGGTATGCATGTCTTCTTCAAGTCTGCGCGTGCGTGCCCGTATACAATCCCAAAGAATGGTACCCCCTTTTAGCTGGCGGACCAGTTCACGTTACCTCAAGAACATCTATGGCTTTCCAAACCAAGCGCTCTGCATCTCAAACCCCTGACGTGGATCCACATCCAGGGAATCACGGTGTATTAACGTGATATCCCAATACCGTTCGATTTTGCTCGAACTTGCCCCCGCCGACAACGATGTTCTTTTCAGATATTCTTAGCCGTTGTTCAAGAATCAAGAAGGATATGATGACGTCGTCACGAATAAGCTCCGCTTCTCCCTGCATGATCACCGCGAAGTTTTGAGTTCGTGTTCCCTGTTGGAGGTGCGCAATAGGGTTGGACATGTCACCCTTCCGATATAACTGACAGAACGTAATTCATGGGAGTAAACGTCAGAGAGTGGCACAAAGGCGATGCATTACATGTTGACTTACAGCAAGCCGGTAATCAGCGTCCGACTTCCAAACACAGGTTCCATGTGCAGTCTCGATGGAGTGGATATGACTGTAGTACACGTCAGTCACTGGACTGCGCTCACCTATACCAGCCCACGTACTGTCCATTCTCAAGCTTGCTTTTCTGCAGCCATTTACTAAGGTTTATTGAAGAGCCACCATTTCTATTAGGAAACGTGATGGTGTCTGGCAGGATATCTCTCCTGTCGATCCGAGCCAAGAGATGATTGCCACGAGCATCAAAGATGTCAGTCCGCTTGTCTGACTTTGTGTCGGTGACCACCGAGTATAATGGAGAAGCCGGTTGGTTATTGAATATCTTTGTATTTTTCATATTCTCTAGGCTGAAATTGTATGATTTAGGTGGGGCGGGTTTTGTCGCCGTTGAGGTTGTTGCCTGCATTGTGCGAAAGATGAGCGAAGGTAGGGTGTGCTTTGTACTAGATGCATGGGTGACACACCCAATTTATAGAATACAAGCTCTTGAGGCTGTGCAGCTAAGACATTCAAACGTCATATATCGGGCGGTACGATGCGGTATGGAGTAATACAGCCTTACAGATACAGCTTGAACTGTTCCTGGATATAAACCAGTAAGGAACCATGCTAAAGATCTCGTGTGAGAGATTGAGAAATCTCGCCGTGACCGTGCCTGGCACTGCGGCCCCGGCCTGGAGAGGTAAGAGACACGAATTGCGATGTCTTTTTTTTTTACCCGTTTAGGCTAACCTAATGCCGACGACAGTGCATGTGATTCGGTGCTAAGTATGCTGTATCAGACTTTGATCATTAACACTTGTCCGTTGGTTCGAGCAATGTCTTCTAGAAACGGACCTTGCATCGGTTGTGGAAAAATAGTGTAGCGACAGATGAGAGCTTTCGTGCACGTAGCTCAGAGCTCGTATTGATAGTCTCGCTGCTTGCGTCACCAGATGGCCTCCGGGAGCCGCGTCGTGCGTATGTGGTACACATCTCGTGCGCCCAATTTGTCATGATTTGCAAGCTAGCGGCGTGACTGTGGCTGTTCTTATCTCTGGTGCTGCTGTGGATACAGGCTCACCGGTGCACCCATGGTGTGGATTACAGCACAGCTTATGCTTACCGGACTTCCTCAGCAGGCTATGGCTCATAGATCCTGTATACATAATACTCCAGACCTTTCGGTACACCGCGATTAGAAGGCTGGATCAAATTTCCCTTGGGTATACTGCTCATGCACAATGAGCGAGACAGAAAGATGCGGAACAGGAGGTTAGAAGACAGACGCAAGTACTAACAGCAAAAAACGCGCACGCCGCAGTAGTATGACGACGCCCTAATAGCCACCGAGCCGCCGGTTTATAGCGATCACTAGCTAGTTGACTTGCTGTAGGGTTAGGGTCAATTGGTTACTATCGGACTTTGATATTGCTATCTAACTATCGGATACAATGTCTGCCAGCATAGATCAAGAAGATGCTCTTGTAACGTCCACAGATCCTCTGCATGTGAGCCGTATCTGTTAAGTATTGACTCGACCGTGACTGATACTGATCATGAATCGCATCGCCGATGATTAGCCCGCAAATCTTATATCAGAGTTATGTGCATCCTTCTACAGATTGGGATGGGTGACCGGTACTGGCGGGGGTATCTGTATTCGCACTGAGTTCGTTTCTTGTCGGCTGTACCTTACCCGCATTGATCGGTTTCCGGTAGCGATAAGGTGTACATCGCTCCCTCGGGCGTACAGAAGGAGCGCATCGAGCCTTCGCATATATTCGTCCTGCCTTATCCCCAGGCAGAGCCGTCTCCACATACAGATAGGATTTTCCTTCGTCGCCCCAAGTTAAACTTGAAAGAGTCTGCCTGCACCCCGCTTTTCTGGAATGCTTTTACGGTCCGTAACGCTGGCTCGTGTATACACACTCATTCTCAGAACGCGGTGATGGCAACACTGCTATGGGAGAAAGAGAAGATGTTCAAAATTTCTCATCAAGTGAGTCAGGCTAGTATGGTATGAGCATTTCATGCTGATCTTGTTGACAGGAGGTATTGAGTTTTTACTTTGTATTCTCCTTTCATTGAACTCTCGAGAGATGATCAAGGGTGTCCGAATTGGCGGAAATGGCCCGACCCTTTCATACCTTGACACCCTTGAGGTCCCGATCATCAACAATACGCCTAACGAAGAAGATCTAAAGGATAGCATGAAAGAGGCCATGGAGCAGTATCCCAGGGCCGCTGGTATTCTCGTTTTGCGTCACGGTATTTATGTGTGGGGTATGTCATCGGCCGATCATTCCGTTTTCTACGTGTTAAATTCCTCCATCAGGTGACGATTGGCAGAAAGCGAAAACCCAGACAGAGGTCAGTCACAACACATTTTAGATTTAGGTTAAAAGCTTAATCATATCAGTGCCTGGATTACTTGTTGGAAATAGGAGTCAAAATGAAGTTAGCTGGTTTACCGACGGTGCTCAATGAATGAGCGCTGGATGCTCAACCTGTGATCTATTTAGGGAAACGAATGTTACAATTAGCACCTCGCCACTGATGCCATCACGGACCTGAACCACGAGACTTCGGAATATGAGTGTAACAACCTCCCGTGACTATATCGTTCTACTAACGTGGTCGTGACGTGTTTCGGTTACTCACGTTCTTATGCCCGTTTGCACGAACGTTAATCCTGGTGGGTATCGGATACAGATATACGAGGAAATGTCGTTCTATTCTCTTTGAATTGGAATCGATACCTGTTGTTTAGCAACCTCTTGACTGCATTACATGCCCGAGAAGCATGGCCCGATTGCGCAGATCCCTAGAATCATAGTGCCGTGAAAAGAATTCTTCCACTTAGGGTGGCTGCCGACGACGTACAGAACAATGTCACGTAAACATTTGGATGTAATGTGCCTCCGAGTCCAATCACGGCAAGAGTAAGATTCAAGAGGTTGAGAGGTATATGTTGAACTAACAGAAGGAAGTAATTTCATTGGTCAAAGACAAGTACATTCGATATAGATATATACAATAGAACAGTAATACAATCGCGTTAGGTACATGTGGGCACGGAAAGGATTAGACTAAGGAGATATTGCCGCAAGTTGCTCATTTGTGTCTCGTCAAGGTTTGAAAAATGTCTGCCGCGCAACACAGCAATCATGGCTGCCAATATCCACAGCCCACAATCGTAAGCGTTGCTCTGGCATGGGGCAACCTTATCCAACCAGGTCAGCAAGCAACGTTACATAGTGTAAGCAACAGAACCTACGTTTAACATCCGACCTTGCCAGCCCTCGAGATCAATCTGAACGTCGCTGTGTCGTTGACGTGCTATCGTGAGGTACCGGTCGATTAATGTCATGATGTCCTGTAAAAAAACATTTGGGTTATTCGGTTGTCACCTAGTATAAAAAATGAAAGAACATACATTTACATCCGGTTCCCAAGATTTCTCATCAGCAAGACTGTCAAACATATGCATTTCTTTAGTTTTCAAATAGATTATACAGATCACCCAATGGCCGCCGACGACATTTGTTCGATGGATTGGGAGGATCCACACATCTTTCTCCCAATAGGAAGTCCAGCGTGCGTTGCGCCAGATGCGGTCGTCAGCTTCATTGGATCGGATGCGCGTGATGTCGAAGGTGGATAATATAGCGCAGTTCACAGCTGGGATTTTGAACTGGGAATAGAGGATTGCAGCGCAACCATTGATCACCCCGTCATTGAGACGTGCCGTAGGAGAATTGAGACATGCAATGTCCTTTGGGTCAAATATTTGACGATGGAATCCATCACGTGCGGGGCGGATCCTTGTAGTGACTACGTCGGGTACGATGGGAAGGCGGTCTTCTGATGGGATGCAGAAGTCGTCGACTAACAAATCCTATGCAGACCTTAAGTAAGAATATGATATCCACGACGGTTCACGTCAACGTACCTTGGGTAAGCCACTAGAATCACACATGTCAATATCGCCCTCTAGCCAGCCGGCATGCTCAACCTCAGACTCCGTGGGACCTGCTGGGACCTGTACCGCATCCTCACCAACAGGATACGCACCCCCTGGCAGCGATTGCACAGTACGCGGGTCCTGGTATACCGAAGGGGCCTCAGAGTACGTGCTGTGTTGAGGCTGAAGTACAAAAGGCTGAGTAACGGGCGAATAGTTGGCGGTACTGTGGGTGCCGTCGGGTAATGGGCCTGGTCGTCTGATGGTAAGCGTCGAAAGGAATAGCTGCAAATATGGCGAACTTACCTTGGAGAGGTTGACCAAGAGGAGGATGGGTACCCTCTGACATCCCTCCTGTGACACCGAAAGATGTGCTATGGGGTGCTGGTTGTTGCACGAAGAAGCGGTCTCGAAAGGTCGCGAACGATGCTGAAATCACACCGTTGATAATAGCATCGAGCTCATAGAATTCTGCATGAGGGTCGACGGTACTATCGTATCCGTACGAATGCCCCGTCGCGACATCTGACAGGGAGTTGTCGAGAAGCTTGAAAAAGCGCCTGCGGGTCTCCTGAATTTCCCCGCGGACAAGTCCTTCTAACCTGTCAAGGTGATCGAGACATAACTGTATGGCTGGTCTCGTCGAATCTAGTTCAGACATCTTTCTTGGACGCGAAGACAACAGGTTTTGTAGCAACGATCTGGATGAATTTATGGTAAGCTCATGTCGTCGTCTATGAAGCATAAGTAGGCTTACTTTACGTTTGCAGATTGCAGTAGCAAGGGAAATGGTGCGAATGTGACAGAATTTCGCAAGTCTTTGCGAGAGCAGGAAATGAGAGACAAATGTTCGAGGCTTTTATCTACGCTCCATGACCGTGGCAGTGGTCGACTTATGCCTGTGGAGGGTCTAGTGGATCGAGGGTTTAGTGGATCGAGGGTCTACTAGTGGATCAGTGCCCATTGAGGGCCTGGCGGGTTCATACCACATTGGTCTGGTGGGTCCATGCCACTGGATGGCCTGGCGGGTTCATGCCCACGATTCTGGTAGACCCGGATCAAGGCAAAACTGACATTCTTCAGGCCTTTAAAACCCTGGTCCCGATCATCCTCGCGAGCTGCATGTTGGTAACTGAAGGTTCTATAGATATTGTTGATCGAAGGAGGGATTGGCCATAAGTATAGGGTGAGTCCAAGACGAGTCAAAAGTAACATTAGCGCGCGAATAGCCCATGTCCGTGGCAGGTTCCGGTTAGCGCTTAGCCATGCATGAGCTGCTGCGCTGGTCGCGCTATACTAGGCAGTAGGACCTCGTGCACCCGAACAGTTATTCATAGTAATCAAGAGTTTTGTCACTTGAACGGACTAGTTCGATTCTTGCCTTGGGCAGGACCACGGTGGGCGACGAAACGTAGCAGTGTGAGGCGCCTACTCCCGAATAATATTATTGCTTCGAGTACACAGCCAGGGGGAGGGACGAAAGTCGCACTCTTGGAGGTAAATTCATGTGTGATCGTTCCTCTCTAAAAGCTCGCATGGTCCAAAGATAATGCCTATGCCTGCATTGAACTGATATCGCCATGTACTGCAGCAAGTCCTTATCCTGCGTCAGATATTTTAGAGAGGAGCTGCATGACATTAATTATTTCGGGTGTAGATAGCAGAGGTATGGCGAGGACTATGCAGAGACACGGTCTAGAATTAGCAGCATAAGCAAGTGGTCAAAATCCGAGCAACCTCTACACAGATGGAGAGGGGACAGGTATTCTAACCGAGAAGTTGACTCACGCGCAGTCTATGTCAAGGTGATACCCTCGACGTGGTCGGCGCAAGCTCCACCCTGGGGACTTTTAATGGCGTATCTTCAAACTCTGCCCATCCGCCTCGGAGCCCGATCTCCACCACCCGCTCGACGATTCTCGCTAGCTCATTATTCCGTTCACGTTCTGATTCGACATCCCCCAAGCTTTCCTGGATTCTCTCCAGACGCTCTGTGAGTGATGCAACGTTCGCAGAGAGCTCCTCAATTCGTTCGTTAACGTCGCCTCGCTGTTTGGACTGACTTCGAGACGATCGCCATGTTTCGCCTATTATTAACAGTGCAGCGACTGAAAACAAGAAACCTTCTGCTAATGCGTTGGCACCATTTTCGATTGCTCTGGGATACGAATGAAAAAGAATCGGATGGGAATGATGAAATGCACACCTCGTTTCTGATAATGGCTTGACATGTTGCCTGGCCGGTTCACCGAGGATATTCGTCCTCAGCTTAATTTCGCCCACATGCATCCTCTGAGCAAGGGAAATACATATCGAACGGAAAGTTTCGTGCCTAGAAAAATCTCAGAACAAGAATAAGAATCAACAAAAGTTAAACAACTGCACATACTGCTTTGCCTGGTTCTTTATTTGTGCGGAGATGGGCTTCGCAAGTGTCTGTCACATCTGGACTGAGACCTCGAGGTAATGCAGGAATTTGGCTCGACTCACTCGAATAACAAGGGTAGCAAGTTTGACTGTAGCCATGTCGCTGTGTGTTGGGGTCGGAGTCTTGCTAGTCAGAGCAGAGCAACGTCAAAGATACTAGTTTAGAGCACTATGCCGAATCCGCGCGTCAGCTCAGAGCCGTCGGACCTGGACCAACTTGAACACCCGAGAATTGTCAATAGACTACCAGAGGAAATGTAAAACAAGCAGAACGAGACGTCTTCAACGAGCGGGACAGCACAACTACACCTTTCGAAAGACACAGCACCTGCGGGTTGCTGAACCAAAGTTACCAAGCCTCTCTGCACTGTCGACCGCTTATCGAGGGGTCGCTCAATCTCATTATGTAAGCCCCTTTTAGCGCTGGGTCGTTGGTCTTGGGGGTTTTAGTACTTATTGACTTCTTATTAACAGTGCTTCCTTGTTCACTAACCACGATGGACTCAGACCCGCTATTGGCTCTACGTCATGCGATCAAAACAAAATCTCCAATAACATATGTCGCAAATTCTGAGCCTACAACTTCCCTTCTTGCTGCATCCCACATCGTTCTGTCTCCGACTCTTTCGCTTCCAAAATCAACTACAACACGCTATTCGAAACCTGGAACCTCTGCATCTTCGCCGTCGGATTTCTTCACCCTTGAAGCCGTATATTTAGCATGGCTCCTCCGTGATGCGCCTGTTGCAGAATACATGAAACAGGCTCGGGACAACGGTCTTGCAGTGGGATTCGTGAGCGTTACGGAGAGGAAAAGTATTGTCGAATGGCTGGAAGGCAAGGTAAATGACTTGAAACGAATAGTATCACTTGCAGGTGTGTGGATATGTAAACTCTGCCTGGAGATGTCACCGAGCTTCCTGCAGCAGCAGAGTCAACAACACCTCCAGGCACACCTACCCACCCCGGCGCAGCTACAATGCCCCTAATTACTCCAAAGCGCACAGCGCATACTGCAGATACCACCACCACTCCCTCAAAGCGACGTTACGTTGCTGATCAACAAGATGTTGAAGTTGTAAAACGGATCAAGCAGAACGAGGTTGAGCTGCGTGACAGGAATACCGTACTACGAGGAACAAAACCAAATGTAAGTCTGAATCCCACCCTGTATCTATTTTACCAACCGCATTCCAGAACTTCTCTGCCTTACGAGCTACATACTCTGAAAGATTGAAGAAGCTTAAGGAGACAAAACCTGGGGCTACCCCAGTTCCTGCGCCAACTGCTGGTCTTCCCATGCAGTCCCGCAAAGCTAGTAGGTTCTCGTCTTAAACATCTTACTCAAACTCTAAATTGGCTGCAGAAAATTTGTACCCTATCATCATGATTTCCTCTTCTCCGACTGCTCTTATAACTATGCATAATGTCAAGCGTTTCCTTCAAGAATCACTGTGCGTTCTACTTCACAAACCAAATAGTTCTCATTATTGATGTCTTGCTGTCATAGATTTGAGTCTTCCTCGACGGCGCGTGAACGTGCTGCAGCTGCAGGCAATTCCCGTGCTGAGGATGTCATTCATATTGACAGGCGACGTGTACCGCCTTCTTCATCCTCACAGCCTACGTCTACGTCTCGCGGGGACATTCAACGGTACTTTGTTGTTGATAGCACTGACGCTTTGCAGAAATTTGGTGCGGATGCATGGGAACGTGTTGTCTGCGTGATGACCACCGGCCAAGCATGGCAGTTCCGTCCGTACCGGTGGAGTGAGCCCCGAGCTCTGTTCCATCACGGTACGCGGTTCTCCTCTCACTGATTCCGATCGCTGATGATCGTGGGCTGCTTCAGTGAAAGGCGTATATGTTTCATGGGCAAATGACCCGCCCAACACAAAGATTAAAGACTGGAATGTCACGGAACTGAAGGTGTGCCTTGGCCTTTCTATCCTTTCATTTAGACTTACAATATCACGCTAGATCGATCCACACAGACGACACATTGACAAGTCTGTTGTGGCGCATTTTTGGCAGCTCATCGATGACTGGACAATCACCAACAAGCCGTGGTTGATCAAGTCATGATGTATGATGTTCTGCTTTCGATCCGTTATTGGTGGCAGCGAGCCGCTGAAACAAGGATCAGCTTTATTCCCCCATTTTGCACTGGTTTGTACCTTTTGAGCCTCCCTTTACCGGAGACGCTCACTTATGTATCGGAATTTCATTTCTTGTACTCAACATAACATGTAAGGACCCACGACCTACATGTGAATCTGTGGGCGATTATAAGCCAAACATAGAGAACGTGAAAATAAGAATTGGAAATCTCCATGCAAGCTGGCTATGTCAAGGATCACAGCGAGAGTCTCGCCTGGATGATAGCTATGAGAGCAGTGGTCCAAGTTCACGTCATAACCATGACAATATGCTAAACCCGCAGCTGCATGCAGCTACGTTTGCAAGATGTAGGTTACAAGGTGAGTGGACTGCTTACATGTCATGTAAGTACAAAGTTGAATCAGCAGTGTGGGCGAGAACCAGTCTCCTATAGTAAGACCATGCACGAACGAAACGGTCGTTCTTTCTTGCCTTCGAACATCTCGCCCCTCGATCATTCCTTGATATTCACGATCTGCCACTCGATCTGTCTGTTTGCCCAGAAAGGCACGACTGTCTTCCCCTCGCTACTATATTCAGCCTGCACACTCACCCCTTGCACCTTCTCGACAAAAACCTTCGGGGCGTCTGAATCCGCCGGAATCTGATAAAATCCGCGCCCAAAATTACTCGTAAAATCAGCCAACCTGTCGATCGCTCCGAACGAATCGAGAAGGTGTGCGACGAGGGGGAGAAGGATAGGAGATGTATAAACCCCTGCCGCACACCCGCTTGTAGATGTCGCTGTCGATTTTGAAAGGCTCGGATGCGGTGCAGAATCAGAGCCGAGGAAGAATTTCTTGTTGCCGGATTTGATAGCTTCCTGAAGAGCACGTCGATCATCTGGAAACTTGGCGACAGGTTTGCAGAAGTGGAAAGATTGACCTGCCCAATCGTCGACTGTGAGGGAGAGGTGGTGCGCTGTGATTGTGCATGCGACATTGTCACCGCAGACTTTGACAGCATTGATGGCTGCTGCAGTCGTTGCATGTTCGAGAACGATACGCAGCTTGGGATATTTGTTCGCTAGGTTTGCGAGAACGGGAAGGAAACGTTCCTCAGCGTTGAGGACGCAGATGTTTTTGGAGTGGTCGGATGGAATTTCTCCGTGAAGGTTAAGCACGATGCCGTGCACCTCCATCGCTTTGAATAGCTCGTCGTATTTATCATAACTCTCGATTCCCTCGTCCGAGTTCGTAGTTACGCCACGGGGATATGATTTGACGCCGACAATACCCGCAGCCTTCCAATTCTTGACATCGTTGGGATGGAGAGCGTCGGAAAGATAGAGCGTCATGAGGAACTCCACTTTGGATGATCCCGAGTACTCCTTCAACCTTTTCTTGTATTCGATTGCCATCTCTGTAGTGGTAATTGGGGGCACAAGATTTGGCTGCGATCGTCAAGTTGATCGTTGTCCTATGAACTGAGAGGTAATTAGCACGTACCATGACATAGGCAAGATAGAAACCACCCTTATGGACGTGGGGGGTAACGAGCCTTGATAATTCACCATCCCTGAGGTGAACATGAAAATCGGCGGGGGCGGTCACTTCTATTATGTCTCCATAATTTGCAGTGGACATGATCGTGAATCCCTGGACCCGACTAGGGTACAGGTATAACGAGAAAAATCCTCTGTCCAATGATCGCTACCGGCCCGTTAGCGGTCCGCTCGGTTTGCTTGTTTAGGACCACAATTTCTCGCGCTCTCCTTTCACCCCTTCATTGAGGGGCCTCATGTTCTTTCATCTTCACATCGACCTGATATGGCCGCCTCCTCGTCGTCTGTTGTGCCCTCTGCGCATGAACTCGTTCCACCTGCATCTCTTGTTATTGCAGATTACCATATTGCTGATGAAGGTGTTTCTGTTGTGTCTTCCTTTCTGCTCCGGAGATTGTTTGAGTATCAAGGAGTATCGAGAGCGCGGTTCACCGCTTCTCAGCAGTATCCAGCTGGAGTATTCTTGGCGGTGTCAGCCCCAACTGTCCGCCATGTCATTGATCATTTTCCCATGATGACCTGTGCTCATTTCAATGATTTTGGCTCGGTCTCATTCGCTGTCTGTCAAGGCATCTGACACCCATGATTATGTTCGTGATTTGCTGCGAGTTCACATATGTAATGACCACTGCGGTAATTTACTTTTTGTCTTCAAGCATTTGTTGCACGCGCGACGTCGTTTGACCCGGAAGTTCTCCCTGACCCCTTTCTTCAATTGAGCAAACAGACGTGCGCTACTGTGAAGGCCAAGTCCTGTGCCGTTCGTTCTGACATGGAGCGCATTGTTACTCGTCAACAAGACTCTGCGGCCCATCGACATGACTTTGATTCTGATCCTCTTGTGGAGGATGATCTTCAGTTCCCTACAATTTGCACGATGGCTGACAAGATTAACATCATCGCTGAATGGCAGGACAAGATGTCCCCTGCCAACCAGAAACGTGGCGCTTGTGCAGTTTGTGCATACAATGTTCGCGCTGCTGACCTCGTCTCTGTTGACTTATCCAGATTTCTTCTCAGTCTCCTGCAAAATGAACGCTTGCTGGAGCACACACTCCCACGATCCTATGATTTTGAATTGTATCAATGCGCCATTTTGTATCCTAAGGGTATGACTGATTGCTGGTCGTTGGCGCCTCTCTTGCTTTGTCCTTCTTGTTGTGGATACTTATTATGCAAGCAACCACATCAACCTCTCAACTCGTTAGCTAACTTTCAATACTATGGCCATGAGCGGTTGCCAGACGCTGTCCGTAGTGCACTGAAAAGTGCCTCTCTGTATGACCTCATGTTGGTCTCGCGTGCATGTGCGCCTCATGTCACCCATTTTTATTTGTACAAGTTCCAAGTGGGTGGCTATCGCCAGAGCGAGGAGTTGTCTCAGTGGTATAACCAAGGGAACGTTGCTATTCGGCTGCAAGACCCGCCTCAAGTGCAATCCTTGTTACCTCCCTCATATGATGACATCCGTGATGTGGTTTGTGTTGTTTTTACCGGTCATAACCAGTCCCCCACTCACGAGACGTTGAAACAAATGCACCCGATTCTTGTTACCAAGAGCATTGTCAAGACCCTGATTGATTTTTTGACAGCCAGCAATCTGTGGTATCAGCACAGTGAGGTTTCTATTGGAATCCATCAACCTGATGGGAAATAATGGATTGCGCCATGAGGGAAACATCTTAGTCATGAAAATGAGACAGACAGATGAGCAAGAAATCATAAACATGACAGAGAAAGACAAGGTGTTCACGATGTTCCTGCTGAAGGCGTAAGTTGTCATATAGATAAAGAAGAGACGTACACTGACAGGATAGCAGGATATTGTAGGACAGGAGTTGGATGGAAGGGCATTGAAAACAGAGAATACGAAAAAAGTCTGGTGGAGGACTAAGCGAGGCACGTGACACAACAGGATGGGGGAGAAATGGAAATTATGGATTCAGAATTAAAAAATGATATTGGCTGAGAGAAAGGGTTACATTTGGAAAGTGTTGGGTCCAGGTATACCCGTAGGGTTATTCACCACATGATGGCAGAAAGATACATCAATATGGTTAATGATCCATAAATTGTGATACATACTTTACTACAGTTATCCATCAGTCTAGGATACATCCTGTTAGTATAGTTATTCTGGCTTCTAAAAGCAGAAATTCACTCCTATTTGGCTCAATCCTCATGTCAGGACTTCCCACAATATTTCCACACTGCATTTTCAGCCCCGGAGCGTGGGAATTACCCCACAACACCCAAAACATCGACCGTTTTGGGAATCTCCACAATATCAATTATTCCCACACCCTTCCCACATCACTGCAGCTTCACCATTACACCACAATAGGTCCCCCTTCATATATAAGTAGTAGTTTGGAATATATATGTGTAATATAATATAATAGACCACTTTTTTTGCTTATTTGTGTGCCTGCTCCTCCTCCAGGGACCATTTAACATATAATAGGATACAGAATACTTTCACATTTTTGCCCCTGTGGTAGGGAAGTGTCCCAGGTGATTCAAAACATGTTTAGGAGCATACATGAAGAGATTCCCATCTTTATTTTACCTCCTGGAGCCTTCTGCATCAATAGATATAGCATATATATATAAAAATACAAAATATGTTCTTATTTTATTGTTTCCAGGTGGATGGACTTCAAAAAATAATCCCCAGCATGCATTCAACAGTAGGAACAATATATCAGGAGCCCAGGACCACAGGACATCTTCTTGTGTGAGTATGAGACCTCTCTGAGGATTAGTAGTACCTCTCTCCTCCTGTGAGCTCTTGATGCTCCCACTACTCCTCTTGGCGCTGTGATGCTCTCTGCTCCTACATAGTACTATGTACTACTATCATAGGCTCCTGCTCAACCTCTTCCACCCTCCGTGCCTCTCTAGACTCTGTGCCTTCTGTGATGCTCTCTACTCGACCTCTTCCACCCTCTGTGCCTCTCTAGACTCTATGCCTTCTGTGATGCTCTCTGCTCGACCTCTTCCACCCTCTGCGCCTCTAAGTGCCCTTTGTGATACTCACATTTATGTTTGTTTTTTTGGACTATATTTGTATGTTTAATACCAGCCGTTTATTCCCTGCACGACGCACTGACCACTGAGTGACACGGCCATTAAGGTATCTGTGTGAGCACCATTTATATTTGATTGATATCTGGCTGAGGTAGATTACTCATATGAGGCACAAAATGCATGTATTATTAACAGCACAAAAATACGTAGCGAGTGATACATTGTACATACAAAAGGTTCATACCATCGAGACAACAAACACCTTGGATTTACCTTGGAATGGTTCCTCCTTCAGGTTGTTCCTGCACCGTCACCTGACTAGGTGGTGCATTGGCAATGGGACTCCTGCTCCCATGGTGTCCATCTGCTCGAGGAGGCTCATGCTGATATGCACGCTGATAGCCAACATGACCCTCACAACTGGTTGGATGCATGTATTCTCCACGTATGTCTGGTGGGGGAGGACCACGCAAGCGGTCATCCAGAAGTTCATGGTCTGCGTACCGCATGTCACGATAATACGGTCGCCTATTCCCAGTGGCATCGCGATAGCCTGTGCTCTCATGGTGAGGAGCATATGCATATCCCGGGTAAGTTTCACCACGGTCGCCATAATACAAATATTCCCTCTGATAAGGGTACTCTCCTCCAGGTCGTGGTCGCCTGGTGTATGCATGCCGGCCCAAGTCCTCATGGTACATGTACGCACCACGTGGCTCATCACTGGGGTGACAATGATCATTATGTAGTGCGGGAGAGGTGTCTCAATGAGCGCGCAAGTCACCATGAAGGTATCGATTGTTGGGGGGCTCATGTGAGTGATTGTTGTGTGCCCCATGAGGGTCAGCATGGCGAGATTCCAGTGCATCATGGTTAGAAATGGCAGGGCTAGGACGAGTACCGTCTGATGAAGCATGTGGTGGATTTTGAGGTAGTGGGGGAGGGACATCTTGGATATGGACAGACTGTCCATTACCTTCTGTGCGTTCTGCAGGATGTTCTGAGTTGCATGGGGAAGACGGAACTACTGGAAGAATGGGTGCTTCTGTGACTTGTGCAGAGGTTGGGCGATCAACAGATGTCTCAGGGTGCACGACTCCACCATTATTCTGTGAGTCTTTGTCTTCTTGCAGGAGACGCATGGCCTTGGTGAGAGGAGGCTGGCTTCCTTTAGCCACTGGGCGTGCACATCGCACTGGGCTTATGTTAGTAGATATCCGAACATATATGCAGAGCAAATACCTTTTGCAACATCGGGAGGTCCATCACGAATACATGTTGCTGCATTGTCTGTTTAATCATAAGTCAGGATTCCCGCTGAACTGAGATAACCATAAAGACTTACCTATAGTGGGTGATGGTTGATGTTCTTCGTCACCTGAGAATCCTACTGTGAGAGGAGATGAGTGCCCTCCTTTGGCACGAGCCTTGCCTGCAGCCTTTGCACTTGGCTTGTTCTCAATGGCCATCTTCTCTTCTAACTCAATTGGTCGTACACGCTTCTTCACAGCTGGTACACCTCCAGTATTCAGCTTCTGCTTTCGCGAGCGTGAAAAATCATCATAGTCGGCATTATCCTCGCTGTGGAGCTTGTCATCAGACAAGTCAAGAGGCTCCTCCTCATCAGGCTTGTTGACACCATCTGGACTAGACAGAATTTCTATTGGAGCTGCCGCTGGTTTGGTAGGGAGGCGCTTGCAAGCCTGAATGGACGTGGAATAGGAGGAGGAGGAGGTATGAGTACTTCAGGACGTAAGTTTGTTTTGCGGATGATAGTTGTGGTGTCCTTGGCTACGGTACCAGAATCATCATTTTGGGTGTGAGATGATGATGGGGCTTTTGGCTTCTTCTTCCTGGTTGTCGCAGAGCTGTGTTGAAGGCATGCAGGGCCATTATAATCAAAAGTTCCATTGACAAACATTCACCTTGCATTTGGAAAGGGAGAGTCCGCGGGAGGTGCCTCTCCGATGATGACAGGCTCCTTAGAGGCTATCACAGCCGCTGTCAAGTCATCATGAGCTAAATTGAGCCCACAAAAATATTAGCATGTACCTCTGATAGCTTTTGTTACTTTGACAACACGCATTGTCTTTGCCTTCAATGCATAGGCAAGTACACCAACTTCACGTTGTGTGAGTCCTGCAACACCTTTACTCTGTGAGTTAGTATTGTGAGACTCTCCTGGCATCAAACTTAAGTGCGCAGGGTACCCCTCAATGCGTAGATTATCATTAGCCAACGAACTAGCCATCAATATCCAGGGGAAGGGTCTATCTGCAAACTTGCCACCGAGTTCCGCTGGGGAAAGAATCATTAGGATTTCACTATGAGATATAATGCGTTATGAACCAACTTGTTTGATTAACCCAGCCTTGAGTGACTTCAATGCATCCTTCTCTTTGCCTGCCTCAGATGAGCTCACATCCAAGACTTCTATTGGCGCAAGGTCATGATCCCCTTCAGCATCCTTGAAGGCCTGTTCCACAGCAGCAAGTGAGGTGGTGTTATATACATGGGCCTTCATATGCCCAATGATTGCATGGTCACTGGCTCGGCAGCGCTTCTCAAAGAACTACAGAGGGTATTAACAGATATTAAAACTTTTGAGGTACGTAACACTTACACCACCGGCACCGGGCGTCATGTGAACATGGCCAAGTGATGCATCTTCATTGACAATATTGCCGCACATGACAAGAGCTGCCTCGAAACCTTGCCTGGCAGCGGCTCCATCAAGCTACAGGTAAGATGCTCAGCTCGTTAAGAAAATATTATGGAATGAGATCACTCACAATACTTCCTACCCTCTTGTAATTTTTTTGGAATGATTGCGTGCATTGTGCAATTGTTTGAGTATCTGTCAGTATGTCGAGCTCCTCATAGGTATCGAGGATGTCCTGATAGGTATCTGGGTAGGTTTTCTTGAAGCGCTCATAGCACTGACACCGGATACCAGTGCCTGTAAGATCGATAATCAGCATTGAGTGAAGAGTGCATGCACAGTATAAATGAATCACTTACTTGGTGTCATCAGACCATCCTGGGGAGGAGCACTGTCACCAAGCCTTGCAAGTTCCTGGCATGTGCACCCCTTGAAGTACCCTGCGTAAAGATTCCAGTAGTTGGTGCTATTGATCACTCGACCTCGACTCTTCATCCACAGGTTGATTACCTGGTACAAGGGCATGTTCGTATTCTTGGCGGTGTCATTGACGACAGCATCCAAAGCAGTGTAACCTTCTTCGAGTGCAGAGTTCGTCTCTAATGAACGGCGACCAGTAACAGAGGCACCATCATCATCCATTGTAAGATCAGACTTGACATAAGATCCTCCGGTGGTCGATGGACTGAATGTGACTGCACGCTGACATGGTCCACTAGCCGAAGGTGGAACCAAACCCTCTGCAGGCTTGAGGGGAGTTGGTGGGATGATATGCATCATTGGAACAGCTCCTTGAGCTGGCAAGGAGCTCACTGACGAAAAATCCCAGGGCCCATCTGATCCACACGTATCAGGTTGTAAGCTTCCCTGAGAGCTTGGACCTGCAACTGCAGGCATGAGAAGCGGTGAGGTTGGTAACTGCGAATAAGATGCTAGCGGGCTAGGCAAGAGTCCTGGAGCATTATTTTCTATCAGAGGCGATGGCACGGACCACAATGGCCGGGCTTCAGATGGTATTGTGAGAAGGTTGTAAGGACCCATGGAGTTTGAATTGAGAGCGCCATACTGTGGCTGCTGGCTGAATACATCCATGTTTTGAGGCATGACTGGCTGCTGCTGCTGCTGGCCAGTGGGTACCAGTGTGTTGGAGAATAGATCCTGTACCTGCACAGGGTGCTGAGCAGGCATATTCTTGACCAAAGGAGAGTTGTGATGGCTGGAGGGCATTGAATCTAGCAGCAAAGTCAGAAATCTGGGGAAAAGTCTTTAATGAAGAATTACCAGGAATGAGGCTATTAGTGGTATGGTCACTGGGAGCACAGGCTGCTTGACGTCGGATAGCAGCATCCCTTGCAATACCAACATCCCGTGATGTTGGCTTGGTTGTGCTGCGTAGTCTTGATGGAGTGAGTTCTGCTGGCGGATCCTTGTATCGACCACCTCCGAACTGTTCTTGGACATATCCTTCCTGCATGTACTCAGAGCCTGTAGCAGCAGGTGACAACACAGGAAGGTATGCAGGAGGTGAGGACGCCTGATCATCAGTAGGGTCAGAATAGTAGTCTGATAGATTGAGCATCATGGCCTTTGCACGACATCAGAAAAAATGGCATGTAGCAATGAAAATACATACCGGACTAGCAGATACAAAGGTGGGTGAAAAAATGAGGACACAATGCCTCGTACTTATGGCAAATTTTGGTGTGTGCAAAATCCTTAATTTCATTGAGACCAAACAAGTTAGAATAATGGGTAGGAAGTACAGAAGCGAAGAACAACGTACCAGACATCATGGAGGTCCACTGAGGAGAGCGTAGAGGGTGAATTGGTAGACCTCTTGGAGGCTCCAGAGGCTCTAGAGAGGGCTCAGAATCAAAGTAATTTTGTGACTAAAGATCACATTAATCTATGGCTGAAACCTTACTTCGTGCCCAAGACAACACGATGTCAGACAGAATTAGGTTATTCCCAGAGTATGAACTACGTCCATGTGCTATCTACAGGATAGACTCTTGATTAATGTCTAAGGCGCTTCGTAGGGCAACTCTCACTCTCACTAAATTGCAACTCCGAGTCGTCCTCATAATCATTTGCATTGTCAGTGCTGTCGTCATACTCGGAACTAGATCCCCCCTCGACAGAAGCAATTTGTGGGATAAGTTCCCTGGTATGCATAGCGGATAGTTTGGGGACTGCTCGAGAAGCTGGGCGAGGAGGTTGCCGTGTGATTTCCATGATAACTTGGGTACGACAACGAGGGGCAGGCAAAGAAGATGGATTGAGATGAGGAAGACCCTTTCTGTCAATGCAACCATCAGCAAATGCACGTTGCCCATGGGAGTGCATAGAGCAAGCTGAGGGGGCATCTCCAATTATAACAGGGTCCTTTGAGGTAGTGAGACGTATACGAGCAGCATCGCTCACCACTGCTCAGATGGTGAGGGTGCCTGCCTTGAGGTGGTTGACAAGATTGGCACGATGTTGGTGGCTCAGATCGTGAATGCCTTTGGTGCGAGAGAGAGAGGGACACAGCTCGCCAGGCATCAAGGTCTTGTCAGGGTAATTGGTGAGGACATACCCCAGGCGAGCTAGTTCCTTTGGGAGCATTTTCCAGGGGAAGTCAGCACTTGTGCGCCCACCGAGTGATGCTGAAATAATTTGATGATTAGTATGAATGTGTAATGATTAATCTTACCAACAAAGTGCCCTCATCCCACCCATGATACAGGGTATCCCATCAAGCTTCTTCCATTCTTCACCAGGACAGGAGTCTCCAGAGGCTTCAGTAAGTTGGACATCCTCTGTTGACACGGCTACATCAACAAGCTGGAAGCAGGTCAGCAAAATTTGAACATCCGATTACACTATTACTCACAATCCGAGTAAAAGAAAAAGATTGTGAATCTGTGAGCGTGGCAACATCGACGAGGTGAGGTGATTTCGATGTGCTGGTCACTGTCATGGCTATTTTGCAGGAGGTAGTGTTTAGACGACGTACAGGAGGTAGCGTTTAGACGACGTACAGGAGGTAGCGTTTAGACGACGTATGAAAGTGGCACCAGCTGTAGATAGCAATCGATCAATAATGTGCAGACCATGTGCCAGAGAAAAGTGAGGACAATTCCAGTAAGTTCGAGGAAGCTCAAAAAATTGAATTGAACTTTGAAGAAGTGTGGAGTCAGTGTCAAAGTGACTTTCCAGAAATGGTAACTGTAACACGTAGCGCTAGTAACTACAGTTGATTCTGATTGACTCACATAGTTCAAAAATAGTTGAATTCAATTAAATCATTTTTGAGTTGTATACACCTCTGTACACCTTCAAACACATCATATCGCACAAGATTCTCACTCAGGCTCACCATGGTCTACCAGAGGATCAGTCCTGATAAAAAAATGAGATACAAACACTTGAAATTCTTTTCGTCAGAGCATTATATCTCTGTGTGGGCCTAACATAAGTGGTATTTCAGATATTGCGGCTCTTCCTCACTATTTACCCATGAAATCTGATGCTTGGATAATTGATTGAGACACCCCCATTGCCTATCTACTACATTCCAAGATAACTTGGCAATATGGACAATTATGGTAAGTTCAAAATGGAACTTCAGATTATTAAACTTCGAAGAAGCACAGTGTCAGTGCCCTCAGCCTACCAAGTAATGTAGCACTACTAAGGAGGCTCAAGAGGTTGCGAGTTTAGCAACCAGAGGCTGAAGAGGGTTTGTAGCCTCTCAGGAGGCTTGCTACAACCGTTTGTTGGCTCAGGCCAAACAAAGCCGCGGCTCGAGCATGCACGAGATATCCCACACCCGAACCACCCATGACTTCGAGCCAGAATTTGCCCTGCATCTGACCGACCATAAGTGTCGTATCAAGGCGCTCTGCACCTGCTAATACTAAGAGCCGTGTGGAGCGAAGCCCAAGGGATAGAGACGAAAGTGACGGGAACCAACCTGCAAGAAGATCGGTATGAGATGTAACTCAGTGGGTTCATGAGTTTCAGGAGGTAACCAGCTGGCAGAACAGGGATGACGTTACTAGGAGCACGAAGGGTATTGGAGTATACATGTTCAACGAGGCTACTCGGTGCACATGTGAAAGACTTCTGCATGAGCTCTGCAGCGGTGTGCGCTGTTTCCTGACTGAGAGGCGCAAAAGCGATGTTAGTGGGTGTATGAGCTTCATATTGGAATGGAGGGGTGAGGGTGTCGAGGTCATGTGTTCCGATAGCAACAAGGCTTCGCCTGTGCCCAATGTTTTGGTGTAGTTTGTCTTGGAGGTCAATAAAGGATGCATAGCTCATGGACGTGAATTTGATGTTGTGAAGCACTGCACATGCGAAGAAAGGACGGATGTGTTGGGTCTGGGAGTGGTAATGTTTGTTAATGCAGACAATGCGAGGGGTAAGCGTACCTCTTGAGAGACGGTCACAGTGATGAGATCTTTCCCCTGCACTGCAAAGGAACTAGATGACCTCATGATTGTCTGTGCAGACAGGGACACGTTCCTGAGATTACCTTGATTTCGTAAAGGAGCTTTTCCCTGATGAAATGACTACTGAGTTTAATGAGCCAATCAGCGCTTGAATAACAATGTTTACATACAAAAAACATATCCTAATACCTCCAGTGTACATGAAAAATCATCTAGTGTACATATTAAGATGTTCCATGACATGCCGGTTTGAATGGTACTAATATATCTTCTCTATTCAAACTGTATTTGGTGAAATAAATCAGCTCTCCAACATTCGTGTTAGTTGCTTTAGCCTGCTTACTGAGATAAGTTGCGCCCTGCCTCTTTACTTATGGGGCGGAAAGCAAAACATCTCACTCTTGCTGATGAAACTGCTGCAACACGTCAACACACCACAAAGTATGCTTGATCTGAAAGGTGCAAAGAACTCTTGCTTTGAGTATTTCTTCTCTAAGTACTAATACTATGTGTGCAGAGGTAAAAACACTTGTTGACTTTGGAATTTGCACATATATGCCAAAGCCCACAGTCGAAAGGGTTCAACAAAGCCCCTCATTGATGCTTCCAAATAACCTACCCTTGATTTCAATGTTGAGCTCCCACCCCTTCCATCCAATCTAATCAACCTCGCAACAACAGATCTTCCAGATACCTACCTGTTTCAACAAGCATCACAAAGTGCCGACAACCTTGACGAATCAGATCTTGCGCAATGGGATGTCAATCCGCCATATCATGCTCCTCGACCTTTGGACACCCCAGCAGAAGTTTGCTGGACACAAAACCTTGTCCAGGTGATTCATGGTCGACGATGCCGAATGGAGAGGGAGGAGGTATATGAGCGTGCTAAGAAGCACAGTTCAGAGGGAGTGATGGATCTTTGTGCTGAGTTGAGGGAAAGTATTGACATGCTCTTGAGGCAGTGGATGATATTGCATGACTATGTTGATGGTATGGAAGATTGTGACAGACACTGCAGGATGGCACAGTGCCTCTTACAGTGGCATGCTCGCAGAATCTATCGTTATCACAATGAGGTGCACATGATAATGGCAGGATTAAATCCATATACATTGGACAGTGATATTAGCTAGCTAGGATACTGGGATCTGAAGTATGAGTGTTCTTAGATAATGTTGAAAAGCATGCATGTCTTCCTCTCTAAGACCCGTGCAGTGGTACCCATGCAGTGGTACCCGTGCAGTGTTGCCGCAATTACAGCAAGCACCCAAACACCGCAGTCAAAACCATTTGTTTGGACTACTTCAGTCTAAGAATGTATCAGATGAGATCGCTTTTCACTCGATTGAGGTAGCAACAATACTTATGATCAGAGGATGTGCGACCCACCCATCGAAGTCAATGTTGACATGAACCATGTGATTGTGTTGTCGAGCAATGCCCAGAAGACGAGCAATCAGTTTCATGATGTCCTGGATTAATTTAATCCATGCTGAAATGAATTAGATGAGCTCACGAACCTTAATATTGACTTTCCAGGGCTTCCGCTCCACAAAACTGTCAAATAGATGGAGCTCCTTGTGTTATGCTGACCGTTGGTCGGCGTGTGCGAACTAGGATAGGTCTTCTCAGCAACGACTCGAGTGAGTCTACTGAAGCTGAGCGTGGTCTAGCCTTGACGGAACGTCAAGGATTCCTCCGGCGATCTCGGTAAGACGGCGCTCGTCAAGATGCAGGGCTAGCAGATACGTGCTAAGTCGTATGGGGGCGACTTAGAAGTGCGGTCTCACACAAGGAAGCTGGTAGGCTTAGATGAGCAAGTTCTGGGGATGAACCTAGTAGATTAAAGTAAAGTCTAAGTACAATAATCTGTGTCTACTTATAGGGAAGTACTACAAGTATTCTAGCTCAGTCTGTAATCAATAGTATATCGTAAATCTATGATAGCCAGACATGAGGTTCAGATAAGATACATGAGGCTTAACCTCTGATCAAGCATGCTGCGCCAAGGGCAACTGCGCATAGGTACAGGAAGCGCCGAGCGCGCTCCGGATCTTCATGAAGCGACATGCGGCGTGCATGCGCTGATCTGGGGTGACCATGAGGCGTACAGCCTCCATGGATCAGGTACACGGCCGTCTAGGCCAGGGGCGGGGTCATAGCGCCAGGCGGGGTCATAGCGGTCCAGACCGCTGTCTTTCTAGGTGCGGGCGGCGCACCGCTGCGCGGGGAGTCTAGCAGAGCGGGGGCGGGTGTAGGCAGAGCTGGGGCTCTAGTAGGTGTTGCAGATGCCTGTAACACCTTGCTTCGGAGGTGCACAACACACAGAACCCAGTGGCCAACATGTGATGGTCTATGGATGGGAAGGATCCATACCTCTTTGGCCCAGTAACGTGTCCATGACATGTTTCACCACAGAACATCATGAGGTGCATTATATCGGATGCACGGGAGGTCATGAGTTGAAAGGATAGCAAACTGTTCAACCATGCGAGATAATTGTACTGCCTCTAGGTAAAGAAGCATAGCGCATTCATTGATGCAAGTGTCATTGAGCAGCGCAGTCTGAGAAGCAAGAAGTGCAATATCCTTTGGCTCGAATACTTGACTAGGACATCCATGATAAGGAGCAGATACTCATGTCTCGACAGTGCCTGGAATGATGATCCCTGCATCTGGTAGAGGCCTTCGGTCAAATGTGATGTCCTAGAAAACTCATGAGCATGGATTACAGCGTGAACATCAGAAAAATAAATGCTACCTCAGGGGATTGCCAGCAAAGGTCGGCCTTAGGTTCATTCATGATAGTGTCGACATTATCATCCTCACCTCCAGTGACTCCACCAGTCAGAATGTCCACAAGGACAGCATCTTCGGTGAAGGTACAACAATTCAGATGGTGAGTCTGAACAATGTTGGGTCTTGCAGAACCTAGCTGCTATGCGACCCTAAAGGGTTTCTGGACCAGGCTCAAGGCTCAGAGAAGAGGAAATATGATAGAAACTTGCTGAATACTCAGACTCATAGTAGAACTGGTGAAAAGGTAACTTGATTATGTAAGCTACAAAAGTGCAAACATAACACTAAGGTAAAAACAGTCTCTGCAAGCCCAGCCAGAAATGAATCCCTACATCGGGTTTGAGAGCTGCATGATCAGCTTCAAAGAACACTTCTTGTCCAGCCTCTTCATCCTCAGTAGGTATGATATACGAGACAGGAAACGTATTGATGCATTCAAGAGGACGACCTTCAAAAACACCTGATAGTTTTTGAGCTAGGGATATGGCATCCGTTGCGCAAGATGTGAATCGTGCTGCAGGTGCAAGTGAGCTTGTCCAACGGGTTTGAAGATGCTGAAGATGCTCCTGCCGCTGGCGAAGTGGGACTAGGAAAATTTCATCTGCAATGCACTGAGCTTGCGTAAGGACAAAGGGAAGTAGGATACTTACTACCGGGTGTCAAAAGAGCAAGTTCTATTGCTGAAAGCTCATTGCCAAACCATCTGCAGAGATTGTCTGCCTCCAATCCAAGACGCTGCTTCTCTTCAATACATCTATCTCTCTTCAACATCGCACGAATTCCATCACAGATATCTTGGTCCTCTAGCCAACGAGGAACATCACCTGTCGAAGGGGTGATCCATACATCTTCCATCAAAGATTGATCATTACGTAGATCATTGAGCTTGGTTGGAAGTGGCATTGGAAGCGGGATGCTGTAGGTTGGGTCATAGAGCTCCTCGAGGCGCTCACAATATGCATTGAACTTGTGGAGTGCAGTCATCAAGGCTGGTTAATGCTTTGAGATTGCCTTGTGAGTCTGTTGATGAAGTTTAGTGCCTACCAAGTATCATCAGCGCCGTCAAATAGAAGTATTACTAGTACCACCTACCCAGTGCCTGTTGTGCACCACCCACTGCACGATCCAACTTATCCCATTCAAAGAAGCTCCCAATAGCACGTTTGCGAATATTGATCTTGATGTCCCGTGCTAAAAGAAGTGTCCAAACAAAGTCAAGGTTCACACCTTTCAACTCTGGAAACTGGTCATGAACATTCAGCGATGCATATAACACCTCAACTTTGGCCATGAGATGTTGATGACCCCGTTCAAGGCTGTCGAGTGCCTCAAGTGTATCATCTGTGGCATCAGCTTTGGTCATCATCTCTCTTGTTGCCTGCAATGCCCTTTCTGAGGCGTCCAGATCTGCTTGTAGAGCAAGAACAGTGTCTAACTCTTTCTTCAGGCGTGCAGGTGCATCTAAATCAAAAGCTCAGTGAGGCTCGAGAGGGCTGGGAGGGTACATACAAGCATGAATCGATAACTGAGATTGTCTCTGGGAGGCCCATTCATTGCATAGCTCATTGATAGGCACTCCACATTCCTCAAGCACGCTCTGCGCTGCTGTGCCTTGCTCGCCAACCCCACATTTAAGTCGACGCTTAATCCAATCTCCTAGATCTGTACACATTTCAAGTCCAATAGCAGCTGCTTGTTGATCAAGCAACCACAGTCTACGCTGATGCTAGGACCAGCTGTCAATAAATTCCATTAGTAGAACATCGAAAGAACTTACTGAGGAAGAATGCTGGATTCCTATCAGCCGAACAAGTCTTGACCACAACCTTTCAGTTCCCTTGCCATCTGACAGCCCAAGGCCATGGCACATTCATGGGTTGTACTCAAGTTGACAGGCCCATTCATGACCATAGGCATGCATTGCTGTGGCGAAGCGCAAGCGCTTCATGATAGTTGGTGGTAGGATGTCATACTAGTAGAATAAATCAGAATCTGATCTCCAAGTCATGAAGTGACTCACCTGATGCAGTGATTGTGATAAGACGCACCCAACATCATAAAGTGTGACAACGGTAGCACCTGATGGTGGGGTAGTCATGCATGATAGTACTGTTACTAGAGTACAGACGTCATGCATCTTGTACTGCTATCCTAGTCTGTCATTCATGCATGGTATACATCAGGCTACACTGTCCCTTGCCATGCATGGTGTCTTGGCTGCACCCCCAGTCTTGCATAGTAGTGTCTTGCCGTCATGCATGATAGCCGCCGCCTTGCATAGTGTCTTGCCATGCATGACAGCCGCTGCCTTGCATGATACCCGCAGTGTTACCCCATGCATGACAATCATGGCACCATACATGACAGCCGCAGTCTTGCATTGCGTCTTGCCATGCACGACAGCCGCTGCCTTGCATGATATCATGCACGACGCATGATAGTTGCCTCCCACGGTGACCGACGCCCACTGTTGCCTCTCACGGTGACCGACACCCATACCACACTGAGAATAGCAGGCCAAAATGCATCATAGTAGATAAAACGTGACTACTGTACAAGCATGTATCTCAAAAATCAAACAGTGAATGTTGCTGTGTCGATGCTTGTTGCTGCTGGGAGGGTAGGTGTCGTCCACAATGCCTGAAATTGAGCCGATAAAGCCCTGCGCAGCGATGCCTGGCGTTCGGCATAGGCCTTCAAACCTTCCCTCAAGCAGTCATCCAAGTGTTCTGAATCGCGGCCTTGTCTTTGACACCACCACCAGTCTGCCTGCCAGTCCAGGAATGCAATGACCCGCCGTTGCTCCTCCTTCAGCAAATCGACCTCCTCCTCCCATCGCATCGCGCGCGCGCGCGCCTTGCACCATTCGATACGAAGGGCTAACCATAAGCATGTCTGTCAGTGCAAGCAAATTGAAAAATATTAGGCCTTACCATCATGTAGGCCAACACTGGCGTCCTCTGCCACCCCCGGTGTCTTCCAGATCCACGACAGGTGTCTCGTCCCCTCCGTCTCCTTTTCCCACATGTCCTTCAACGATTTCAGGTCCCTGTTGCGATTGAGAGGCTTGAATATATCTTGCCAGGCCGGGCCTTCATCGAGAATCTGCGCCAGAGCAGTGAGCGCCGCCCTCGCAACTTCATAACGCTCAGCGGCCATGCTGACTTTGACATCGGTCTTATTGATAGTACTTCTTGCGCGGGTATTAGCTGCTTGGCCGACGATGTTGTTATCCTTGAATTTATATAGGTGTGAGCGGAGACGCAAAAGATTTCGAATGTCCTTTAACGCATCATTTGCTTGGGCGTAGCGTAACATCCATTCGAAGCGATGAAGCTGAGTAGGACACTGTGTGTCTGGGCCGACTGCAGATGGTAGCCACAGATTAATAGCTTCGACAGCGGGTGTTGCATCCGTAGAGGAGCGTGCACAATCTTCATTGGCGCGTAGGCGAGACACGAATGGCATATAAAGCAATTGGATCTCCTGCCACCCATCAACTTTCCTGCGTAATGTATTGGCATGCAGCTGGACCTTAGCGAGTTGGTGGTCGGTTGCATGGGCGCCGAGTGCTGCTATCTCATGCGATAAACGTCGTCTGTGTGCTCATTAGTTCTTTGCTCGTGAATTCACGAGCTGGTTAACTTACTGTTGATCTTCTAGGTCAATTGCGGAATTGATTAATACCGAGGGGGGGACTTCTGCATGAAGGGAGACATTTGTGCCAGACTCAAGTTCTGCAGCTTCAATACGTGCGAGTTCTAGACGAATAGCAGCCTGTGTCTCGGCTAATAAAGTCAACGGAGAGAAATTGAAACGAACAAAAACACATACGTGCTACTCGGACCTTGAATGGATTTGGCTGCATGCGATCCAGTTCCCAAGCCTCTATGTCAATTCTCCATTCGGAAATATCTTGTGCTTGCAGGCAGCTTTCAAGTTCCAAAAGCTCGCGTTGATGATCGGCTTTTTGCTCCACGGCGTTTGCTAATTTTCGAGCAGTGAGTCGTCCTAAGTGCAATATTGCATCATGATTAGTAGAAAGAACAAAATGCCAACGACAATGCTTACCAAGCTGGACAACACGCTTCCAATTCCAATCACCGAAATGGTCATCGAGTGTATCACGCCGAGAGCCTGGGCCCATCTCCTTGGTGCTTGATGCGATCGGGTTAATATTAGCCCACCCGCGTTCCGGAGCTTCGCCATCAGTACGACCAACATGCCGAGAGAAATTAAAAGAAAAATCAATCTGGCATGGCTCGATGTGGGCCGGTAGATGGAATTTTGGAATAAGAAAGTTGACCTGTTTGTTGTCGTGATCCAGATGAAACGCGGAAGGAAGCTTTGACATCCGCGACCACAGATGCTTGGACCATTGACACGCGATATCGTATGATATGTTGAGAACGATGACGTCGTGGTGTTTCATTGCCGAAAAAAATAGGTAATCCATATTAATGTACCTGTGCAGTGTTGTAAGGCGGTAGCGTGACAAAATAAACAATGGGGAATACATACTTCTCGCCCTTCTGTAAGTCACCAACTGCGTTGCGAAGTTTCATATTGTGCCTGGCACAATCCACCGTCCCAACACCTGTAGCGGCAAGGCCTCTAGACTTCTTTGTATCGGCCATATTCACAGTGTTGTGACTGGCGCATGTACTGCGCTATCGGTGACTGAGTTGTTTGCAACAATCGTTGACCAAAAAAAGACTTACCTCCTGGTTCCGGTCTTTATTGTCTTCTAGATATGATTTGTACGCCTTCTCCTCCACAAAATACGACCATCCCTTACTGACTCCAGGATCAACAATATCACTTGATACCAACTTCCGCTTCAGACGGAAGTTGGCATCGATGCCAACGAATAAAGCATACAGCCATCTGTGTTTGGATTAGAAGGTAAAGAATTTTGAACCAATATGGAACTTACCGCTTATCAAGCGAGGCGTTCTCCCAGTTCTCCGGCAGGTTTTTTCCGGGGTGCGGACAGGCAGGGCAGAGCACTGTGCACTGTCCAGGCTCTGTTGTCACGACGCCATCCGGACAGTGTCCCCGAGCGAAACGTTTGAGCAACTTGAGGATTCGCCATTCGTGCACTACTCGCAAGAATGTAGGATAACGGTCCTGTAGTTCTTGTTATCACAGTGCTTCGCAATAAGTAAATAAAATACCTTTGGCGGATCCATGCCCGTATTGTTGGATAAGCGCGCGAGGGCTTGATAGAACTCAAACGCGGAGGCTTTAGACTCAAAAGACAGTAAGTGATACTGTTCGAGCACGCCGAAAGTAGCCGCAGTTTTGGGGTCAGTAACGGTTGCTGGAAAGAGTCGAGAGCGTAGCAGTTGCTTAACGTGTGTTTGCATGGTCCCACAAGCACAGAAATCCAGTCCCACTTCATGTATTCCAGTCGAGTCGATTATTATGAAGTCGTCATTGAACGCACGGTGAGGGTTGCAGCACGTGTCTCCGATACGGTGCCCCAGCTGAATGCGTAACCCCAATGACTTGAGGGTGATTCGTTCGAAGTAGTTACCATTCCAGCGCTGCATAATAGTAAATACCGGATGTCAGCGGATCCTAAAGTATAGATCTTGGGAATCACATTACCTGAAGACGATGTAAGGGCAGACATCGGTGCCGTTCCACAGTACACGAAGGGCAGTAGAGTTCCTGTAAGAAGCAATCTGCGCATCGGATGGTTGGGGCATGTTCTTGACAGTGTCGACAGACAGAATCCTCGGCGTAATCTCCGCGGCCTTCCAGGCGAATCATCTCGTCCAAAAATGTGGGGCATTCCGGCTGCCATGCTGCAAGGGGGTGATCCTGGTAGGTACAGGATAAGCAAAATGTTGAGAATAAAGAACAAAACTTACCCCGGCTGTGCGTTTCCTCTTCGAAGTCTCAGTCTCGACGCGAAACTCGTCAGGAATCGGCATATAGTCGAGGAAAGAGCCAGCTTGGTATATTTGCCATTGGTTAGATGCTGGTGGTGAATCCTCATTACGGAGAAGAGTCGTAGGGGGGACAGTTGTGGGAGCAACATGGGCGCCAACCAGGGACTCCGTGCGTACTAAGGGCTTGCCAGATTGGAATGTGTACATGGAGGCCGTGTGGATGTTGGCTGAAGGCGTGTCTGCAAGCTGCTCAGCAGTATGACGCACTAACTTCTGTTTTTTCTTGCCCATTGTGAACGCAGACAGTAAAAAACGAATGAAAAAACGAATGAATTCATCACAGCGAATAAATTTGAGACACGCCTTATCAATTGCATCACCCGACATCCAAGGATCTTGCAGTGGTGAATCAAAGAAGTGTTTGTTTGTATCTGTTGAATTTAGACGCATCCGCCAAGCCTTCCTGAGACTCACCTAGTATTACACTTGCATACACCATGACTATTACGTTGTGGGCGATGAATCTATCGCCTTCCTCTCCCACCCAGAATCAGTCGCGAGCCTCCATGGTACTACCATAAATAAGCTGCCAGACGGTAAGTGTCTTTCTCCCATCACTCCACTTCAACCCGAACACGAACATTACTTTACTAGATGACATCAAACAACCCAAGCTCGGTGTCTTCTAGTCACGCAGTCGGTAAGTTTATGATATTTTTTTTAAAATGTGCACTGACTCTCTCTAGATGCTCTTGTGACAGCACTCATGAATCTTAACATGAGTTCTGTCACTGCCCATGCACTCGTTACCATCATCCAAGCAATTGCAGATGGTGGCCAGACCATTCCGTCAGCAGCCGTTCACCCTGGACAGAAAGATCACACAGCCGATTGTGATGTTGAAGACAATGCTGATGAGGGAGCTGAGGCTACTCCAGCCTCCACCACCACTCCACCGCTCTCCTCCACCACACTGGCACCCGATATCGGCAGTATTGCTGAAGCCATCGCGAAACTCTCGCTCTGCAACAATGCAGACTTAGTTGGGACCAACGCAGACTTAGTTGGGCTTCCGCCCAGATCAGTTTCGTATAAAGGGTTCCCATACGAGATTCCGGATCTGTCTGCTGAAGGGCCCTTCTACTGCGTGATTAAAGGCAAACGTGTTGGAGTTTTGGCCACTTGGTACGCCTTTTTTTTGGCTCTATCTTACGCACTTAACAATCAACCAACAGGGAAGACACTTCTCCCCAAGTCACGGGGGTCAGTGGTGCTATCCATAGCCGCTGTCCGTCAGTTGAAGTAGGCGTTGCACGGATCCATGCAGCCATTGAACGCAATAATTGTCAGTACTTGGGGGCGTGATATACTGTATATACAAGTCAAGTAGTTGTTCATAGTGTGTATCATCCGAGTCACGGCAATACTGAATTGGTTCTCTTGATCGAACATACGAGTGAAGGGAAGGCCAGTAGTTGAACGAACGCGGCACTGATAAATAAATCTTCTAAGAAAGTATTCTGCGGCAGGTAAAACATACAACACGCCTACCACCATGTAATGCTGGCCTTGTCCTGCATCAGACTCTGTTTATTTCATGAATACAGTCGTTTATCTTGGTATGTTGCATGAAAAAATGTTGCTGAGCATGTATTCTTGAGTCTTGCAGTGCATACAACGAACAGGCATTCAAACTCGAATTAGGTAACTTAGCGACTCGGATGTGATCACGCATCATTTGTACTACTTACTAGTCTTTCTCTCTCTCTCAGTCTCGACATTCAACACCTCTTTCACACTCCTACCATGGCTCGGAAAAAACTGCACAAGTCCAACAAAGAACGCCAAGAAGCTGCTAAGGGATACAGAAAGGTGTATTATGAGAGGTACGTTCATGTTCTTTCGAGTCGCAGTCGCTAGTGTTCATTGCATCCTCCAACAGAAACAAAGTCGCCATCTTGAAAAAGATGAAATTAAAGTATCATGATAGTACATCGAAGCATCCGCAGCATCCAAGGTATCTACGCACAACCCTTCAGAACTCCGAGTCAAACGATACAGGAGACAGCGGCGATACAGGAGCCAGCGACCTCACTACTAGATTGTATGTACTCAATCGCCATATCATTTCAAACTCACTTTGACAACAAACCTTTAGATCTGAACCGCAGATTAAATTCCATAGGCTTGTCAATGGGTCCACCCATAAGTTCTTGGATGACCTGGTGTTGCAGTATACGGGTAGCACTCGTTCTGAAGACTCACGGCGGCCTATTCTGGATGCACTTGATATCGCTCAAGAGGCCGAAGAAGCAGTTACAAGAAGTGGAGATGATGGTATGCAGTGCCGGCAAGTCATACTATTTCTTGAAGACATTCTCTTGCGTGTTTTTGAAGATGATGACATCACATCTGCACATAGTCGAGGATTCTTAGGTATCAGTTGACATCCGATTTCATTATTATGTAGTGATACAGGTTGATAGCTGTACTACGTGTAGATTGGGTGACCGCATCAATGAGATTCAGGTTAATAGACTCAAGCGTGCCGTGTGCTGCCGTGTGTTCATGTCATTCGGCAATTGCCTTGTGGCTTGATGGAGCTGTATTGATGCTGTAAAATTTTCATTTTGTTATTTTTGCACTCAGGCGTCAAAACGTTAAATCCCCATCACGAAATTCAAAGAGAGCGAAAGGTGCACGGCCCGATCAATTTTTCACACAATTGCCTAACATATATCTCACAGATGGTTGCTAGTGAATGGACATCTAAGGAGCAGAAGGAGTGGTTAACGGCACAGCTTCCCGGGTATCAAAAGTGCTCGACTAAATCTAGCTATGCAAAGTTCTGGCCCCCCATCTATGAGCAATGGGAGCAGCAATGGCCCATATATAAAGAGCTCTGCCAGAACTTCCCGATGAGGATGGTCTGAATGCCGTACAATCGGCAGCAAAGGGGAAGGCAGTAAAGAGGCGTCAGAAGGTGATGTCGTTAGTTAATTGTGAGCTTGAGATCTTAACCGAAAAGTAAATGAAGCAACTTGCGCACCTGGATGTCGTGGCATTCGGGTAATTCCGCATCTCGCAAAGGCAGAGTGGCGCAATCTTCCACACAGGCCACTCGTTTACTCAAGGACCTCCTCCAGCCTCGGGGTGCAAGAGCTCTGAGCGAGGCCGAAATGTACTCCCCGACTATATTATAAAACCAATATCCGTCCAACTGTCGAAGCTGCAGTTAGCGAACGTGGCTCCACAACAAGAGGTGGAAAGACTAACGATTGTACGAGAGGTCACACGTCAATGTTGGGAGCGAGAAGCCGATGAGACTATTATTGCGGACGTCAAGGCCAGGATGAAAGCAAAGAAGAAATCGAGGAAGGCGAATACTGATGCAGATGATGAAGACGCCGAGGCTCTGGAGGACGAAGATGAAGAGGAGCAATCACCAACCACCGAGGATATGCTTGAGTACGTTCTTCTCGACTATGTTTTTGATTTGTTTGTTGAGCAACATGTCATTCAAACAGAGCACAGGAAAACTTACCTGCTATCTTCAACACAATCCTCACGTACCTCGAGCACCAACTGGGTTTTTCGTTCTTGGTGTTAATGGGTTGGGCCAGATCCCTCGAACAACAACAAAATCTCTGTCGCATCGTAAGTTTGTGAATGTCTTGTGAACAAATGATGCGCTTACTAGTAGCAGGGTTGACGTCCGGTACCCACCAAGCTGGGACATTCAGCCCCGCAATTATTGCCTGACTTCAAGGAACACTTCTTGGAACGTATCTGAATTCCTTCAAGGTGTACAAGGTAGTTAATCGTTACTGTCAAAAGGGCATTGCACTTACGCGACAATGATTGTAGGCTATTCCTCCCCCGAACCTGAGATGAAAGGCGATGCCAAAAGAGCGGTAGCTGCGGACACGGAGAGGCCGGGGATGGAGCCAGACGGACCTTGAAGATCAGACGAAGTAGATGCTGACCTTTCACAGATGAGCCGGAGGAGGAAATAGAGGTGTCGCAGAGTGAGGGAATGTTTTGGACGGGAGGGAGGAACGTCAAGAGCAGATTCTCGATATTTATTCGCCTAACTATGCTATGCCCATGCATGACAATCCGACTCAGAAGCCTGACACCATGCATGACTCATTGCAGCCCATCAACATGCATGGCCTCCAGCAACCCATCAACATGCATGGCCTCCAGCAGCCTGAGGGTCAGGCAAATCTCGCCATGCTGATGCCAACATCATCATACTTCACCAACTCTACCAACTTCAGCAATGATGGTCACTCCTTCGGATCTCGGTCAACTGCTCAGCAATCCTCAATTGTGGACTTTCGCCCCTCCACCAATCTATGATCCGCTTCAAAATTTCAACAGTTTCAACCATTTCAACCCAGTCCCTAGCTACCCCTACCCCCAGCCTATGGGCTATCCCCAGCCTTCGAACTACCAGCCTTCAAACTTCCCCCAGCCTGCGAGCTACCTCCAGCAATCCAGTGGCCATCTGAGCCATGCTTTACCACCGTCACCACCTGCCACCGACAATTCTCCTTCGTCTTCTTCAGACGGCTCACCACCACTGTCACCTATTCCCACACCGTCTCTTTCAGACGGCTTACCACCGCTGTCACCTATTCCCACTCCGTCTGTTTCAGACGGCCTACCACCGCTGCCACCTGTTCCACACCGTCTGTTTCAGACGGTTTACCACCGCTGCCACCCGTTCCCACTCCGTCTCCTTCGGTCACCTTACCACCACTGCCACCCGTGCCCACAGGCGATCCTCCCTCGGTTCCAGCAGGCCTTCCTCAGAAGGCAGCAGGTGGTAAAGCTAAACGCGCAGCTTCTACCAGCCAGCCCGAACCCACTACTCGCAAGTCCAGACGTCCACCGAAACCATCTACTCGCAACGAAACCGCTAATGCCATTGGCGCTAATGCCCTCAGCGAAATGCGGGAGAAGGAAAATACGGCCACCGTGGGGGGAAAAAAGGTCCGTAAACACGGACTGGAAGCAGGTGGAGAGCCTATTGCTAAGTACTGCGTACGCTTCATCGGAAATAATGGCCACTGACCGTTGGTTTAGGAAAAAAAAGGTGGCTGCTATTTCCACGGCCCAGGCTTAGTGCACAGGTATCTGACTCTTCGTTTTACTTATTCTTGTCTTCTTGAAAGTGATTAGTGACGCATCTTGATAATCCCCATACCCGTATCTTCGTAGCAAACATATTCGTAATGTAATCTTGAGCAATATATTCATATCTTGTAGCATCCGAGTTGTGAATGGGGGAACTTACTAGCTTTTTGAGAGAGTCGCTATCACGCGCATACGAAGGTAAATGTTCAATAACGGGCTAGTAATAGCAGGATGACAGTAGTAAGACATGGGGGAATTAAGTAAACAAGTCTTGTGGTAGTGTTACATATATACATACAGCAGATTCGGACGATCATGCATGATTAGTAGGCCATGCATGATGCCACGCATAACCGGGCAGGAAAAACTTGAAGTACAGTAACCATGCATGGTATCAGGGTCATGCACGATATCATGCATAGTAAGGTGGCGGTAGTAGTAATACTAGTACTAGCACCCCATGCATGATACCATGCATAAAACAGTGGGAGAACAATTGTGCCGATCCACGTGAGCCATGCATGATGGTATGGTAGGTTGACCGCCGCAGTGGCAGTCATGCATGCTACCATGCATGGTCTGCTATCTGTGATTCTCATTTCTACACATCATGCATGGTGGCATGCATGGTCTATCTATGATTCTCATTACAGTACAAACATGCATGACTACATAACTACAGTACTAGTTATATCATACATGAATATGACAGCATAGCCTGACCAGTGTTATCCTTCAGCAATATTCTTGGTGTGACCCTCAGGCCCCTATGACTGCGTGTTCTACGGCTTATATTGCACTGGCATCTTCAGGTGCCAGCAGCTTATGTTGCGCAGGAAACTCGGCTTACGTGGGAAATTCCTATATAAGGGCATATCTTGACACAAAATTGCGAAAGGTGTGAACGGTGGTGCCGACTGAACTTGCAAACTGCCCGTGGTGTGGTATTAATTATTTAACTTCAGGCCATCCTCCCGACCGAAGCTGATAAGGCCTCTACCACCAGGGGAGCAAGTCCCCAGGACTTGGTTCCAACACTTGGGTTGACTAAGCTCCCAATAGTGCTGGGTGGAGTCATGCTAATGTCACATGACATCACCGGTCCATGATGACGTCATTGCATGTGAAGCGTGTGGGGTGAGTCAAGAGGTGTGCGTTCGCAAAATCCCGAACACAGAGCTCAACATTAGAAGCAAAAAAACATTAATACATAGCCACATGAAGTTACGAGCAACACATTTTAAGTTCCTCGCCCAGCCTCAAATCATCGTAAAATTGTTAGGCGAGTACTGTAAAGGGGGTGTTTTTACTACTGTAGAATAGGTTTAGATAGTTATCTTAATGAAACACGAGCATGTAAAGACGGTACCTGCTAAATGTCAGATCTTGGATGTGATTTTCGAGAACACGTGAGTGATCACTGATTATATCAATACGACACATCAATATCGATTCAACGTGTCTCGTCAATGACTCGCATCTCTCTCTCTTAAACCTCATTCATTATGTATTCTACGACTCATCAATTTACACGTTACGACTCATGGTTTGCTTCAAGTAATAACGACGACAAAACTGCATACATCACGGACTTCGAGGACGATTCCTATCAAACGATGCATTACGGATCAAATCATCATTCACATTATTCTAATACATCATCTGGACATTCGTGATTACTTACTTTACGCACCTATTCCAGTCGCATACGTACTCGTTTTCACGCTGCAGCTGTCTGTTTTGCTTTGCAATAGTTGAATTGATTCATTTTGACTTGACATTGTACGACGAACGACTACCTAATATGGCTAAATTACATGATCAGTAACGCTGTCATCACGCTGTCACGGTAGGCGTAGGGGGTACCCAAGTTACGACAGGTTAGTGTCTTGAACTACTCGATCGCACACCTCTTGGGGTGAGTGGTGGGAAAGCTGCTGGTGTCGACATGTAGTCCAACAGTGTGGAGGGCTGGGGTTCGAACCCAATTAACCCGGGAGTAAAACTCAACCAGGGCTCGCGCGTGGACCGCTGTGAATTTTGTCCGCTGGCGCCCTTCATACTCTCTTGTTGACTCTCTTGCATCGATCATATCATGGAGGACAAGAATCGACATGCTCGTGAAGCTCGATGGACAGGCACTGGTATCAAAATTAGAAGGAACGACTATTCCATCTAGTATTTGGTCTTCCTAGTACTTATCTAAAGTGTTTGCTCCTGTGACAGGTCCTCCAGACACAGTCTTCCTCGTGCTCAAGGACATTGGCTGCCACTTCTACTACCCATTCAGTCTACTGCGAGTACTGCTGCACTAAGGCTGAGTGCTAGTGTACATCTTTTATACGCCACAAACTCCAAAACGTCCGGCTGGCTACCCATGTATACATAACGCTACGTTCATATTTCCATTTCGTTCCTACCCTTCACCTTGTATTCATTTCTAAACATGATAATGCTCTAACTTCCTCACCAGCCTCAGGATACCACTCATCCCACTATTCCTCTCAGCTCATCTTCGCACCATCTGGCATAAGATTCAAATCCATGTAAGTATTTATACACGTACCTTTTAGCCAGCTGGCATACTCATTTCACAACTCAATGGCGTCTTCTCTTAGACTTACAATGTGTTCACGCCCACCCGTATGCATCCCAAAAAA